ACCTGGGGCCTGGAGCCAGAGGAAGCACATTTAAGCACCTAATGGCTCATACTTCACTGAGCTGAATACTGATAACTGGGCACACGTGAAAGCAAGAAATCATGTGGACTCTAAAGAGGTCTTGATAGGTATTGATCTCATCATTGCAAACTGCTCACTGTGTTCCTTCCTTTTGAAGCTCAGTCCAATAAAGGGCCTCTGTGTTAGTCAAATTGGTGATCTTTAGTCCACACAACCTCCATTTTTGATTTGATCTCAGGGCAGGTGTTCAGGAATTACTGTTTACTTGATTAACAAGTAAACAAACAAACAAATTAAGCACAACCTTGCAGAACTAACTAATATATGATGCCTGAGGCTAGAAGCCATCCTGAAGAATATCCTGTTCCTCCCTACACATGGAGCAGTGTCATGTGAAGACTTGAACTGGACTATGAAGGGAATAGAGGATAAGAGGATGATGTGATGGTGCACAGTGATGGCAGGTCATGGCTAGATAATAAATGGGAGGATACAAAGGGATTTGCGGGTTGGGAGATGGTTTAACCTGAGGTGACGTGTGTTCATTGCTGGTTGGATGAACTGAGGGGATGAATGAAAAGTCAGTTGAAGAAAACGTGGGTGGAATTGAAACCTTCTTTCAATCCATTGAGCGATCGGCTCACCGGCCTGATTGTAAAAGGGTATCTCTCTATCTGCCTGTACTCTTTATTATTTCCAGGGCTGAGTGCAATTTTGTGTAATCTCTGTCTAATCTGGGAATCTAATGGTCCATGCTGGATTATTTCAGATTAGTCAGTATTTTCCTTTTATTATTAGATTTAGAGGTGATTTGAAGGGCAGTACAAACCTGGAAACCCACACTCAGCCATCAGTTATGTTGGATTCCAGTCTGTGCCTTACTTCAGAGTAGTCTTGATTGGCATAATGTGCCTAATGTTGAGCTAATGATCTGGGATGGCCACATTAGGGGGTTAAATGCCTTCTGTAATCATCTCTAATCGTATCTCGGTTGGTCGGTTGGTCCACTACTTTAATCTCAACAACTTTTGGATGGATTGCCAAGAAATCTGATTCCACACAGGATGAATTGTGATTCTTTTGGTGACCCCTTAAAGCGACAATTTATATTTTTATAACATAATGTGTGTGTATATGTATAAATATGTATGTATGTGTATGCATGTCTTGTCATGCTTCCCATATAACTAATGAAGATTGTATAGACCAAAACGTTGTTAAATGAATGAGTGAGACAGTGTGTAGGATTGCCCCTGCCAGTAACCTTGTAGTCCCCTTATTTAAATATCTTAAATGAGTTACCCATGGACTAACAATATGACCTGAATGTGGCATTATACCTGCTAAATGACAGCTTGTTAGCATTGTCATTGTGAGCATGTTATGTTTCTGACGTTAGCATTAAACTCGGAGCAGTGCTATGTCTACAGAGCTTCTTGTTTTTCCCACTAGTGTTACTCTTGCTTTTGTTGCTCCTCGTTGCCAGGCAGCTTTCTCCTCTTCACACCTTCTCCAGCTCTCTCATTCACATATGGGCTCATAAAATTCATCTTGTAACCCCTGTTTGGCTCGAAGCCCTCCCTCCCTCCACTCTTCGGCTCCCACTTCCTCAGCTCTGTCACCCCTCTCTGTGCCCTCAGTTGTTGCTCAACTCCTGTTGAACCCCCGCCTCATCTTGCCAATTCCCACCTCTCCATGCTCCTCTACTTCTTTTCCCCCTTTTTTACCCTCTTTGCTGGTCCTCCCTTCTTCCTCTCCTCCTCCTCCTCCTCCTCCTCCTCTTTTATTCCCCCCACACAGCACTGAACAGAGGCCTCAGTGTGCGGGTTGACGGGGCGAGCGGCAGCAGGGTGGGAGGGGGTGTGAGGACTGAAAGCAGGGGAGGAGAAGAGCAAAAGGCTGCAACAAAAGCCTTGGTAAGAGGTGTGTGTGTGTATGACATCATGGTCCTCCTGGGAGCCATTGACTGCAGCGTGGTTGCCTGTGTTTTCGATGCAACCCTCCAGACACTGCCAGTGATCCACGTTTGACTTGACTGGCTCTGTTTAGTCCTCTGAAGGAAAAGGAAGTTGTTCTAAAAGTTGCACATCCACAGTGAAGTATGAACATGTGAGCCCATGTTAAATTTAAATTCACCTCGAGTGTGTGTGTGTGTGTGTGTGTGTGTGTGTGTGTGTGTGTGTGTGTGTGTGTGTGTGTGTGTGTGTGTGTGTGTGTGTGGAGTGGGGTTTAAACCCACAGGAATGCCAGTAAACTGTAGCTGTGTTTGCCCGGCCCCTGCTTTAGTGGTTTCATTGAGGTTCTGGTGGTCTTTAGTCTTATAATGGAGCCAGACAGCCCATTCAGAGGCTGCAGTGATCTCAACTGTGTGCTGGTTGCCCCGATGGGGTGTTTGTTCGTGAGAATGTGGGGGGTTGTAATGAGGAATGCTCTCTCTCTCTCTCTCTCTCTCTCTCTCACACACACACACTCACACACACTTTCTCTTCCTATCTCGCTCCCAGTTGTTCTTTCTCAATGTGCAATTTAGTGTTTAAAACTTGAATTGCTTTAAATTGACTTTATATGTGTGTGTGTGTGTGTGTGTGTGTGTGTGTGTGCGTGTGTGTGTGTGTGTGCGCGCGCGTGTGCATGTGCGTGTGCGTGCAAGCATGTGCAAGGGGCACACAGCCAAGCCCCTCTGTGAACAGCCACTCTTTGTGGACACAGGAAGTATGGTGATGGTCACAGGGATTTCCAGCCAGGGTTTCAAGAAAAACAACAAGACTCAACCAGCACACAAACAGCTCCTAAACACTGACTGTACTCTTTATAGCTGGAACTGGTGAGGATAACACAAATGAGAAATGGGTTGACCAGAAAGCAAAATTTCTTACTTGTGATCTTTTTTAAAAGCATTTGGAGTGTATACTTCCTTTTAAGCCTGCACAATTCTTATCCTTACAATCTTTCTTGACTCTGATTTGTTGTTGTTGATTCTTGCAAATCCCATCAGGAGCATTAGGAGGAGTCAGAGGAACCTGATTCAGCAAATGTGACAAAAAGTATTTTTTCTAAAGGTTACCTACTGCAGCTTTAAAGTGTCTTAAATATGATTATGACAGGTCTTAACATTTTATTGGATTAATGAAGTTAGCGTTACTTGTATGAAGTTGCATTTTTCAGTCGCTTTCAAATGTGCTTCTGGGAAATTTTTTGTATTGATCGTGATTGATCATGTTATAATAACTACAAAACCAAACTGACATGGAATCAATAATGACTTTCCTTCATATCTTTTGTACTTTTTTGCCAGTATGTATGTAAAATAGGTCTTAAATTGCATTCACAATGGTCTTTAAAAGTCTCAAATTGAACCTGTTGAAACCTGCATAAACCCTGCTATAATATCACAGCAGCATGAAGGTTACACTCAGTGCAACTAAACATAAGCACCCTGTGTGTGTGTGTGTGTGTGTGTGTGTGTGTGTGTGTGTGTGTGTGTGTGTGTGTGTGTGTGTGTGTGTGTGTGTGTGTGTGTGTGTGTGTGTGTGTGTGTGTGTGTGTGTGTGTGTGTGTGTGTGTGTGTGTGTGTGTGCCAGCCTCAGGGCCGCACCTTTTATAACGGACAGAAAACCAGTCTCACCACATCAGACATCACAGCTGGAGGAGCAGCACTAAAAACATGTATATATAGTTTGTGTGTGTGTGTGTGCATATATAACCTTTATGTAAGAGTGCGGTGAAGGGGTGTTTCCCTCAGCATGCCAGGGTCAGTGGTTGTTCTTTTCACGTCTGTCTCAGAGCAGATAGACCTTACGTCAGTCTGAGGCCATCATCAGACATCGCTGGACTCACAGACCAAGCAGCAAACATTTTTATTTTTCAGATTAGCAATATTTCCATATATATTGCATATATTGCAAGATGGTGACATGTCAATTTCACACACCATAGGATTTGTATTGTGGAAGTATGTGGGTGGTTCTAAATAAATGGTTCCATATGTGACAACTGGGATGACAGATTGCCTACTACCATACAATACAAAAGTGATATTAATATAAATGGTATGCTCAGTCATCATCATCTGCATTCCTGTCTGACAGACCCTGTGCGTTTGTGTGTATACTGTATGTGTGTGTATGTCTGTGTGTGTGTACAATTTCCTCTCCAGTAGCACAGTAGCAACATGGGAATAGTGATGTTAAAGTCATTATGCAGGAAGGCAAAGGAAACTTTTCCAGACAGTGTGTATCATTATGGATCATTGTCCATAGTTTATACTAATACACACAAATCTGAAAACTTTTTCTCACCACTTTGGTTCTGTCACCCACGCCACACCGACATTTCCCACTGCTGAAAACGGAGCTTTTCAAAAATGTCCTCTGGTTTGGATACATTTGAAAACACAAGTCTTGAATGGAGAAAATGGTCACGTTTGGTTCTGGCTTTTTTGGAGATTTTCTGCTACACTTTGTCACTTATAATAGTCAACTGAATATATGTAGGTTTTGGACTGTTGGAGTGGTGACATTAGGAGATTTGAGGGTTCAAACAAGGCCAGAGCATAAAGAGTCTGGTGCAAAAGGGCAAAAAGTCAAGAGCTAACTAAAGCCTTTCCAAATGTCACCATACTTTACAACTAATGTGCACTTTTTACTGCATTCTTAAGCTGACTGTTGAAATAAAGACACACAAAACCATCAGGAAACCTTTTTTTGAAGGATGCCAAAATAATTTCTATGTATGAGGAAAATGTGTGTTGTGTAGCGTAAAGTACATTTCTGTCCATACTAATCACATGATACAGGTGTTCGTTTCATTCATTTGAGCCTGAAACATTGATCTGGGTTGTATAGAGCTATTTTCGTTGTCATTCAATTATTTTTTCAATTAGTGGTTAAGTCTAAAATGTTGAAGAAAAGGTGAAAAGTCTCGATCACAATCAGAATTTCACTGACTTGTTTCTTCCAATTATGTCTCCATCCATGCAGGTAGCCGTCCCACGGTGCAGTATGTGGCCTCACTTTCCGAGCTGCCCCAGGCCCTGCAGCCCTACTACACACAAGGCTACATCCTGACCGCCCTGCACCCTATCATCCTGTCTGTGGGCCGTACCCGCTCACTGCCCTTCAGCCTGCTCTACCGCGCCATCCTGGCCCGTCCCAGACCCAGGTACACAAATCTTAACCATGTTTTCAACCTTATAACTAAAATGAAGACTTAATTTGAATATAGGATGCTTACTTTTTCATCATTGTAAGTTTAGACCTATAGGACACATACTTATACACATTGAGATCTCTTTTTACCTTTAAGAGATACCTGAGAATAAGAAACATTTATGGTCATACAACCACACAACCAGCAAGAAAAACAACAAAAATGAGGCCAGACAACCACAATCAACAAAGAACTATTCAGAACAATGATATGAATCATAAAAACTTCTGATCATAAAGCTTCTCCAAGGGGAATGAAGGGATCTATCTTGAGGGCAGCTTGCAGTTTATTCAGTTTAAAAGCTGTATAGTACCTGACATAAGTTTGGCCAGATGTTGAATATGAATCTGGATTGACAGTCTCTGACAGCTGTCAAATATTTGTTTGACTCAGAAAGCCTTATCATCATAAACAGATAATCTGCATATGAATGTTGAATCTGTAGACAAGCTATCACAGCATTTGTTCCTGTCTTTCCGTTTGTAGTCTGAGTAGTATTGACCAAAAAGGTTTAAAGGTTTGAGCAGGCTTTGGTTGCAAGCAGGTAAACAGTCCGTGTGGACAGCAAAAGAGGCGGAACGCATTGGCCAAAATGCAGTCTCGTAACGTTTTGGTGTCAATTTAGTTTTTTATTAGCTTAGTTTTATTTATTTATCTTTATATGCAGATACATTATCTATAGAGACAAGTCGAAATGTCTTTCTCATCATGTATCAAGTTGCTGATTGGACCGCAAAGGAAGTTTTTGTCTGGATATTTCTCATTTGTTTCCATGTATCTACTTACACCAGAAGCCCGAAAACACTGGCCATTGCCCCAGAGGCTAAATCATCGTCAGACAATAGCTGAAGAGTACCAAGATTGCCGAAAGAGTGGTATGAGTACTAATTAAAGGTTTAATGGCAGGATAAGCAGAGACAACAGTGGATGGGGACAATACCATGTCCTTGGTCTCATCTGCATTTAAAACAAGTCTATTACCCCTCACCTTGAAAAGATAAGGTTCTCTCTGAATAATAGACGGTCACAATTTAATAAGATCTGGCTGCCCTTTGTCTGCTACCTGAGAAACAACCAATAAGACACTCCCTGTGTAGTTTACTGGCAAATACAGTTCCATCGCTTATTTTTATTTTTTTTTTATTACTATTTTTCCACTGCAACCTTTATTGTTGTATAGTACTTCCTAAACAAAAGGGAGGGTGGGTGGGTGGATGTGTTAAGAGTATATTTTGTTCAGTTAAGTTGATTAATCTGTTGTATTAGCTTTGTTTTCCTTCAGTGAAAATGTACACTGCATCTCATGTACTACTTCCTCAATAAAACATACTTGACAAAAAAACAAAACAAGTTTATGATTAAGAAGTTGTAATTGGAAGGCATCAAATGCAAACTGAAGATGAGCCTGGGTTGGAGTGTAGCCAGAGGCATATATAATTAAGTTATCTGCATATACATGGACATTGAAGAGCTGATTAGGAAGAACAGTTTTTTTTACGTGTGAATAATAATGGACCAGTAATGGACCCCTGTGGCACGCCATTACTAATGGTAAGAGGGCTTGACACAGCACCATCAGCCACAGCAATCTGAGTTCTTCCTGTAAGGTACTCATGGAACCAGATGAGTGCAACATCATCTAGACTGTAGTTTGTAAAATAGGATTCTCTGATCGACAGTATCAAATGTTTTTGAAAGGGTCAAAAAAAGATTACTGTATACAGGCTGTGTGTGACTCCCCTCCCTCTGCCACACATACCTTCCCACTGTGCCCACATGTTCACTATCATACCGTCTAGTAAATAGATGAATGATAGATGAAGTCAGCTGCATATTTAATGCAGAGCGCTGGTAGGAGGTCAGACTGGCGTGCCTGGAGGAGGGGGAGACTATGTTATGGTTTGACTTGGTCCTTGTGTCTACCATGATTTCTATTGGCTAGAAATCCACCCAACAACAGGAGTCTCACAGCAGCCAATGGAGATAAAGTGTCTTTAATCTGTGAGGTTTGATAGGTTGGTATACCGTTACTATGATGCTAACTTTTATTTCATAAGATGATGGCAGTAGAAGGGAATCAGTAATGTTAATGATGGTATTTTAATGCAACGTTGAAGTAAAGTATAAAATACTGCAACATTGTTATGTTATTTTACAGAAACTCACATTGCTGTTGAAAAGGCAGTATGGTGTGTATGAACTGTCATCACTTCAATTTAGAGTTTTGATTGAAACCTAAACCCTAACCAAACCCGAGCCCAAACAATTCTGTGCAAGCCCGAACCAAGCCTGAACCGCGGAAGCAGTTTTGGGCCTGAACCCGAACCGAACTAATAGAAGTGAAAAAACAATAAATAATAAATTCATTCATTAATTACAGTTGCAAAATATTAAATATGTATATATTTTTTAAATCTAATTCTGTCCGAACCTGACCTATGTTTTGTGCCCGAATCAGCCCGAACCTGGTGGGTTGTGTTGGGTCTGATCGGGCAGAGAATCAAAGATCTACTTCAATTGCCTAAATTGCTGTTTACCCTTTGTGTAATTGCTTAGACAGGAGCTGGTAGCCATGTCCTGCTGAGCCTATAAATAATTTATGTGTTGGTGTCTGAAGCTCTGTGACAATTACGAGTGAACTATGAACCCTCCAGCTGGACAGGTTCAGTAGGTTTGGTGCCACTAACCCAGAAACTCCCCGCTGACCTGAACACAGAAGCCAAAAAAGTCAAACGCTGTTACTGTTGAACTTGTCACACTGGCTGTCTAATAGATGTGTCTGTCTGTCTGTCTGTCTGTCTGTGTGTGCTTTCAGTAAGCAGATGGCGTCCATGTGTCACAGCGTGCCAATGTTGAAGGTGGAGGAGTGGCCGTTACCTGGAGAGTCACTGACGGGTGACACGGTCAGAGCACTCATCGACAGGGTCAGTGATATTTACCGCAACTTAGTCGCAACGAATGAGGGAGCTGCATTCTAAATGTTACTGTAGTGCAGTGGTCCATCATGATTAAAGCATTACAGAAAAAGATAGGCAGACTTTCATCCCTTAGGCCTCTATAATATCTAAAATAAGTGAAATACTCAATACTTTGACCTTTGTGAGACTAAAATCGTAAAGTAAAACTGGATGTTTTCACCTTTTCAGGAATTTCTAGGAGACTAAAATAATTTAAATACTGGATGCTTTCACCTCTTCAAGCCTCTAAAATCCTGCAAAAATAAAATATTGAATACCTTCAGCTCTTTAGGCCCATAAAAAATGATTTACAAAGTGAAATATTGGATATTTTCACCTATTCATGGCTATAAAAATCTGTGTGTGTAATATTTCATACGTTCACATTATCTGAGACTTAAAGGCGCTCAAAATAACTAAAATACTGGACACTTTCACCTCTTCAGGACTTCAAAGGTGAAATTCAAGTTTTATGTTAATTTGACTTTGACTGAATGAGTAAATTACTTATATTATTTGTGGAAAATAATAATAATAATGCTTATATAATATAAGTATATAGTTATGATATAGATATATGCGAAATAAAGTTAAATTGAAAGTATTAAAGCATGGTAGGGTGCAGGAAAAAGGAAAATAGAAATAATAAATAAAAATATTGGACACCACAGAGTGCATTATTGGGGCTTATATTATGACCTCCTTCCAAAGAATGCAGAAACAGAATTATATTTTGGTAAACATGTGTGATAATTTCAGTTAATTAATAATTTATACATCCAATCTGCATATTGTAAAACACCCAAACTGGCACAGTAACAATGCTTGGATATGTTCTTTGGAAACAGCACCCTTGGAAACTGAGAAATGTTCTCAGTGAAAATGCCAATGAATTCTGTTGAAAACAGACCCTGCACCCTAGAAGTGATGCTTTTCACACTTTGTTCTGTTTTCTTTTACTTTCCAAGTACCACTTAGTGTGTGGTGTGTAAAAAGTCCTCAGAATTGCTTTATTGTAATGTTGAGCTGTATGGTAACAGTGTGGCTGGTCGTCTTTCTGGTAGGTGAACAGCAGCGCCCGGGGGGGCGTTCGATTCATCGGCTCGGTCCTCCAGCAGGTGAGCGGGATCACCAACGGCAGGGTGCACAGTCCAAAGAGGGGCTGTCGCTCCCCTCCATGCACCCCTCCTGGTACGCCGCCTGGAGACAGAGAGCTGGAGGAAAACACCTACAGTCCTGGTGAGATATTCGCTGCTCCTCCATCACATTTCAGTTTGATTTTGCTCGTGGGGAGATGTTATAACACTTCACAGGACTGATGTCTGACCCAGGTCTCGGTCTTCCTCAAAAGGGATTAACATTTCCATGCTAACTGTTTCATTTTCTGTCCTGAGATTAAACCTTCTTTCACGTTTTCAGTGGCAGTTTTGTAACTATATTCTATTCATAAACAGGTAATAAATGTAGGTCAGTGTAGCTTTCTGTCAAACCAGATCTTGTTGACAAGCGTTCCAGTCTTTATTTCTCCTCATCCTTGCTCTCTTTTTCCTTCCTGCCTCCCTCCAGACTTGAGGTTGCTGGTCTTCTTCCACTCCTGGGCTCCAGGCTGTGCTCCTCTGGACTCACTGGCCTGTCAGTACCACCAGGGGGCGCTCTCAATGCGTGTTTCCAGGAAGGGCCAGGTGGTCAGTGCCCTGGAAGCTGATTGGCTAGAGCTGACTGCCGCCTACTACCGCAAAGGCTGGTCGTTGGTGGACTCGTTCGTCTACTGGGACACGCCTAAAGGTTGGTTTGATGTTGGAAGCCACACTCTTAAAGCCTGTACAGTACTATCAGCAGTGTGGATGAATTATATAACATCACATCAGCAGTGCACATGAAAGTCCTGTCCCCTGACAAACTAGATTACCGTTGATTCAACTCAGACCCAACATCAGTCTCCTTTTCACCCAAGTTAGCAAGGAGCAGGTTAACATCATGAACAGCAGGGGACCCAGAATGGAAGCTTGGGGAACCCCAACAACGAGTGTTGTGAAATTTGGTCAACATTAATGTCCCTCCCCCTGAGGATGACTTGTAATCATCTGATAATCCCTGATTTATCTTCTCAGCTAGCACCATCATTAGGTGGACCAAATACCTGCAAAACTAATGACATTCCCATCAGCATCAGCTGGACTTTGTCATTAGTGCTTATTAGCCAAATGTTAGCATGCTAACATGTCAAACAAAGATGGTGAACATGGTAACCATTATACCTGCTGCTTTAGCATGTTAGCAGGCTGTTAGCATTTAGCTTAAAACACAGCAGTGCCTAAATACAGCCTTATGGAGCCTCTAGGATGGCTGTAGGGTCTGAGTCTTGTTAAAATCTTGACTGCTACAGACATGAAGAGAAGTTTCACTGGTTATCTGGCCAGAAATCACCGACACACACAAACCATTGCTTGTAACTGTTGCGTATGTATGTTTCCACATTCCAATGTTTGGGCAATACCAGACATTATCAAGATAATCTTTCCAGAGGCAGTTATTTATGCAGCACCAAGGTTTTCTCAAACACACATCATCTTTCTCTCACTCTCTCTTACATACACATACATACTCATTCTCTCACTCGCAAGCCACCATTTCTGTATGCTGAAGACTTGTTATCCTCGTCAGTTTTTAGATTTACACCCATCTTTCTCTGACAGCTCTCCTTCACACCCTCATGCTACACCAGCCAAGTGGTTGCCAATTATAACTTCTTTCCTTTTCCTTCTAGGTGCTGATTTGTTTATGATGAATTGACTCTGGTCGGCTCATAAAGCTCTGATATTCAGTGCACACAGAGCCATTAGCAGTGTTTGCTGATCTATTCATTGACACAGACAAGGTTGGATTAGAAAAGGAGTCATTAGATAAGATCATTTTCTGTAATCTACATTTTAATTCACCACTTAATCCTTATACCTATACCTAACCAATTTGCGTCACAAATGGCACCCTTTATTCACAAAAGCCATTACTGCGAGAATCAGCAGATTCAGACCTTAAATCATTTGGTTCCCACATCAGCAGATCTAATAGGTCTAGGGCCTACTGTCCCTTGACTATTTTTCTGTCTGTATGGTGCGTTCAGTGTGTGCTACGGGCATCAATAGACATGTCAGACTATGCAGAATGTTGCACTTTACTCCATCAAAGACATGATGATAAACCTGCTAATACCTCACCCTGCTCATCATGAAAAAAGGAGTTCTTTATCGCCTCAGACCTTCCATTATAATATTATAATATCGAAATTGTAATGTGCAATATGCAAATTGCAGACGCTGCAATTTTTGATGAAGGTCAAATGTACTGTTGTGCTGCAAAGCTGCCCTGGTCTGCAAATCTTGTTCTCCAGATTTAAGAAAATCTGTTGTTTGGTACAGACCCCCAACAAATGTCACATCATGATTTGATTTTTGTATTTTTCAGTGAAAATTAAATCATATTGTAATCGTAGTGTCTGTCAAAATAATCGCAATATGATGTTTTTACCATATAGTGAAGCCCTAAAACGAATTTCCCTAATTAAATAAAAAAATGTATATTAAAAGGATATTTAGCTTTTTGTCTTTAATAACTGAATGAATTATGATAAAAATGATTCAGAATTATCATTCAGTTAACCATACAAAAAAGATATTTAATTGTCCTTTAAACATTAGGTAATTATGACATAATTAATGCAATAAAAAGGAAATACTATTAAGGCATTTGAAATATTCCATAGACATCAACTGTAAATAAGTTGATGAAAAAAAAGTGAGATGAGTGAAGAGCAGAACAAGCTTTAGATTCAAAGGGTTAAGGTCTCTCTCTTTGCATTATTATCTTTTCTCATAAAACAGTGATTCACGCATACACACAATCAGTCACTTCCTGTTTTGGCTGTGGTCCATCCCTCCTCTCTCCCACTGCATCTATATTTGGAGCTGTCTTCCTGACCTTAGTGACCTCACTTCCTGTTCTTTAGCAGACATCCACATCATCTGTAGACCTCTGAGGCCTGGCATAAATGGAAATACACACTCTCTCAGACAGTCATACACAGCCAGCAGCAAGTAGCCTCCACTCTAACGCTCCTCTTCTCACACCAGCACATGGGAACTCAAACGGAGCTCAACCTATTTCTGATAACTGGGTCATTGACACATTTCCTCTGCAGTCCTCCAGCACTTATTCTGGATTCTTTCTGTTGAACCATATAATTATAAGAAAATACATTTGTGCCCATTTTACAGTGATTTTTTGTGTGTGTGTGTGTGTGTTTCAGGCGAGCCAGTGCCGAGATCACTGGAGGGACTGTTTGTGTATGAAGAGAGGAGCACTTCTCCTCCTGCCAATGACACCATCGTCGTAGAGCAGTGGACTGTCATCGAGGTCAGCATTTTTGAGTGTGTGTGTGTGTGTGTGTGTGTGTGTGTGTGTGTGTGTGTGTGTGTGTGTGTGTGTGTGTGTGTGTGTGTGTGTGTGTGTGTGTGTGTGTGTGTGTGTGTTTGTGTGTGTGGTGCAGGGGTGAGAGGGCAGTAAGTCTTGTTATGAGTCAGTTAGCTCAAGTTAGAAAAAAGAAGCGACTAAGTTAGAAAATGTCTTCAACTGACCCTTTAATGATAGGATTTGTTCTTTCTAAAGTAGAGAAGGAGTCGTAAGTTTACAGTAGTTGTACAGAAAGAAGTTGAGGACATTAAAAATGTAAACAGCTTTTTAGATTTCTAAGGCAATTTAGAACTTGACATTGAAGAGAATATTAACTGTTAACAGTTTAAAGTATACTTAAATATATGAATCTAAATAAATACAAAACGTGTAACAAATGGACATAATAAACGCAATTACAATGATTTAACACTTAGAGTACATTTAGATTTGCTATTCTACAAACCCTTGCTTCAAACTTCAACAATTCTTTTACAAAAATATTATATTTGCTAACCTGACGAAATGCTGCTGCTGTATCATCAATAGTCTCTAAATGGCAACTCATTATGACACATCGCATCTAGTGATATCAATGCGGCCCATCTCCAGCTAGCTTACAGTATCCTAACCCCTGTATCGTGATATATACTGTATCATCCTGCTAATACACAGCCCTACTATCCACACAGACAGTAAACAGACAACCCCTGACAAAGTGACAGATTTTATGGATATTAACAGTAGAGAACAGCTTATAGACTGTACAGTGAACCCAAACAGTGAGCACAATAACTGCAGGAAGCTGGTGTAAAATGAGAGATTTAGATGAACTTTGAGCAGATTATTTCCAGTGAATATTACGTGAGGTGAGTTTTCTGATGGTTTTAGGAACATTTCTACAATTCTATACAATTTTCCCATCTTTTTATTTTACAATCATACATTCTCTCTAAGCAAACAAATTTGTTTTATTCACAGATTTAGATTCAGACATATAGGCCTACATAGGCCTATGTATTTTTAAGTTTTCTTACACCCCTTAAAATCAATCCCCTTGTGAAGCTTTGGCGACCCCTAGTGTGGGTCCCGACCCTCAGGGGTCAGGGACACAGTCCAGTCCAGTTTGAGTATTAGTGCGTTTAAATGCTTATCAGATGCCAAACACAGCTCTATGCTTTGTAATACTCACAGATTTTATCTGATGGCGTTGCATGTTCCAAGCACTGACTATTTACAGGTTCCCTAAAATACTGACTCCACAAAAACATACAACCCACTATGATCGTTCAATAACTGCACTTGGTTTACTTCCTCTTCATCATAGTTGGCTATAAGTCAGCCATTTTGACATCTTTTCCTTTATAACTTATCTGTAAGTGTTTCTTACATATGCATACATTGTGTTTACACCCAGGGCTCCAATGTGAAAACAGACTACGGGCCCCTCCTTCACACCCTGGCTGAGTTTGGGTGGCTGCTCACATGTGTGCTGCCCACTCCCATCATCCGACACGACAGGTAATAAAACACACTGTATCTGTAAAATGTATTAGTCACTGATTCATTCTGCTCTGTACCGAAAGCATTTTGAAGCCTGTTGTTTGAGCTAACTGTGTGTGTGTGTGTGGGTGTGTGTGTGTGTGTGTGTGTGGGGTGTGTGGGTGTGTGTGTGTGTGTGTGTGTGTCTGTGTGTGTCTGTGTGTGTCTGTGTGTCTGTCTGTGTCTGTGTCTGTGTCTGTGTCTGTGTCTGTGTATAGTGAAGGGAACCTGGCCACAAAGCAGGTTGTGTTTCTACAGAGGCCGGTCCGGAGTCAGGCAGCCGGACAACCGAGGAACCAGGTGAGAGGAGGTGGAAGTGGGTGACGGTCAGACTCTACTCTATATCACATCAGTCTAATTATGTGATAACTTTACACCTAATATAAACCACTACCCCTCAAATTTAGTTATTAGAGAGTTATGACAAAGATATGTGCTGAGTCTGGATATTTTACAGCTGAACGTTAAACTTTATTAATAAAGATTAAACCATTATTATATTAAAGGTAAGGTATACAAGATGATGGACTGCCACTCGATGTCGCACTAGAGCACCAGTGTTTCAGACCAAAAACTCCATAGACAAAACCTGTAATTTTACCTCACAGATAAACATAAAACAGACTTCAAACTGGACAGAAAACACAAAAACTCACCCAAACTGTCTTTTCAACAATCACCAGCGCTGGTTTAATTGAAATGAACTGAAATGAATCTCATTGTTTAGCTCCCATGGTGTCGTCTTCAACCGCAGCAGGCAGCTGTTTTCAGTGAAAAAGCTCAAAAAAGCTCGAAGAAGCCACTGTACACTACCTGCTCAGCTCCACACAGCAGACAGCCTCAGTTAGAGACTAGCTGGTGAACATAGTGGAGCATTCAGCAGCTAAAGAGCCACATATTTCAGGAGTTGGTAGAGACCAAAAACAGAGCTAAAAGAGAGTGAATATTGTACTCACATTCAATGAGTTTAAAAGGTTAATGCTGTTCCCGCCAAAACATGTGTTATTCTAGGGTGAGAGTAAATGTAAGAAGACAGTAAATTGCAGCTGTTTTCCAGAATAGTGTGCTTGTGTTTATCAGGACATGTCTTGGAGCCAGTAGCTTCAGCAGTAACAAAGGCTGGAATTCTATCCTCCTATCTGCCCTCACCCTCTATAACACAACACACACTCCTCACACACTCCTGCTTTAACATTAGACTCTCACATGGAATTTGAACTTGTGTAAGTACTACTGCAGGTTCTCTAGCAGCATGAATGTCTATCATGTTTAGACTATCTCTCTGATTATTTTTCTCACAATTTGTTATGAATAACAAAAGGTATAATAGTATTAAAAATATATTTTATTTTTGTTTATACCATTTTGATTTCCCAACATATACACTACTTAACCATAATGATCTAATATGAGCCTGCCAATGTATCAGTGATTGAGTGAGAATAAATGCCTGTACCCTCTCAGTCCTCATATTCACATTACTAAATTATTACTCAAACACATTTCATTTATATTGCTATTATTTTGGACAGTCATCACTAAAAGACTTTCACATAATTACTTTAGTGGTATTTGGAGAAAAACAAGGCAGTTATTTGAGGAATGTTGACTGACAGATAGATCTCCGGTTGCTGCAGGGGGAGACTGTTTATGTGGCTACACTGCCCCCTGGTGAACAGAGTCGAAGTTGCACTTGATTTGCTGTGGCATTGCTCAGGCTGAAGCTGTGGCTCAGTGAAGGTTAAGAGTTGTGGCCTTTAAGGATGGTTATTGAAACATCTGAACATTTTGGGACATTCTTTAAAAGGTATAGTGTTTATAATGGTGTGATGAAATATACATCATTCAGAAGCATCATTCAGGGTCCTGTTTGGGAATAGCTACTCTAACGTCTCTTTCTGTCTCCAGGCTTTGTCTGTGCACAGCGACGTGTCCAGCCGCTCTGTAAGTCGTGCGGTCAGCAGCCCTGTCCCTCCCGAGGAACTGTCTCCAACCACCGGGGGCATCGGGGGCTTCCCGGTGTTCGGCGGAGGGTATCCCAGCGCCCTGTCCCACCTGGAGGAAGGTGGCTTTGAGCAGGAGGAGGGAAAAGCTGAAGTCACCTGTATGTGAGCAGGAAAACAGACGTTATCCCCCCCTCCCTCCTTACCCAGACTCAAGTTGAGGATTTAAACGTTGCTGGATTACTGAAGAGAATATCAGAGAAAATTGAACTCTGGGAAGTCCACAGACTCTTCATCAGCCATCACGCTCATGTTCCTTTCAACAGAGACTTTAGAGTAGAAGAACTTGGCACTTTTTAATGTTTTTAATGAAGCCATAATGAGAATGAGGTATTATTTAGAAATGGATCTTTGTCCAAACTTTTATATAGACCTATTAGGAGAGAAACTAGTCAATGGGAGACACTTAATACGTATTTAAATCCACTTTCTGATCAGTTCAGGTGCTCATGGAAGATTGTCACAATACTATAAAGCATAAACACTTTCAGATTTCTGCACATTATGGAAACTACACTGGTGGCGAAATGAGGGGAAAGGGGATCTACTTTCTGTCTGTCTCATGAGTCACAATTTTGATTTGCATTTTTATTCACCCTCCCAACCTTTGTTCCTTTCCCTCCAAGATTCCTTAAAACTTCCCCCATAGGCGGAGGCAGGATGTGAATATTCATCCAGGAGGCTGTCACAGTTTCCTGCGTGCGTTGGTACTGACAATACGCAGGCTGACATCTGATACAGTACCTGCGGGCCTCAGTGAATGTGCTGGCTGCCTAATATAGTACATTTGTGCAGTGTTCCTCTGGAGGATTTCAGAGTTCAGGTGCTATCAGTAGCTTTTCAGTGTTGTAAACTGGAGACATATCAGTGTGTTGATCCCTAAGCTGGGTACAAAATTAATGTTTCTGTCTACTGGCCACATGGCTAGTGAATGTTCTGACCAGCCTCTCAGTAGATAACCATTGTTTGTTTTCAGCTGGTAAATAAAGAAAATCTACCAGCCACTTGCATGTTTTACCAGCATTCAGTCCACACGGCCTCCTGAAGTTCAATTTGACTGGTGCCATTTCACAATCATTCTGGAAATGGTTATGGCTCCTGTATACGTTTGAAAGTATTTTTTTAATATTTGATTCATGGAGCTGTGGCTCCCACGCGCCCTGAAAACCTGAAAATGTACAGACTAGTTTGTTGTCCTGGTAATGTTTAAAGTATTTTAGCCTGTGCTGTGGCCAGAATAATGTTGGAGGAAAGCTGCAGTCAGTAGACCTTTTTCACAACAGCCATTTTGAAAAAGGGAAAGGCTCTGCTAAACTAAATGGAACGGAGCCTTTATTAGTGTCATTGGTAACAGCTGTGCTTACCCCACTATTTCATGTCAAAATGGCTGCTGTGAAAAAGGTCTATTAGGAAAGCAGAAAAATTGGCTGCGGGGAGAACAGCCAAGAGCTAACACTAAGTGTCACATAAAGGACGGTTTGTGAGAAAGTGCTGTCCTGGATTGTCAAGAGAAACTCCTGGAGGTGTTGGATAATGATTTGTTGAAAGGAGCGGGAACCCTCTCCTACTTTTCTTCAGTCAAATCTTTTTAAATGGCTGCTTTACAGCTGATACGGTACTGGCAATACACCTGCTCTCTGTAATGGATGAAGTTCTTTATTTTTTAGAGGGGACGGTTTTAGGGCAGCCTCAGGAAGTACTACTGCGGCAGATAAAGCCTTCTGTGGCTGCAGAAGGAGCTGCGGGAAATGTCGGTTGGGGCTTAAGACTGCAAGTAGTGAGCTGTGACCCAACTGCCAGCGGTCGGACTCCAGGTTTTGACAGGGAAGAATTTGTTGGATAAGAAGAAAGCTCTGCTGCATTGATTTTGATACTTTTTTAAATGTCCATCCAGAGTCTGACTGTCTGGTGAAAGGGATGCAGTTGCTTTTAAAGGACACACTGCAGTTGTATATATCTTAATGTTAGTATTCGTAATTGCAAAAAATGAGCTTGACATAATTGTGATGCATGTTATTTTGCTTTTGGGGGAGGAAAGGGATCAAATGCACCGAAAGTATAGTTTTAGGTATTCCAGTGTTGTATGCATACATGTTTTAAATGGGTGTATTTAGCTCAGCAAAGGCTTACTAAATGTCAGTATTAATATTCCAGCCTTTCCTTCTGGGAGAGTTGTACATTTTGCTTCCTTTGTCATTGGTGTTTGTATTGTATTAAACACTTATTTCCCATGGTTTGAGAGTCCTGTCCCATTATTGTCTATTGTTAATTACAATTGTTCATCAATTACGTAGGACTGGAACAAGCCACATGTTGAAGGTTCAGTGTGTAACATTTAAGAGGATCTATTGTCAGAAAAGGAATAGAATATCCATAGCTATGTTTTCATTAGTGTAGAATCACCTGGAAATCTATCTTCAGAGGCTCCACAGTGAACTGTCATGTTTCTACAGTAGCTCAGAAACTTCACCACTAGAGGCCACTAAATCCTACACACTGGTCCTATAAGGTTCATGCCACAGTTAGCAGTGCAGCTTCACTGAATAGAATTAATGTCCACACAGCAACCTGAATAATAGGTATTTTTTATTAACAGACATCATGAAAATGTCAACAGTAACAAAATTTTTTAGTCCATTAAAAAAAAAAGTGGGTTGGATTGACAAGACTCCTCCCACAAAATAACTTAATGAGGGAGAGGGTAAAAGAGGGGAGGTTGTGCTCCGATATTAAAATGTAGCCGATATTCCATCCTTCCTTGTGGTTATTTACTCATCAAATGCTTAAAGTGGTAAAAACTGGCTTACAGCAGCTCAGTCTCTGCCCATACAGTCATGGTTTCACTTACTATTATGTCAAGGAAAAAGAATATCAGGCACATTTTACACAGTATTAAAATGGGGGCATGTCACAAAGCAGGATCAGAGTTAGCCAACGAGCCTTCCTAAATACTCTGAAACATCATTTCAGAGGCCGAAGAGAAAGAATATCTGACTGCTAGTACACGTACAAAGCTAGAGATTAAGTTTGTCTTTGTTCACTACCACACAAGCCACACACCTACATTGTGTTTTAATAGCATTATTAAGTCAGCAGGCTAATTTAATGATCCATTTCATGGGACACCCCCAAAACAGGCAACACAAGCAAATAGAGAACAGAAGCAGACACAAAAGAGTGAAGCACCATCAGAAAACATGATAGTGAATAAGAGAGAGGGGGAGTGGGGGGTTATATACAGACGGGGAGACTGTCAGTGTGTGCCTTTGTCAACAATACAGGTCACCATGATTACATAGGTTTTTGCAAATCCAGCTGCTTAAAGAAGATTAAAAGGAACAGGGTTTCCCAAAAGGAGTAGTGTGAGAGCAGGACTGTATCCAGAAACAAACTGTGTCCTGGTAGCAGAGACACAGTGTGAATGTGAATGACAGCAGAAACAGGATTAAAAAAAACAACAACATCTTGTCCTGCAGGCATGGCTGAACTCTGCTCCTGGTATTCTTTACCCTTACTTCCTTTGAGATAGACACAGGTGACAAGGGTGGAGGGACATGGACAGTGTTACTAGACAAGAGCCTTAATACACTGTAGTGTGTGTATATTTATGTGTGTGTCCTGTAGATGCAGGTGTGTGAATGTGTCTCCTCTGTAATGCGTAAAACTGTGTTTGTACAGGTGTCTCCCTTATGGCAGCAGCTGTTTCTTAGGCCTCGCTCTCCCCAGCTGATGAGGTGTTCTGCGCCTCCTCCTCCAGAATGGGCACGATCAGGTTGTCCTTGGACATCAGGTTGTACTTCATTACGAAGCGTGTGAACCGGTGACACAGGAACGTTTCATTCTGCACACACACACACACACACACACACACACACACACACACACACACACACACACACACACACACACACACACACACACACACACACACACACACACACACACACACAGACACACACACACACACACACACACACACACACACACACACACACACACACACACACACACGTTATTGGAGCACAGAGCAAAAAAGGGGCGGGACTGTCTATTCAGCAATGGAAAAGGAATACACACCAAAATAAGAGCTTTTTTCTTTAAAAGGTGTAATTGGTTCATAGGATATTTCCGAGGAAACCTACCTCATACTTGTCAAATATCTGGCGGTGATGGAAGTAGGCATGAGAGAATATCCTATAGATGCGACGACAGACAGAGCCCAGTTTGGCCACTGACGACTCCTTGATGCTCACCCTAGAATGACAAAGCAGACAATGGTAGCTGTGTAAAACTACATTTACTGCACTTTTATTTGAACACAACTACTTCTGCAACATCACGAGCAGCTCCGAAAGAGTGCAAGATTATCTGTCTCTCCCCTCTCTCTGACAGCAAGCTTCCATTTGGAACAGCTGTAAACACTTTCACATTCAGACACTGCACAAACTCATTATATTTCAAACATACCCTGGCCTTAAACAGCTATAATCCACATTTTAACAACAACAATGTGTCAAATGACAATTTGAAAAGGGGTCACTCAAAGAATCTGCAGCTCCCCTCGGCTTTACTGAGCTTTATTAGCGAGTTTCAGCTCATTGTTTAACTGCAACTATACTGTTTTAGTTCACTCTCGGCGTAGCAGGCAGCTGTTTTCAGTGGCAAATGAATGACAAGGTTGCTCTGTAACTGCTGGCAACTATTCGCTTACAAGTTCACCATATCAACTGAAAGCTGATTAAGTCGAGGCTGTGATCACAACTTGTTTCCGCTGCCCCCATGTGGCCACAATCATCAGTTACTGCACGTTTAAGGAGGATCTTGACTGACCTGCTGGGGAAGTATTTGTTGCTATTGAGAAGACAGGCAGCTCCGTCCAGCGTGTGCCTGGTGTAATCAATGGCAGGGCACTGTGGATGCAGCAGCACAGAACACACACACACACACACATAAGTTTCTATTCTACCTCACACAGAGGCAAATCAATCACGCTCAGGGACTGGTACATGTGAGAGTAACAGAGAGGGTGATTGAGTGAAACCACAGTGCTGACTCACCTCTTTGGGTGTCTTGTGGGCAGCACATAAAAAGATCCACTGCTCCGTGGCTGTCATCTGGGTGCAGGTGTCTGGATGGCACTCGCTCTGAAGGAGGAAAGACGAGCATCACTACAGCTGACTTTACACTGATACAAAGTCAAAATGAACATACTTTTCAAGCACTCTTCAGAGGGAAGTACCTGTTCTTTCATCTCTTTCAGCGCAAATTAATCTACAAGTCTTAAATCTGGTTGTGAGACAACAACCCTGATATTAGCTGTGATTGCTTTCGTACAGAACTTGACATCATCATACTTAAGCGGTGTTTCTGTAGTGCTGACTAAAATGTAAAGAATTATACATATTTGCAGTTTGAAATAAACTAAAAGCTCCCTGTGCCAAACTGCCTTGAAGAAATATTGCATATTAACATTTCCTAACGTGTCTGTGAAAACATGCAACTCTAGAAACACGAGTTAAAGATATTGAGAACTGGTTCCAGTTGAGAAGTGGATCCAAACTGTCTTTTCCATTGGAATTGTATGCCTCTGAGCCTATCAATTACTTTTAATGATGCTGAAATGTTTTTCTGACAGTTGTGTGTTGCAAAACAATGACATCAGATTGCAAGAAGGAGTCATGGTGAAAAGGAAGAAACGGTCCATAGCGTGGCTTCATTTCACAAAGAAAGATGACAACAGTGCTCATTTTAAAGTCAAAGGATCATTTCAGTAAGGGTGGAAACACTAGCTGAATCATATTTCTCACAACATGGGCTTAAATTCCAGGACTGCTGAAACTGAAAATTGAAGGAAGGAATTTGAAAGAAAGTCATTCCATCCATTTTAGATAATGACAGTCTGTTGCTACAGACCCCCTCCCCCCTTCACACAGTGTTCAGTCTCAGAGATAATAAAACAGCTGTGTTGACACTGAACACCTGTGTAGGCCTACTTTTTTCCACAAATTTATCAGGAATCAACAAATCTAAACAATCTGACCAGTAAGAACTAATAATGGTATTGGTATTAATAAAATCAGTTGCCCCCTCCATACTCTTTTTATTTTTGACACGACCCTTAATAAAGTTTGTATACCTGGTGAGCTAGATCACCTACCTGCAGTTTGACGGCTAGTCCGTTGAGCTCCAGGCAGAACTGCCTACGAAGAGGACAGAAAAAGAGCAGTAGAAAGATAAGATTCCGATCAAACTACACTTTAAGATTTAAACACAATGTTTGGGAAGGAGTTACAAGTTAGTTGAGGGCTGAAAACATCTATATTGCACCCCACTCTCCCTCTCATATTCATCTTTCCCTCCCTCCTTAAATCCTCATTCCTCATACTTGTTGTTGTCGTTCCCCCCGTTATGTTGAGAATCTATCTTTTCCAGCATCCTGGTTGCTAATGTCACTCAAAAGTAGACAGTCTGGCCTTTTTTGTTTTACATTTTGAGTATAAAAGAACATGAAAAAATAAACTGAACATACCTGAGGTGCTCGTACTTCCACACCCCCTCATCCTGGCCCTCTGGAGGTTCCAGGATTTTGTCGATATTGGAACAATCTGATCTGATATTCTGCTGAATGTACTGAAACAGAGCCATCAAACACACTTTAGTAGAGACCCTCCCTCAACCACAGCAATGCAATCTTCATCAGCTTGATATGTCCATAACACACTTGTAAGCCACAATGCCTGTTTTAACTGTAATTAATATTGCCAGGGTGTTTCTGGGAAACCAAAATAAAGATCGAGTTTTAAAACATCCGATTATGAAGGCTTCACAACTGGAGGAAGATAAACACTGATGAAAGTAGACAGTGTGAGGTTTTGATTGTAAAATCACCTCAATGGGATTTCCTGATCTTTTACTTTTACCATGACTGTCAAAGTGTATGTTCAAGCGCAGTTACTGGTCATTGCAATCATTCTGCCACTTTGTACTGTCTGAAGAGGTCTGAAGGCAACTCCAATGTTAAAGATACGGACAAAAGCCACAGTCCTCATTCTGCACAAAAATGTAATCTAACATTTAGTTGAAGCTACTTGGAGTTAGCCAAATCGGCCAAATGGTCCCGGCTGCAGACCTACTATCTGGCAATCTGTGGACCTGCGAGCCAATAAGAAGAGCAGGGAGCCTCAGAATGAGAGGGTAAACAACTCTTCTGTGTAGAGAATCTGCTATAAGTGAAATTAAATCCAAGAAAGCCACAAAGGCAGTGAAATGTTCAGGTATTTCTGAGCATATACAACTTCATCTTTAGTCTGTTACAAAGATGGTTGTAACCAACATGAGTATTTCAAAATGAGCAACATGTGAAGCAAGGAATATGCCAACATTAAGCAGATACTGTGTTAAGGATTAGCTTGTTGTATATTGTGAGTCAGTGAAGTAAAGGTGCAGTTACGTTTTCAGTTTTTATGCAGAGATTTTATATTCCAATTTGTTTCACATGCTTTTATATGTCTTTATATGGTTAACGTACTCTAAATGTTAACTTCAATAACAGTCTAACAACAGCTGCAATTTATTTTTATTAGGTAATTTAGCATGTGTTTCTTTGCATGTAACAAACAAGAGAAATATATTTTATACCTTTTTCTACCTGAAAAACAACCACATTACAATGTAAGGTAATGTAAGCTGAGGCCCTACTCTCTTCAAATTTAGCAAACTTGCGGTCCCCAGATGTGAGCTTGGACCCTTCTCAAATTGGTGGGCTTCTTCTGACTGCAACTTTGGAAAACACTAACTTGATTTCCAACTCCTGAAGCCTCATAGACATCTCAGCTGACGTTAGGAACGCATCGTTTCACTGAGTAAGAGCTGTGGATGAGCCCCTTATCGCTTCCATTGGAAAAATATCAGAAAGGGATCTCTTCATGGCAAGTATGAACAGGAACAATCCTTACAGCTAACATTCCTCCTGTTCTCTTAGTGTACATGTGGACATTGTGTTGGGACACACCTAACAAAACGTGAACTTGTCCTTCGAGTGGTTAGATTTTTCTGAACTTATTTGGCTGTCTCAGCTGACTGGAATGAACAACCAATGGCTTTACTAGCTTGGCCATCATATTCACATGACTGAAGATTGTTTATACTCACGATAATAATCACCCAACCCTTGATTACATTAAGTACTGTGTAAGAGGACCTTCATACTTATATGTATCAAGTTAATGAAAATCATGGTGTTGAAGCCAAGGACGGCCACGCTTGTAATTTTTTTCAATGCCGTTATCAAGATCACAAGTTAATAATTTCATTATCATAAGAAAACGAGACAATCAAACTATTATCACAAGAACACAAAAGGTCATTTCCTCTTATCATTTGTAGAGATCTGTGCCAGCATATATAGATGTTGTTGTTTTTTTCAAGGAAGTTTTGATCATCACCTCAGAAGAGAAGAGGTGACTCACCAGACACGACATTCACTTTTGAATTCTCCTTAATTATCCTCTCTTGATAAATTCTTTCTGCCTTTTGTTTTCTTGTTAGAAATCAAGAAAACAAAAGGCAGACTGCTCGAGATAACCAAATAATTCAGTTATAATCCGGAGATAATGGCATTAAATAAACAACAGAAAGACGGCTGTTCTCCGCTACGTAGATACCACCATGCTCTCCTGACACTTCTAAATAGACCGAATGGTTGGGAAACACTGACTGACAGACAGACAGACAGACGACATGACAACACACCTGTTGGACAGCCAGGGTGCTGTCCATCTCCTCAAATGATTCATCCGGCCAGTTGTAGAAATCCTACACATGAAGGAAGGACAATGTTAGTGTACACTCAGAGTGGACAGACCTGGTACTGTAGCACAGACACTGCTACCTAACGTTAGCTGTCATCTGGCGTCAAATACCACGAGTCAGAAAACCCTATCAGTCTAACATACAGCTAACGTACAGCTAACATACAGCTAACGTACAGCTAACATACAGCTAACATACAGCTAACATACAGCTAACATACAGCTAACATACAGCTAACATACAGCTAACGTACAGCTAACGTACAGCTAACGTACAGCTAACATACAGCTAACGTACAGCTAACATACAGCTAACGTACAGCTAACGTTAGCTTTGTTTAACAATATATACGTATAAGAAGCTAACGCTAGCTCTGCTGTGGGAGGCTAGCAGAGAGACTACCATACAGTAAAAGTCAGTAGCCTCTTGTTTTTCCACATTACTCACAGTTCCGAAGCTAACCTGACACTAGCTCATTAAATAACGTCAACTGGGGTGCGACTGCTTCCTGCAGAGCAAACAGTTCAGGGAGCCTTTCCGCTGGTTGTAAGTTAGCAACGGCTATTTGTTTCAGGGTAGTGTGAGAACTTCATTCACCAGTTTGGCTGGATGTTATTTAAAGCTACAATGATTGTCACACGGGACTCCGAAATGTAGACTAAAAAGCCACAGCCATTTCAGTTAACGTTACCGCTCCAGGAACTAGACGGAGCAACAGCTAACGTTAGCTAGCTGGCCATTTCCAGGTCAGGCCCTTCCTACATGTTGTCTGCGAGAATTGTCGACAGAAGGTGTATAGTAAAGCAACACGACTCAAATGAGACGGCATCGCGAAGTCGTGGGAGCTTATCTGCCGTAGTGTTCGTGTATTCCTGCTGGGTGAAACGCACCTTTGCCTTGGTTCCAGGCCGATTCCTCCTGAGAACTGCAGTACCCTCCGCCATGACCATCTCGACAGAATACCCGGATGTTCGTCAGCCGCTGTGTTGTAGCGGCGGACTCGGATATGATCAGAGGTTAGGAGCGGTGGACTTGAACTGAACACACATTCACTTATATTCGTGTACTGTATTTAACGACGCATCCGAGGCATTGAGTATTTCCATTGAAGCTCATTTATACTTGGAGACAGTATTAGTTAGTTAGTTACACTGTGGAGTACCGAAACCGTCAGAAGGCAGTAAAGGATCTCGGATGTGTCTCGAAAACATAATTGATACAAATACATCATTATGCCAGAAAAAGAAAAACGGAATAGTATCACAATGTAGTGAAACATTTATTGTTATAACAAGATGTTTTTCACATTATCACCATACATTTTCACCTTATACAAACTCTTTATAGAGCACCAACATTACAAAGTGCTTCACAAAAAATGTCATCAGCAGATAAACATTTAGGAAGTAAAAGGAATCAGGATAGGCTATTATAGTCATTATGTTATTGTTGTTAGTTGAATTGTTACATTACACAATATGAAAATATCTTGTTCCAACGTGAAAAACATTGTGTTATAACCTGAAACTTATCCGTTTTTATTTTTTGGCGTGGCAGCAATATGCCACTGTGGACATACATCGGCAGTCCCATTTCATATAGACACGAGGAAAGTGTTTAATAAAAGAATATGAAATACTTGACAAATGTGCCAAGAATGAAAAATAGTTAAAAAAAAAGTTAAATGAGTTTGTGAAAAATAAAATGAAGAATAAAATATATTTTTAAGTGTATTTATTGAAGGATTTGAGGTATAAGGGAGAAATGTTTTCTCTTTTTTAAAGGGCTGATTGGGTTTAAAACATATAAACCTTTTAATTTATTTGTTCACATTTTATTTACTACATTCACTGGAATGTATACAAATAATTGATATGTATTTGTATCAATTATTCTACTTTTTACTCTGCTGCTATAAATCAGTTACACTGCAGATAAAGGCAAATGTAAAACATATGACCCATTTATAAAACATGATGCATTGTTAAATATTAAACTACAAAATAAAGGGATTAAACTACACAGGGGTTGCCAACAGGAAAAAACAAGCAACGGTTCCAAAGTCCTACGTCCCCAGGGGCCCCAAAAGTCCAAGGTCCACTATTTATCTATTGATTGATTTTTGTCATTTATTGCAAATTTACAAAAAAAGTTTTACTACTTACCGGCACCCCCACTGCCTATGATACTTTGCCCTTACTGTGTAAACCATAGCACTGAACACAGAATTCTGTTCCCCTGTATATTGAATATTTTATATGGAGAGAATGACAATAAGTTCTGCCTTGTGTTTACATGGAGGTTCTGCTTTGTTACTGGTCATTGTCAATAAACTGAGATCAATTCCAAATAGAAACAATGCAGAGACCCGCAGGTTGCATCAAAGGGGCCCAACAGAAAACATAAGTTAATCCCACTCTGACAGTTGAACAGTAAATAGTTCTTGGCGAGTCATGTCCATTTGTGTTTGAGGGATCTAGTATGTGGCATTCATCTTGTCCCAACAGCGGTATGTAGTGTACCTAGGCAAGTTCCATTCACTGAAGATGGCTGTGAGATACAGTCACAAGCTAGTAAGTTAACCCTGACATTAGAATATCTTTATTTAAGTATACTGAATATTAACTGCAAGAGTAAGAGGAAATCATTGAGACAATAATTAATAGTTCACCTTTATTATTGTAACAAAATGTGATTAGAATTATTTACAATTGTAATAACAAAAAAAAGTAAAAGAGACATGAAAGAGGCAACTTAATTTCTTCTCTCCAGGGATGACAGGGACTTGACATTTTCTACAGCAACAAAAAGATGAAGACTCATTCAACGTATTTACCGAGGATATCTCCATCACGGAACAGGAAATAGTCCTGGAGGATAGAACGAGAAAACAAGATATTAAGCAAGGCAGGGCAAAAAGGAAACAAATCTAAACAGATTCAAAGTTTAAAAGTCAAGTGTAGTGCACCTTGTCGTCCAGACTGACTTTAGTTCCACCGTACTCTGGGAGGAGTACTTTTTCTCCAACCGTCACGCTGACGGGCTGTAGGTTCCCCTTCTAGGAAAAAAAAAAAACATCACACAAAGAGTTACAGAAGAATTCTCAGAGCCAGAACCAACTATAAAGCCCCACATTCCTCATAGCAGCTTTGCCTGTGTCTCTTATATTTTCTCTAGTACCATGGTAAATGGATTATCACCTGATTGACAGCACCAGGCCCTACTGCCACGACCTTGGCCTGCAGCACCTTGCCTTGAGACTTCTCTGGCAGCATGATGCCCCCCTTCGTCACAGTCTCTGGAGTAAAGCGCTCCACCAGCACGCGGTCGAACAAGGGGAGGAATTTTCTGAAGGCCTGCAAGTGACCACAAAGAGAGGGTGTCAGCCAGTAATACTAATTACAATCAAAGAACATTTTCTTTTGTTACACAACCAACTAAAGCCTTGATATTTGCTGTAAGCACCCAATACCACCACAAGGGGGCTGTCTTGAGTGACAAAAGAGCTTAAGTAAAGACAGTGTCTAAACAATAAATGAGTGGCTCCCTCACAGAGGTGGCCTTTGTGATGTCAATTATAATAAAACTCAGTATAACGAAAGTCAGCCTTTCACCATTACTTCAAATACTTCAGCCAGTGTGTGTGTGTGTGTGTGTGTGTGTGTAAAGTTACAAGCAGCAGATGAATGAGGGAGGACAGCAGCTTTAGAAGATTTAAAACACCAGCTGCCAACAGTCTGATAACGGCAGATGTAAGAGTGACCTTGGGTGAAGGTTGTTTGGGAGAGAGGAGTTACTTATTCACTGTGACTGTTTAACCCCAGGCAGGGAGGGACCAGGACTACTGATTAAAAAAAATACTTTGACGGTAACACAGAGGCATCCTGGTATTTTAGGGGAGCTATGGTAACAGCCTTGAGTGGTGGTGAAATGTCATCAAGGTTTTTAACACTACAAGATAACGATCGAGGCCTGTTTGTCCAGTTTTCCAGAAGGTTCTCTCCGTAGTACTTCATGAGGTAGTGGGGGTAGAGCTGCAGCAGATGATCAAACTCACATTCTCTGACTCTTCTTTTTTTAAAGAAAGAAAGAACAATACTGATCACAATTTCCAGGGCCCCAACATGACATCTTCTAATAGTTTCTTTTGGCCAATCAACAGCCCGAAACTGAAAAACCTTTCATTTACTGTCATACATGACAAGACATGTACAGTTCAACAGCACCACAAATTACAGCCTCCAAATTGCCCTTTAAGTTCAATCAATCTGATAAAGCTGAACATTATAGTGTTCCTTAAGGACAGAATGTACTGCAGGTTGAGGTTTTAGTTAGATATAGCTAATAAACTGGAACCTTTTGTTCTTACTTGTTACTGTTAACACTAGTTCAGCTGTATGTTACAAGGCTTCCGCTCAGAGCCGACACACAATGTGCACGGGGAGGTCATGAGGTCACAGTCTACGTAGCGGAAGCCGGAAGTGATTTAAACGTGCATGTAATTCATACTTTTCACCAACCAAGGGCAGACAGACAGACTGACAGACAGAACCAACAGGGAACAATAAGACACTTTTAATACAATAAGACAGATTTAAGCACCAAACTCGTCGGAACACTGTGTGTGTGTGTGTGTGTGTGTGTGTGTGTGTTCATCCACATGTGACTGCTGCAGTTAGCGAGAGCATTCACTTCTCAGCACATCTGTCTGTCTGTCTGTCTGTCTGTCTGTCGATAGAAGAGCCACTCACACTCACCGAGCGAGCAGCACATCAGTCAGTGAACATTAGCAGTGAGTGTGTAGCTGCCCCGGAGGCTTTAACGATAGAGACAGCGACAGATAAAAGCCCCCTGTCTTCTCCTCTAATGTTTAATACACTGTATCATGAGATAACCCCCCCCCTCCCCCTCTCCCCCTCTCCCCTCCTCAGTCGGCTTCCTAACTGCTTGACCTTGTGAATCAACGTTAACGGCAGCTAACGTACCATTACCGTTAGCCCTGTGTAAAATGGCGGTGGGACTCTGTAGTGTTCTCCACAGACAGCGACGGAGGGTCTTACCATTTCTGGATGTGAGAGAGGGTCTGCGTGGATCTGCACCCCGGGTTCTTCCTGCGCGTGGATCTGAAACACTGAAGGGGAATGACTCCACGTGAAGAAATATCCAGAACGACGATGACGATTCTGCGCATGCGCACTGCCCCTGGAGGCTGATTCGTTACCTAAACAGAAAATTCTAGTACACCTAATGTGAAGAGCACGTGTCACTCCACAATACCACGATATGAACGGGTGCACTTTAAAAATCACTCCGGTTATTTCTCTGTTATTCACAGACTCAGGGTCAGAGCAATATTGCACAATGTCAACTTTGACCTTTCTTTTTTTCCTCCAATGGCACACGGGAAAATTCTAGAATTGCCTGCCCGGGAACGAGCATGGATTAATAAATATAGATTATATATCTTATAGTATTATGTTCCACCAATCAGAAATGGTTAAATGTACACGTTGTGACGACACTGATTGATAGGTTACTATAATCCTGTTATAGCCCGTGAGTTGTCCCTGTATAAAGACTAACATAAGAATGATCTCAGCTAGTTCACAGGTTTATTCAGAGTCCCGGGCGTGCCGGTAAAGTACCCGGATGTGATGGGCCATGTGCACTCCCATCGCAGCAGCAGCAGCTTATTTGCACCATCCCTCTGTCCTCACGTCCAGTCGCTATCATTCCGTCTTGCAGGCGAGCACCTTGTAGCCGGTACCAGCCTTTTACCTCACAAGTAAGTGCTGACATTTGATAAAGTCTTTAAACGACACCGAGCTGATATTACAGGCTGTACTTTACCCAGCGGGGGCTTTCTGTGGAGGGGTCTCTGACCGAGAGCAAACACTCTCCAGCGCTAGCTTAGATTACGCCAGGCTAACAGATTGTTCTTCTTAACTGGAAGGACACACACACACACACACACACACACACACACACACAGAGTCAGTATAGACGTTAGTGAAGTTTCTCTATAAGCGGATGTTGAATTAGAATTGATCGGGAATGTCGCCCCTCGTGTCTGACTTATGAAACGTTTGCTGATCGGTGTCATGCCCGACTGCAGCGCTGTGGACAACTTGGCTGACAATGTAGGAAGAGTAGTAGTTAGTGATCTGTCGCCAGGGTCCGATCAGAGAGGGTCTGACAGTGTGGTTGGTGGTCACTCATTAGGCTGAGCAGAGATGGTGAGCTACTTCCACACATGCTTTTCACAGTTTGACCTTGTGACGCACGACCTGAAGCGCACACGTGGGGTAACCAGGAACTGGTTTGGGGATACGTTTCATAATCCGGTTACGATCAAGGCCCGTATATAAATAAATGTAAGTCCGATTCTTCTCGATCAGTCTAGAAAAAGATCAGTGTTGACCAAGTTTAAAAAAAAGAAGAAAAAAAGGGTTGATCGGATATTCGCTCGCATATTGAAGCCGACAGTTCTTCCTGAGGGGGCTTGGGACACGGCCACATCATTTCTTGTCTTTGTTTCATGTTAATATATTGGAAAGGACTGAACAAATGTTAGAATTTTATTTTGAACCATTTTTCAAACATTCCTTGATTCCAGCCTCTCAAATGAAAGAATTAGCTCCTATTGGTTTTTATATGGCTGTCAAATGAACACCTTTGGGACTTTTGTCTGTATTGTGATGACCATTTCCCCTGTGTGCTGATATATTTTAATTTACTGAACAGTTTATTGAATAATTGGGAAAGTAACCAACACACTAACCGGGGATAAAAGCAGTTGATAGTTGTGGTCAAATTGAATATACTTATACATGTGGTCTGATTTTTAAATACAATTTACAAACATTAGTGGCATTTAAAGCTCACTCAGAGTTCTGGGATGAATTTAGTGTGGTGCTGTGAAACTTTATCTACCCCATAATGCACCTGCAAACATACTGTGACATTTTCTTTTGGTTATAAGTGCACCTTTTTGTAGAAGGTGACTTGCAGAACTCTGACCATCCCATAAGTGGAGGTTCATTCATTCATTCACTGGTGGCACGTCATACCACCAGTGACCACCAGGGGCAACCTTTGTACATACAATGTGTCCTCCTGTGCTAGTTGAGGGCAGGGATGGATGGGTTTGGAGAATCATTATTTAGGTGTGCTTTATAAGCTGACACATCACATATATTTTCAATTCAGATTCTTAAAACAGCCCTTTACACAAAGACACACAATCATTCTGCAGATTTAATTGGACACCTCAGGTTCATTAGTGATCACTGATGGAAGATGTGGTCTCAGACGTGTAACTTCCCCTCTGTCTTTACTTCCCATAGAGATGTTTCGTTTACCGACAGTCATGAGGCAGGTGAGGCCTGTGTGCAGGGCGCTGGCCCCTCACCTCACACGAGCCTATGCCAAGGATGTAAAGTTTGGAGCTGATGCTCGGGCCCTCATGCTGCAGGGAGTGGACCTGCTGGCTGATGCTGTGGCTGTCACCATGGGCCCAAAGGTAATATGAGGCTTCATATTTTGTAATGAATCCACTATCTGGGTTATTACCTTATCACACCACTTTCTGTCTCTTTCCCAGGGTCGCACTGTCATCATTGAGCAGAGCTGGGGCAGCCCTAAGGTCACCAAGGACGGCGTGACAGTGGCCAAGAGTATCGACCTGAAGGACAGGTACAAGAACATCGGCGCCAAGCTGGTGCAGGATGTGGCCAACAACACCAACGAGGAGGCCGGCGACGGCACTACCACCGCCACAGTTCTGGCTCGGGCCATCGCCAAGGAGGGCTTCGACACCATCAGCAAAGGCGCCAACCCTGTGGAGATCCGCCGTGGAGTCATGATGGCTGTAGAAACAGTCATTAATGAGCTAAAGAAGCTCTCCAAGCCAGTTACAACCCCTGAGGAGATTGCACAGGTAAACACAATTCGTAATACATTTATAGAAATGATGAGTAGCTATGTCTCTTGAATGTGTATTTAATAATGTTCTTGGTATTTAAGGTTGCTACGATCTCAGCCAATGGCGACGTGGAGATTGGAAACATCATATCCAACGCCATGAAGAAAGTTGGCCGCAAGGGAGTCATCACTGTCAAGGTTAGTGTCAGAATTTCACTAACAGGCATAAACAGATTTATTTACTGCTCTAATGATTGCTTGTGGAGTGCATAAAACCTGGAACTGGAGTAATCAGTACATGCTTTACATCTCAGGATGGGAAGACTATGCACGACGAGCTGGAGATCATTGAGGGTATGAAGTTTGACCGGGGTTACATTTCCCCTTACTTCATCAACACTGCCAAAGGTGAGGCTGCTCATACTGGCAGTTTGCTGAACATGTCTATTATAAACACTTCCTGTCCTCGTTTTTACCTATAAAGAAACACAGCGCTAAATCTGTTATCTCGTTTCCAGGCCAGAAGTGTGAGTTCCAGGATGCCTACCTGCTGCTGAGCGAGAAGAAGATCTCTAGTGTGCAGAGCATTGTGCCGGCCCTGGAGATTGCCAACCAGCACCGCAAACCACTGGTTATTGTGGCTGAGGATGTGGACGGAGAGGCCCTCAGCACCCTGGTTCTCAACAGGTACGTGTTTGCTTACTGATCCCACTTAAAGGTGCCCTGTGGAGTTTTCTTGTAAGCAAACAAAAGTTTACATTCAGTATTTACCAGAATCCATGAGGACTAACTCACCTGTTGGATGCATTTCCTTCCTAAAACACTTGCAAATGCATTTTTGAAGGTTTGAAACCTGCATTCTTTACGAGCTTGCAGTTTTCCTCTCTGCGCCGTTGCTTGGTGCATTACTGCCACCCGTACACTATTGGAATAATGTGAAACAACTTGCAAAATCATTGCTCCTAGTGATTAAACATGGTACCAGCTAAAATGTGGCTCAGAGTCTATCTTGAATAGAATATCCAAATGATCATTTTACTTTGAAGAAAGTGACTGAACAAGAACTAAAAGTAGGAAATTAATGTCATTTTCAGGCTCAAGGTTGGGCTTCAGGTGGTGGCTGTTAAAGCCCCAGGCTTTGGAGACAACAGGAAGAATCAGCTGAGGGATCTGGCTGTCGCCACCGGAGGCACTGTAAGTCCTTATCAGTATAAAGTAACTTGTTCATTTCTGTGCTATAGTCTATGAACCTCTAGAGTTCAGTTTGGGATGTGAATACTAAATGTATTTATCTGTTGCTTTCTCCAGGTTTTCGGAGACGAGTCTCTGGGTCTGGCTCTCGAAGACATCCAGGCTCACGACTTTGGCAAGGTCGGTGAGGCGCAGATTACCAAAGATGACACCCTGCTGCTGAAGGGAGGCGGCAGCCCAGCTGAAGTTGAGAAACGGGCGGCAGAGATTGCAGAGCAGCTGGAGAGCACCACCAGCGACTACGAGAAGGAGAAACTCAACGAGAGGCTGGCCAAGCTGTCTGATGGAGTGGCTGTCCTCAAGGTACGTCTCCAACAGAAAGGCAGGCGGTACTGATGGCTGATGGCCATAGTTTCACTGCAGGAAAAACAAAGCTGTGACGCATGCTCTCCATTTCAGATCGGAGGAACAAGTGATGTGGAGGTGAATGAGAAGAAGGACCGTGTGACAGATGCTCTGAATGCCACCCGGGCAGCTGTGGAGGAGGGCATCGTACCAGGCGGAGGCTGTGCCCTGCTGCGCTGCATCCCCTCCCTCGATACCCTGAAAACTGCCAATTCTGACCAGAAGATCGGTTAGTAGAGCACACACATTGGCTCACATGTCTGAAAACAACATTATCTAATGTCCCTTCTAACATCTTCATTCTGGAATACAACTAAAGGTGGAATCTGTAAAGAATAACCCATTTAAATTATGTAATCTTGTTTACCCGCTAGCTAGCCAATTTCTTCATTTGTAACATGTTTGTGTTAATAAATAAATAAATAAATAAATATATAGCTGGCTGGCCACAAGGCACCTTCAGACCCTGGAACCAGTTTTCCTGGCCAAGAGCCGGTTCTGTCGAAAACACAAAGAACTGGTTTGAGATTCGAGGTTCGAGTCTCTGGCTCTGAAGCAGCACTCAAACTACCTAGCTGGAAAAGGGGTAAATGAGATCCGTATCAGGGAGACCTGAGTAGCAGTATGCTTTTTCAACTGCTGAAAACTGCTGACAGACGAGTCAAAGTGCAAATTTAAAGGTCCTTTACTGACATGACCGTATCCCTGGGTTGATGGTACCGGTGAAGTCGACCATCTTTCAAACATAACTGGAGTTTTGTGTAGAAAGTAATCCCTTTTCTACGTTGTCTTCATAAAACCGATTTCCTCTCTGCCTTGTTCCAAACAGGTGTGGATATCATCAGACGGGCACTCCGTATCCCTGCCATGACCATCGCTAAGAATGCAGGTGTGGAGGGTTCACTAGTAGTGGAGAAGATCCTGCAGGGATCAGCTGAGCTGGGCTACGATGCCATGCTGGGAGAGTACGTCAACATGGTGGAGAAGGGCATCATCGACCCCACCAAGGTACATTGACTGTGGATGTGTAGTGGAGTTAAAAGAGCTCATGTTGTTAAGATTTGTATTAATTTTTTTTTTTGCTGTCAAAGACATCTAATGTATTGTGTCCATGGAGAATCATGCAGAATCACACACTTTGTGTAGTGTAACCTATAAACGCTGTAACCTCGTATTTGCTCCCCGTACAGGTGGTGAGGACGGCCCTGTTGGACGCCGCAGGAGTTGCTTCCCTGCTCTCCACTGCCGAGGCCGTAGTTACAGAGATACCCAAGGAGGAGAAGGAGATGCCAGGAGGCGGCATGGGCGGCATGGGCGGTATGGGCGGCATGGGCGGCATGGGAGGCGGCATGGGTTTCTAAGCCAATCCTCCTGACTTGCTGTACAGACTAATAGGCAGAGTGGTGCTGGGGGTGGCCGAGGAACACAGTCCTCCAAGAACACGCACCCACCTCCACCAAACTTTGCCCTACAGACTGACCGACTGGCCATGAGTATGCTGGAGCTGCAAATAGTTGATGACATGACACCCCCCCCCCCCCACTTCATACGATTCTGCTTCCTGCCTCTTCAACCGGGGTTTCTGGGAGGAGCCAGCCTAGTCTGACTCTGTGCTCCTCTGTCCCAGTGTCCCAGTCACCCATCAAGCCCAGTTACTACACCAGAATCCTCCTCAGACCTGTACTCTAATGGCTCTGTTCAATCAGCCATCAACATGTGCACTTAAGTCATACTCATGTAAAAAAGATTTCCATCGCTGTGAGAGGTAACAATGATTAAAGTGGTCTAAGAAGAAACTAACATAGTGTACACATTGATGATGCTCTGTATTACCGCAGAGAGCAGACGCTTAGTCAGGATTGTGTCTTTTTATTTTTGTCAGTGTTTTGTTAATTGTTTTTTGTTTTTATATCTGTCATCTTTATTTTCCCAGCCATTATGTTGGTTTAAGTCTGTCATTTGATTTAATTAAACCAATTTTCTTACAGAGCTTGAGCATTTTCTCACTTTGTCTCTGAAGTGACATCACATTGTATGTCTGGTGATGTCACCTGTTCCCTTTGTACATGACCACAGTTGGATGAAGAGTGCCTAAATTGAGTGTCACCAGGGGCCTGTTTAAAACCATGTCAATTGAAATTATGTTTACCGAGACGTCTTTTGGGAGTCATTTTCACACATGCAGCATTGTGAGGTGTTTTTGTTTTATTTTTATTTTTTTTTCTTCTTCTCACTGTCAGCCCCGTAGGATCAGCTGCAGATTGGTTTCACAGTATATGGCTGATTGTAAGTGAGGGGGGCTGGGATGGGTTGGGACAGGGTGGTGAGGTAGGGCTCAAGTTACAAACCAGTTTGGACCACTCCAGGACTCGGCTACAAAGTCTAAATGTGAAAACCTGTGGTGTCCTTGTGCTGTTAAACATTGACCTTCATTTGTGTGACACGGCTCGCACGTCCCCCTCATGCGCTCTGCTTTAACTACGAGTCTCAAGTAGCCGCCCAAGCAGGAAACCTACATACAGTATATTGTATAAAACACAGTAGGTGGTGTTTCTTTGGCAAATGGCAGTGATCATTCGACTTGTGTTTTGTACAATGTAGACATGATTAATGGTGATTTTTTTTTTTTTTTTTTTAATTTAATAAATCAATTGTTCAGATGTGTTGGTTATTTGAGTTCCTTTTACACAGTACTTACATTACTGTTCATTAGCTGAGGTCCAAAGTTTATTCTCAACCATGGGAACAGCTGCTTCGATAACAATCACAACACGAGGTCCATTTAGTAGTTGATCTGGAGCTTTGAATCATGTGATCATCAGCAGTAGATTGACCAGTTCTTTATTTTTGTGAGCAATTTTTGTTAAAGTTCAGTTAATTTTAACAGCAGTTGAAAACATGAACTCACTGGAGCTTTTGAGGATTATTACATACGTGATTCTCATCAGCAGATGAAAACTGACAGACTGCTAACGATCATTTTAGTCTTTTAAGTGCTCTGAAAAAAACTATTTCTACAGTCTCATGACAACTGAACAACTATCTGCCAATAAAGATCATGTGATAAGACCAAGAGCTCCAGAACAGCTACTGAATGGAGCTTGTGGTTTGATTCTTGTGTCACAATGGTGTGATGAAGGTTGAGGGGGCTGTATGTTCACCCTCACCTGCCTTTGTTCATTATTTCAGTAAATCTGTTCAATTAAAAACACTTATTTTGTGTTTAAGATGTAACTGAAGTCCCCGGTCCAGTATGCAACTTCTACAGTGTGACGTAGAAACGTTAGAAATGAACATATCAGACACACATTATTCCGAGCAGAATATTTATATAAATGACTTAATACGTGTTTTTTAATTGACCATAAGTCACACCCCTCCTTGCTCTGTGTTCCAGTAACAGTTGAGCATCAATTGATTTCCTGTCGGTAACATTTAATTAAAGAATTGTTTCAGGGATCCTGTTACTCTCTCTATTACCCTGACTATAACATTTGACTTTGCTTTAACAATGCAGGTCAGAGGGCACAGGGACTACTGGAAAGCCGTAAGCGTTGAATGAAACTTTGAAGCAGTGACATTTCCGAACCGTATGACCGACAGTTGAAATGCAGCCGTGCTTCATTCAGGCAGGTCTATTCTTACCACTCACATGATGACCCTATTTCTGTCTGGTCAATGGGGACCTTGAACCACTCTGTAGACATGTTGAGAAATAACACCCAAAAAAACCCAAGTCAGGTTTTTTTTTTTATTTTTTAGAAAAAATAGTTTACAAATGATGCAGTCGGTACATCTTTCTGAAGTCATTCAACACAAACATCATTTACAGAACAAGCCCTTTCTCCATCCCATGAAACAGACAAATTTTTCTTTAAAAGCAGTGTATAGGTCTTTCTTACACCAATATTTACACTTAAAACTAAGTAATAAATATGATAAAAGGAGTATAATGTTTAAAAATCAAGATAAATATGCTGCCAGTAGGCCAGGAGGCACTCTGTGAGTGATGTGGGTTGACAGTTGGAGTCGTGAAGGTTTCAGCACGGCAGATTCATCACTGAAACAGCATCTGACTGACAGACCAGGTCAAGGTGTGTGACCTGGCCTCTGCCTTGCCAGCCAGTTTGGGCCCTTGTATTGACAGTTGGTATATAATGCTTGCTATAGCTGCATTTAAAAATAACACTTACACTGCTGATATTGCACACTTTGCTGTATAATTTAGCAACTCTTATGTCCAGCATTGCTCCCTTAATAATGACGAGAGCATAGCGTATGTAACGTAAAGAAGAGTCCCCTACTGAGAAATAAAGCGAAGTCAAAGTTCAGCACCCTTAAAAAGGTGTGTATTTCTGATAGTTTACAGTACATTGAGTAAATCTATCTGCAGTCATTGTTACACGTCCTCTGACTGATTCCAGTGACAGTGTCTAACCTGCCTCTGCCCTTTATTCTTAGAATATATTCTTATAATATACAGTATGTGGTAGTGTGTGCTGAGACAGGGTCATTTAAATATTACAGGGCGCAGTTACTGTGCATTAGCCACATTGCATGAATTTATACGTCAGTCATCAAGGTCTTAATGCTACCTGGATCCTGGTCTTAGGTATTGCTGTTCATATTATCTTACAAAAGAACTGTTGCCCTCACTCTAACCTCTGCCTTCCTGAGGGACGAGCAGCGTAAGTAATGACCCACCTTTGCTATAACTGACCTTCTACATCTTGTGAACAGGGTTCAATGTTTTTTCACTTCAATCTACTGCCCAAAGTCAATTTTTACTTGCCCTTATCCAAATTGCTTTAACATAGTCCCTTCTTGTTGCGATGCAAGTGAGACGCTGTCGGCTCCTGTTATGGCACTCCTGCATCGTTTTTCAGAAACTTGATGTGCCTTTGAAAACAATGTTTTATCCACCTTGCTCTCAAACTTTTTTTTTTTGCCTCTAACACCACCCAACAAACACCACCCTTTTTCCATTTTGACATGAAATAGTAGGGAAAACACAGAATCAGAACCTCAATTAGTGTCATTGGTAACACCTGTGTTTACCCTACTATTTCATGTGAAACTGGCTGCTGGGGAAAAGGTATATTGAAATGCTTTCTGGCTCTTTAGCTCATAGACTTTTGGTTCTGAGCGTGTGCAACTTTCAACAGAGATGTGAGGGAAGCGAGATGGCTCACTACTTAGCTACTTCCACCATCAGCTCGGAAAATCGGTGTTCAATTCCTTTTTACCACTTCTACCACCAAATCAAGCCAAGTGAGTTGCTAGCCTGGACCTGGCATTTTCCCTGGTCCTGGCAAGTCTTATTGTTGAGCCTTGTGCAAGCTTTCAGAAATTGTGTTAGTTCTTGGTTTCATTTTCATTGTACACCAAGAACCAGAAAGGTCAGGAAATGTGTCATGATGAACAGGCTACTCTCATTAGCATGTTGCACTGCAGTAACCGTTTGAACAAGCAAGGTTAGGGACTAATGCCTGTGGTCTCTCTTGACACAACTGTGGGCAATGTGGTTTGACAGCACTGTTGGGCAATGGATCCAATGCCCAACCGTTTCTAGAGCTGCAGCTATTAGTCAGATAATCAATTAGTTGAATCTTAAGGAATCAGCAACTACTTCAGTTGATTAACTCTATCGTTTCAGTCATTTTTCAACCACAAATGCCAAACATTCTGTGGTTCCAGCTTGTTTTTCTTTGTCACATATAACAGTAATGGTGAAACTGTAAAATGGCTAACTTCCTGTCCATTCTTGCAGTTTGCTCGCCACTTCATCACACTGACGTTCTGCTGCCTGCCGTTTAGGACCGCCTCTTTGTGGAGTTCTCTCTCCTGATTGGATAAAGTGGGAACAGGATACCAGGAAGTGTATTCTCTGTTTCTGGGAGACCATGTGACTGACTGAATCTCTCTATATCAGTGATGAATGTCTGAATGTAGAGCTAACTAACACCTATTTTAACAAAACAAGGTGTTTGTGATTTTAACAAGCACCTTTAAAATGAATATCTTGAGGATTAATCAAGAACATAAACTGCAGATTCATAAGTGATGAAAAAACTGTTAGTTGCAGCCCTACACTCTTTTTACACTCCATCTTATGTTGCTGAAAAAGGAGTATGTAACAAGCAGAAGCTGAAGACTAAGACAGTGCTCTGCAGGCATTACCATCTGTGGATCACTTTCTAATTCATAACACGTGAGACAAGCTCTCACTGAATACTGTATAATCCTTTCCCACTGAGATTCAAATCAGATGTGGGTCAGCTGTCGGAAGGAAGTGTGCTGCCCTGCGTCTGGCAACCCAAGTAAATGAGAGATTACGAATGGACCTGTACATGTAATGGGGGTTGACCTGGGACGAGCAATTAACTGGCTAAGCTCCCGGCTCACTGTCCCCACTGACCAGAGAGCTTCACCTGAAGTCAAAGTTGTTTTCCAATCCTGAATCTGCACAGAAACACTTGACGCTTGCATGACGCTTGAAAACATTATATTAAGAGAAAATAAACATTTTATGTCATCCAAACTGACTACAATGTAAGATTTAGTCTTGCATCTTATATCACCACACCGCAACGTCTAGCAGCTTCACCTAAGCCTCTGCAGCACCTGCTAAAACAGGGTCATTGCCTTTAATCGACAGTGATAGCCAAAGAGTGACAGGAAAGGGGGGAAAAGAATGGGCCACTGGCCGCTGCAGCAAGAATTCAGCCTTGGTACATGAGCTACCTGGACACTCATCTGCATTGTTTCATTTAGAAGTGATATGCAATAAATAAATCAAATCATCTACTATACATCCAAACATCTGCACACCGAAGCGAAAAATAGAGTTGACCCTTGCAGAGCAGAATATACAATATACTGCCATTATTTGTCCCATCCCTATGGTTGACCATTGGTCCCTGATGGAAAGGGGACAAACACTGATAGGAACTGGCTTTTGGAAAGTGCAGCAGCTTGTGGAATTAATGTCTGTTCCAGCGGTAGCAATGCAGTGGTTAGAGCAGTGGAGTTAACTATTGAGTGTAGCAGATGTTCACAGATGTGATGACACACTCGCTTGACCAGTCATGACTGGCAGCACTGCTAGGCCATGGTTTCCATGGAGATGCATACATAACCTGTGAACTCTCCACAGATTCCTAAGTTCTGATAATGGAAATGAAATGGAAACATGCGTTTAGCACCAAGGTGAAAATGAGCTGGTGGATCCACATCAGTTATACAAAGATGAGACGGGAAATTGTTGGGTAATAAACTTGGTCATTGCTGTGAGAAAGGCACTGCAGTTTTCAGTAAGTACACTGGTAGTCTCTGCTTTCTCTCTACACTCTAGTTTTTCTCTCTGGCATTGGCTTTGTGTCTGTCTGTGTATCTGTATTTGTGCAGCGAGGGCGACACTACGTGTGGTGAACCTCATGGAACATGAGCTCGCGAGGGATGGCCGTCTCTGTGCCGTACGTGTTGGCGGCACGGCGCTCAAATGCTGAAACCATCTGCTTCACCACCTCGTCAAAGAAGACGTGAGCTAGCTGGGAGTGGAGGAGGGAGCGGAACTCGAAGGAGATCTGAGGAGGGAAGGAGGTGGGAGAGAATAAAGTTAGCAACTGAATTTGGTCAGTGTGGGTTTGAAACTGATCCAATGTGAAATATGACACACCAAGCTCAGACACATGGAACAACCAACATGTGATCACAGACAGAGCAAATGTCTTTCTTTTAGCATGTTAACATACTGCGTCTACTTACAGAAAAATCCACAGTGCAGGTACGAGGGTAGCCGGGGAGGCCGGGGCTGAAACGCCAAACCGTCTCCAAGTGGTTGAACAGTTTGGCCTCTGAAGAGGAAGCCTGACCAGAAACATAGAAAACACACTGACTGCAAATGGTTTGCCTAAAAGAATACAAAAATTAGAAACTAACTTCATGGATTTCTAATAAATCAATAAATGTCCTGGAAAAGGATTTGTTTCAGAAGTACCAGAGTACATGTACCTCTGGTTCTGGAATCACTGACTTAAGGGACAATAACAAAGGATTTGTTTAGGATTTAGTGGCATCTTGCCATGAAGATGAAGTTTGCATCTAACTGAACACCACTCTGGATGTGACGACCTGGGAATAAGTAAGTGTGTAGGAGAAACTACAGTAACAGTAAAAAACAACAGCCAGTGTTTGGTTTGTCAGTTCTGTGTTACTGTAGAAACATGGCAGTTCAACATGGTGGACTTTACAAGCTGGCTCTGTCATCTGTCAAATTAATGCAAATAGAAAATCCTTAATGCTGACCCATCTAGCAAGAACCACACGTAGGAACAAGTATTAGGGACATTCACTATTTTTCTCAGACTTTGAAATAAACTAAATTTATGAACTAAATGCAGAAGTAGTCCAGAACTGTCCTAGGAGTCATGTACAAATAGTCTGCCTCTCTCCACAGGGGAAAACAAACTTGTGAATTCGAATGGCTTGATGTGAATGAATCTAGAGTTTAAATGCAAGATTTTATTTTACTCTATAGATTTTAGATTTTATTATTTGTATTGGTATATTATGGCACATCAACTTGAACATTTCAGTAGTTGTTGAAATATTCTTAATATAATATAAAAATGAGGCCCACTGTATTTAGCAAACAGGTGCTGGGAGGCAGTACCTTACCTTGACCAGGTGGGGGCGTACTGTAGTCACGAGGGAGGTGTAGTTCTCCACCACAGGTGGAAATCCCACAGTCAGTTTGGCCTTGCAGAATCCAGCTCGCTTGAACACCACTTCAGACTTCTTACACCAGGGAACAAAGAGGCGGTAGTTTTCCACACCTGCCACCACCTCGTATATCTCCTGCATGGAAAACCTGAAGAGTCGTGGATGGGGAGGAAAGAGGGTTAGGGTTGGTGCAAATGTGAGAGAGAGAGAGAGTGGATGAAGGTCAGCAACTGTGACATAACACCAAACACTAAACAAAGCTGGCACAGACTCATAACCCAGTTAGGTCGGAACTAGGTCAATGAGGGGCAGAGAGCGAGAGGGTGGGGAGGAAAGGGGAGAGACAGAAGGAAGAGACAGTGAGAGGCAGAAAGAGTGCAACATGAGAGGAAGAAAAGAGCAACGAAATAAACAAAATAAAGGCGACATGCAGTGAATGACAGACAGTATCCCACACAATGGTTACGTAACTCCATCACTGCTGCCGCCTGCGTCTATTTATACAAGCAGGTTTAGTGATATTGACCTCTCTATGGGACGCAGGAGGACATTTAGTGCGTCACACACAAATGCATGTGGAGCCTCAGACAGGGCACCAGCACTCAAATCAATTATTCACACATGTACGTAGAATTTAGGAAGGCTTTTTAATAAGATGTATATTATTGTATGCTGCTTTCTGTAAGGTGTATAGAGACTTCGGTGATCATGCGCCGTAAACATTTTTTTATCATTAAAGCTTAGGACATGGTTGTCAAACAAGTGGCCCATGGGCTGGAACTGGCCTGCCAAAGGGTCCAATCCGACCCACTGGATGACTTTGCCAAGTGTGAAAATTACAGAGAAGCAGAGGTGGCTAAAGTATGTACTGTCTTTACTCAAGTAGAAGTACAGATACTTGTGTAACAAAAGATAAAAGTAGAAGTACTGATTCAACATCTTTACTCAAGTAAAAGGGAAAAAGTACAGACACAAAATGTACTCAAAGTATAAAAAGTACACCTTGGTTTTTCTGAAGGACAATTCTAACAGCTACCTGAAACTTCACATGGGATCCAGTCTCCTATTCTTGTCTGCATCGTCCTGTCTTTTAGGACATTTATTTTGTTTTGGTCACGTTACATCTGTCATGCGTAATATGCACCTGTCTTGATGTTTGGAAGGAGTTCAAAGATGCAAAATAAAAATGTATCATTTCCCCTCAAATGCGTCAAATGAGCCTGCTTTAAAATGTAAGAACAGAATGTATGGATATTTGTGTAAAATGTAGGGAGTAAAAGTAGAAGTACAGTACAGTACACAAGTAGTATTTTCACGTATCTGTACAGTATAGTACTTAGTATTTGTACTTACATGTACCATCATTCCTGATTTGTCTAATGGACAAAGAAAGAAGTCAAATACTATATTGTAGTTTCCCATGTGATCTATAAATGATAATGTACGTGGAAAAACTGGCAGATTGTTGAAATTGCACTACTTTTGTGACTGTTTTCAGAATGTACTTCTTCACACTGTTGTTATTTATAGGTTATCATGCAGCAGTTGGTACTGGTCTGGCCCACATGAGGTCAAACTGTGCTGTATGCAGCCAAAGAACTAAAATGAGTTTGACACCCCTGAAGAACACTGTGAGCTCTAATGGCCTTTATGATAGAGACAGCTGAAGACAGACAGGAAAGGGGGACAGAGAGAGAGGGGATGACACACAGCAAAGGGCCACAGGTCAGATTCAAACCCTGGGCCGCTGCAGCAAGGCCTCGGTACATGGGTCGCCAGCTCTACCCACTGAGCTAACTGGGCGCCCAGCAAAAGCATTTGAAGTGAAAGCAGACTTGAGAGACTCACCCAATGATGCGTCTTTCCGAGTACTCCTTCCTCTTGGAGAGGGAATCAGCCAGGTTGAAGAAGCTGCGGGCGGGCAACATAACACCACGCCCGGGCATGGCTGCACCCAGCAGGGGAGGCACGCGAGTCATCAGGATCCCACATGATGATAAGTATCTGATCACAAAACAAACAACAAGGAGAGGAAATGAATTAATACAGTATGCTCTCATGAACCACAGAACAGGACAGGGCCAGTACACTGACTTCTGTTTGGTTGTTTCTACAAATAATCCTGGTTGTTCCTCTGTTACTACTTCATTTACAATGTCAAATGCTTTGTTTTTTCCAAGTCACTTTTTGGTAACAAACCTAAATAGGACAGGAACACTCATCAACATAAACCTGCTGCTAGTCAGCATATAATACCTGTAAATCAAGAACAAGCCTTTATTCCTGGGGAGCAGGATACTCTAACATGGGAGCCTTCATGCCACACCTGCCAAACATTTGTCATTCAGGTAAAAAGGGTCACAGCCGTACAGATGCCAATAAAACAAAATGGGACAAGGTCAAGGGCACCAACTTCAATACTAAGAAATCCCACAGTCTAACCCTCCTAGGCCTGCTCAAGCTTGTTTTCTGACTGCCTGCCGACATTGCTATACATGTACTTTCTGTTTAGCCTGTTGCAGAATTAAGTGAATGATTAGGGTTCAGCTGCATTACAACCAGGTAATAGTGGAAGAATAAGTTCCAACAGCAGACTCAATCTACTTGTAGCTTGACGTCCAACTGAAAACCTCACTCTTATGATGACCTTTTGATATATTGAGTACAGCACTAAAATGAATGTCCTCGCAAAAACTGCTGAGCTGAAATACCACCATAAATTAGTTAAAGGGCTGTTTTTGGTTTAGATACTTAGTTGTATAATTCTCTGTACTGCAAGTCTCTAACGTTACATTTTAAATGACCAGTTTGTTTGATTCATTAGCCACTCACTACTACCAGTGGCAGTGAGGCCTGCTATAAAGACTCAGAATGGAAGAAGTGTATCCCTAGTCATCATAGGTATTCAAATTGCTTTTTGTTACGTTGTGACTATTTTGACAGTGGATTACACATCATTTATCAAGCAAAAATAGGAAAATATTCTCTGGGTCCAGCTTCTAAGATGTGAGAATGTGTTCATTCTCCCTGGTTTACATTTGGAATTTTGTACAGTTGATCCGATAAAATGAACAACTTCAAGAAGTCACCTTGGGCTCTGGGAACTGACTTATGATTTGCAATTGCTACTTCCCTTTTTCCACTGTAGAGCTTTACCGATCAGGAGCCAGTGGGAGTCCAGGGGCGGATCTAAAGGGGTGGCAGTCTGGTGTCAAATGCTGTCAAATTTAACATTAATTTAGATACATTTAAAAAAAATAACATATATAGGTCACATATATAATTTCATGTTCTGTTGTAGACACATTTTAGACTAAGTGATAGGCTTACGTTCAATGAAGACGAGGAGATTTGGAAATAAAAGAGTTCATTGATCTCTAATGCCACCTTTAGATATTTCTATTCAGTGTTTTACTAATGTGCCACAATAAGTTCAAATATCTTCATTTGAGGGATTTTCCAAGCAAATAATGATATATGTGATTGTGTTTAAATCAGCAGATATTTCTGCCACCCCTTAAAGTCTCCAGGACACCCTCTGTTAGCGCTCCCATCCGCAGGCTGCAGGGGTACTGCAACTGACCACTACTGAGGGATCTGTCAGACACTTTGATTTGTCTATTGTGCCTGGCTGTCAGCCACAGCACCTGGGGCACCCTGTACCACAATGTCCCTGGCACTGCATGGTTTGGAAGCCCAACAAAGCTCTCTGGGCATATCTTTAGATTTAACCAGCCTTTATGCCACTACTTAATGTAATGTGACAATATCAATGTCATCATCAGCTTGATTCTGTGCTTCTTTGAATTACTGGTCCATTACCGGCCTGCTGGTCACTTCAAAGAGAAACCACCCACTACTACCAGAAATGTGATCCAGCTGACACATGGTACTGGCCTCACACTGCCAAGTCCATGTAAGTGTATGGGTGCAGATATGGAGAAAGAGCAAGCTCTCACAATTTAATAAGGCAATGTTTCAACAGTCAAGGTGAGGAAACTGTTGGCAAAATGTTGCCAAATTAAAACTATGAGCGCTTGCAATATTCTGTGTGCAACACAACACTTCCAAGGAATTTGCCTCCTTCCAAACCAATGTGCCAGAGGCTAACTTGGATTTCAATTGTTTTTCAAGTTGGAAGAGTAATGGTAGTGGTCAGCTGGTATAAAAAACCCCTTCCTCTGTAGGATTTTAAACCACAGACAAAAATGGAAGTCTATTGCATAACACCGTGCTCTTGCAGCAGCTGTTCTCCTTACACATGCCTATATTTATAACCTTGAAGGTCCTGGGCAAGTTAACATGGTTAAGCTGCAGTAGTGGAATGTAAATTGGTACATTTTTGAGACACTTTACTTTACCCAGGGTTTCTTATGCTTCAACAGGTTAAATGTAAGAGTTCTAAGACCTTAAGGACCATTATGAATGCAATTTAAAAAATCATTTATTTCAATACTGGCAAGAAACTATGAAGGATATGAAAGACAATCAGTTTTGATTCCATATCAGCTTTGTTTTGTATTTTTTGAATATGACAATTTTTTTCCCAAGAACACATTTAAGAGAGAATGAAAAATGCAACTTTATTAATCAAAGCCATTTTAAAGAGGCTCAAATCGTATTTAAGACATTTTAAGGCCTACAATTATTGGAATTCATTTAGTTTTAAGCCCCAGCAAACACCCTGTGTACCCTAGTATTTTCATTTGATGATGCTTTCACTTTTACTTTTACATTTCAGAGGTAAATGATGTACTTTCTATTCGACTACATTTATCTGCAGTTAAAAAAATGATATAAAAACTATATTATCAGTTTATAACTATTATGCATAATAATAGATAACATTATCTAAAATAGTTAAAAATGGCTCGATCAGCTTGATGACACAGCTGTACTTTTACTTGTGTAAATTTGAAGGGCAGCACTTTTACTTAGTAGAAAGAACTTTTATTTTGACCTATAGTACACACTCTGAAGGCTCTATCAGAACACTAGGCTACTTCCACCAGTGTTGGCTGGTGTCTTATTCTGCTTTGTACCTGGACTACATTAGACAGATGATGCAACAGGCCCCACTGACTAATTACGATGTTGTTGAAGAAATCTAAAGTTGTAGAAAGAAACTATCTGACTGACAAGAATATGCAGGGCATACAATGCATGTTCCAATGGGGCTAATAAACCAAAGAAGGTACACGAAGAGTTACGTTTGTAAATGTTAGCTTTAACCCCAAACAGTCTCTAGCAGAATGTCTCTGGTACTAACGCTGCCTTTACAAACATTTGTTATTGTCAGAGGTGCGTCTGCTCCTACACTTTCCAGCTTTAGTCGAGAAATAAATGGTCCATTACCGTACCTTACGTTGTTCCTAGTCTGTATTTCCCGGCTGGCTGTAGAAGGTAACTGTTTCATGCACTCAGCTACCCTCCGCAGGCTCCGACTACCTCTCGCCATCGTCCCTTCTTAAACGGATTTCTTCTTCACTCTCCCACTAATGTCAAGTTGACAGACATCAATGCCCGCAGGTTTGTCCCGCCCCTCTCTGAACGCCGGCCTACCATTGGAGGACCCATGACAACGGAGACTTTTCACTGGCCAGTCTCGCGGTTCATCAGCCGAAATTACTGACGTCTATGCTTCGCTCACGCACGAACGCGCACACGCGAGAATGTCACGAGATGTTGTCTCAGGTTTCGGCCTATGTTCATTTTGTTCATTAAAGTTCAGTGGAGCACAGTGTGACGTTATTCACACGCCCACTGTGTGGTCAGTCACTGAAACTGTTTCAAACATTGCCCGCCATCTTTGAAGCTATTAATTAGTGTTAATTAGGCTAATTATTTTATACGTATTACAGTTAGTACAGAAGTTCGTCTTTTGATGGTATGTTGATTCTGCTTTAGGTCGTCTGGTTTGGAGTGTATGTCAAAGCAGATAGTTTGACTCTGACTGATGACTTACTGTGCTATATACAATACTATACATGTGCTATAAATGCTGTATTATATACTACTACCAATACTACTACTATAATAATAATAAATCATATATAATTACTACTACTACTACTAATAATAATAATAATAATAATAATAAATACTACTACTACTACTACTACTAATAATAATAATAATAATAATAATAATAATAATACACTTTATTTATATAGCACATAGTTAGAACATGCTTTTTAAGAAGGGAAAAGTCATAAAATCTGTATTTAAGCACCCTGCCACCAGATAAGATAAGATAAGATAAGATATTCCTTTATTTGTCCCACAATGGGGAAATTCCAGATAAGGTTACCTATCAGACTGGAAATTTGTTTCAAAATGCAGCTGTAAGGAAAGCCATAACTAGAAAGTGGTGAAAACCAGAAACTCCTACAGTCAACAATTGGGTTGATATTATTTATGATATATTTAATATGGAAATAATCAATTTTTCCATTAGACTGCAACAGGAGCAGTTTTTGAAAAGATGGGAAGGTTGGACTGTGTACATTACCCCTTTTTGTTTTGATTTTTCCCTTCTATCTTCTTCTTTTTTATTTGAGTATCATGAAGGCACACCCCATCACTCTGGTTCTACTTCCTACATTTAAAAAAAAAAAAAAATTTCAATTTTTTTTCTTTCTTATTTGCTTCTGTGTTGTCATTTAAATGTCAGCTCTGATTTGGTTTCTACTGCTCTATGATAATGATTGTTTACATTGTCTGTATGGACCTTGGTATAACTCAATAAAAAAAAAAAATCAAATAAACATAAAATTAAATCAGAAACAATCATATATATTCACAACACAACACATCTGTGGGCTATATGGAGAGACATGTTATTAATACTATTTATTACACCATTCTTTGCACTGCCATGCACTACCTGTACCACAACCCTGCATGTACAGTGACAATATGACCTGAAAATAGATTATATTGTATTTTATTGTCTAGGCCCTGTCTTTAAAGAAGATATATCTTTCGGTTTGGTAATATTTGTTGAGCTTGTTTTCTTTGTTTATGTGTGTGTTTTTTAAAATTGAATCATCCTGTAAATTTGCACTGCATGTAAGTATATTTGGAGCTAACTTCTTTATATGTGTCAACATACTTGGCCAATAAAGTTGATTCTGAATTTTATTGTGTATTTCTACTCGGCTTATTATTGCTCTGATTTTTTGTGTTCTAAATTTAAATTTGAAGCATCCATTTCGCTAGATTAAAAATAACAAACATCAAACATTGACTCATCATCAAGTCTATTTGAGGACTGTATAAAAGTAACTCTAATAATAATAATAATGATAATGATGATCATCATGTAGTTGTTGTATTATACGTATAAATGTGTTATGTTTGCAACATCGCCATATAGTAATAAATACAGTGGTAAAAAGTGCATTTACTGAAGTAGTACCTACAGTACATGAATAACCTATAAGTAAACATTTGAGTTTACGTTTCACATTTTTAATCCACTACAATGTAATGTAGTGGATTAAAAATGTATGTTAATGTATGTACTTTTTACTCGACTATATCTATCTGACGTCTATGGTTACTCTTCAGATTATGATTTTAAATACAAAACATATGACCTTATTAAAAAAGATGCATTGTCAGATACATTGTCATAGATGAAACTACCCAGCAGTATATAAATGAATTAAAATGAGCTCAATGTAGAACAGCACTCACACATATTAAGGCGTCAGTAATAATCTCATATATGTAATGTTGTACACTTTGGAAAGAGCATTCTACATAATGAAGACTTTTGATCCATTCTGCCTCTAATACGTGTTGTGTTCAAGACTCACACAGGTACAGAGTATTTATCCACTGCGGTATCGATACCTCCTTCTACCAGTACGCTTCCTGTCTTTTGTAAACTGGTCTGAGATCTGCTTGAAAAAGACGGAACTGTGGATTAACGCGCTTCCGGTTTCAGACTCGACAACCACCACCAAAATGGCGAAGATCGCCAAAACGCACGAAGGTAAAATTTTTGCAAAAAAAATACTAAATAGCTTGTATTTTAGATTCTTTTTCACAGTTTTACAGGCTAAGAAATGTAGTAGTTTCTGTTGCGATGTCTGGGACACATATTAATGTTTGAATGTATTGCTTTTAAACGCTGTAAGCAGCAGGCCAGAGAACGACGCAACGCGGACGGCTTAGATAATGGCGCTGGCTGCTAGCTGCTTTAGCTTGCTAGTTAGCTACCGTCGCCATGCACTTATTAAAATGTTTTCTAAATGTCTATAGAACTTCATCACCACATTCACCGACGTGCTGTAAATATATTTTATTTTTACTGCGCATGCATTATGGTATGACTATCTTAAGATTATCTCGGTTTATTGGAGTTTAAATGCTAATATGGTTATCATGTGGCTAACCTAGTTAGCAATAGCTTCATTTAACAACACCATACGTTACACAAACGCGCACGTTGAGCTATTCGTGTCACTCCGCCGTCCTGCTCGTTAAGCCTCTGTCGTTTGAATAATGAAACGTCGAAAATTAGTTTGTTTGTTTTACTGTGGAGTCAGATTTGTTGGTGATAATGCAATATCTCATCGTCTCCTGTTTGTTTTTTCATTCCCCGGTAGATATCGAGGCCCAGATCCTGGAGATCCAGGGGATGAAGGCCACCCTGCTGGAAGAAGGAGAGCAGGGAGTAGGCCTTGACTCCACTGGCTTTTATGACCAGGAGATCTATGGCGGCAGCGACAGTCGCTTTGCTGGATATGTCACTTCCATTGCTGCCAATGAACAGGAGGATGTAAGTATTTTCCAACCTAGGGCATAGACAAGTTTGTTTTTGTTTCTTCTCTCCCAGGTAGTTGCAGAGTTTACAGATCCTTCATCCTTTTGTTCCATTGCAAGTGCACATTGATTTTGGAGATTGATTGCTCCCCCTTTTGCCTGTTGCACATGAGCTAGAAGAGCCTTTTTTTGTTGTTGTGACATTTGACTAGACTCCTGCGTCTCTCTCTTTCCTCAGGACGATGAAGAGGATTCATCAACAAGCTTGTTGGGACAGAAGAAGCCAGGGTACCATGCACCAGTGGCAATACTCAATGCCATTCCTCAGTCAGACGAGCAAGTATGTGTTCATTTATTCAGTGGCAAATATCAAGTACATTCTCTGTGAGTTTTATAATAAGTCAAAATTTAAAAAACGTTTTAGGGTTCCCATGTCTCCTGGAAACCCTTTAAGTTTGGGGACTAGTTTTCCAGACATAGAAACACATTGAAATGGTTTTAAATGACCAAATATTCTGGAAAAATATTATTGTTCTGGAAAATGTTTATTCTTCATTAGCCTATGCTGTGGCCAAATTAATGTTATGTCAGGGGGAAAACTGTAGGCGATTCAGAAAGCAAAAAATTTTCTGAATTGTCTACAGTTTTAAAAAAACAAGAACACTGAACACTGTTTGCGAACAAGTGCTGTCCTGTATTGTCAAGAAAAACTCCTGGAAAGGTCCTGAAAAATGAGTCCTTAAAGGACGAAATCCCTGTTTTTGGTTTCTTTCTTTTTTTGTTGTTCCACAGAACTTATGAAGAGCCCTTTTGCCTTTTGAACTGCACTTACACCCTTTATCCCATCTTGCTTTTGCAGTATGACCCATTTGCAGAGCATCGTCCGCAGAAGATCGCAGAGCGGGAAGATGAATACAAAGCCCGGCGCCGACAGATGATCATCTCACCTGAGCGTCTCGACCCTTTCGCAGATGGTAAATTTTGCTCTTTTTTGTCTTCATTACACCGTCCCCATTTCCTCCCCCTTTTCACGGTTCACTGTTTATGTGACCCCCATGACTACCAATGGTTTCACACTCATAGTTTTGCTGTTAAACCCTTCGACCACAATGCAATAGCTTGCCTCCCAGACATGATGCCTTCCCTGTGGTCAATCCTTTGTGGTCCAAGAACATTTTGTGTCATTGTACGTTTTCTTCCTATTATGATCTGCCTTTGTATCGTCTTCCAACTTTGCAACACATGGCGTGTGGGCTCATAATTTATCTGGAGTATTTTGGTTGGGGGAAATATTGTTGTTATCATCCTGGTGTGTGCGTTTTTAAAATCAAGTTAAACCCATTGTAGGGTTACCATGTCTTTTAGTGGGAGAGGTGGTTAGGTGTTCAAAGGGGTAATTCACCTAACAAACGTGGGTCGCAGATGGGTTGTGTGTGAGTCGAAGGGTTAACAATCCCATGTGAGCGTTAGCCTAGATTATAATGGGAAAGAGCAGGGTCTTCTTGTCGTAGCGTACAAGGATGAGGAGTGTGAGTTTTAATATCACCGAAGGTGTAATTTAGCTGCCAGTGAACTGTGCTATGCCATGCTGAGCTCACCAACTGATGACAATAAACAGAGTATTAGATCCCAAGGCAGGCAGTGGAGAGACATATGATGGGTTACTTTGGCATAGTCAACCCAGAATTCAGTCATAAACTGAATTTGTCAGTCATTTGTCTTCCCAATTTCTCTTTGTCCGGGCTGTAATTTAAGCATCTTGTGGTAACTCCACCACCTCTGTTGGCTTGTCAAAGTTGATAGATATGCAAGGTCCTCAGCATAGGAACACTGCATCGCAAGATAGTTTCAACCTACTGTTGAATGAGGCCAGCTTTTCTTACAGACCTGATGATGATAGTTTCTAGCTTTAGAGTTTTTGTAGCTTATCACAAATTAACCATTTTCTGCTTATGCAAGAATTCAGACCTGTGCTTGGAAATGGCATTGGAATTGGCAATAATTATAAGTCAGCTAGCTTATCTTTGCATTTTTATTACATAGTCAGTTCCCCTGGCAAAGTGAGCTTAAATGGCCTGAGAGTCTCAGGTTTGGCCTAGGTAGGGCTTATCTGAAGCCTGCATGTAGAGAGAGCTCTTTGTACAAAGTTGTTGTGTAAATATATTTTTATTTTACAACTCTCCATGTAAAATAGAAATATGTTATCAAGAAAAATTGTGTACCGCAATACCACAGGCCCATACTAACTGTCCTTAATTTCTCTCCTACAGCAGTACTGCTTTGCCAGTCCTGTACTGCACTCTGTTAAGGGTGCAGCAACTCATCCTGTGTAGGTTATGGGGAACACAGAGAACTGTGCACTTGTCAGTTTGGTCAGGGTCCACTGGCTGCTTGTTTGGGGCCTGTGAGGGGAATCAGATGCAGCACAGCTACAACAAACCTCAACCCCCAAGAGCCTCTTAAGTTTTTTCATTTGGCTTATCAATTTCCAACAAATTTAGATAAAACCCTCCATGCATTCACGATGGAAAATTACTGCCCAAATATTTGACTACATATCTTTGCTTATATTTATCAGTTACCTTTTGTCCTGAAAAGGAAGTCAAGATCTAAATGTATGATGATTGAATAATAACCAGTGCTGTTATGAGCTCTGGCATGTCATATTCTCATTTATGTAGTTGGGCTAGATTTATTATTTTTTGCCTCATTTTTATATTTGAATGCCAAAGTACATACTCATATTTTTGTACTGTAGTAATGTCATTCCTAGATGTAGCCTCAAAATCATGACTCTTTATATGCTAGTAAAGATAAGTGGGAATCTGGACCACAGGGTCTCTTATGAATTTTTTCTAGTTATGCCCCAAGAAGATACTTTGTTTTGAGTGCCGTAAGTCAATGCAACACAGGTGGTATACTGTTGTGTGTGAGTTCAAACCCTTTTCCAAAGTGTTACTAATGGTAAAGAGAAATTTTCTAGGCTTCTTTTCTGCCGGTTGAAGTCTGACTGCAGAAGGACCCTTGGCACTGAAAGTGTACGTATTCTGAAGAGCACAGCCCAGGACCCCTGCATCAGTGATGGCTATAACTTCTTAATCCACTTTAAGAAAACACCACAACCTCAGCTCTTCTCTCTATGTATCTGCTTGTTTTTCATTAGAATGATATGACTGTATGTAAGAGAGACAAATGTATATTTGTATGTAATTTAGTAGGACTTTGTTTTGTGAATCAGCTGTTTGTAAAAACAGGAACGTAAGTTAATCTGTTGGTAAAGAGAGTCAGGGTTAGCTGGCTGTGTTTGTGCTTGCTGTGTTTGTAAAAACGTGGGTCCCTAGAGCGTATACTGATGAGTGTCCTATGTTCTTGTTCGTGCTCTTTCGCGCAGGGGGCAAAACACCGGACCCCAAGCTGCAAGTCAGGTCGTACGTGGACGTCATGTTAGAGCAGAACCTGTCCAAAGAGGAGGTAAGCAGTGCTTTTCTTTTACATGGACTGCAAACTATTTTACCTGAAGTTGTCAGATGTTAATCCTTTTATAGAGTTGTGTCATCCTGACGTTTGCGCATTTATTGCATGCAGAGAGAGATTCGTCAGCAGCTGGCAGAGAAGGCCAAATCAGGGGAGCTGAAAGCTGTCAACGGGTCCGCCGCCAGCCAAGCTGCCGCAAAACGTAAACGTCGCTGGGACCAGACAGCTGACCAAACCCCCTCTAATGCTACACCCAAAAAGATGTCCAGCTGGGACCAGGCTGACTCCTCTGCTGAGGTGAGCCACTTAAGTTTCAGCGTGTTACTGCTGGATAATACCATAAGTACCTTTCAGTGGGTAAAAAATAATATTGTCAGTTACTCAGTATAATGTAACTTGGTAACTATCTTCCGGTTGTTGATTGTTTTATTGATTATTGATTTTTTTAATCCCATAATTTCTTTGTTTCTGGTCCGTTGTAGACTCCAGGACACACCCCTGCACACACACCTTCAAACAGCCGATGGGATGAAACCCCTGGCCGCCCTAAAGGCAGCGACACCCCAGGGGCCACTCCCAGTACACGAATGTGGGACCCCACTCCCAGTCACACACCTGCCGGCGCTGCCACCCCTGGCAGGGACACACCTGGCCACGCCACGCCAGGCCACGGCGGAGCTACAGGAAGTGTACGCAAGAACCGCTGGGACGAAACCCCAAAGACAGAAAGGGAGACCCCGGGACACGGGAGTGGTTGGGCTGAAACACCACGCACAGACAGAGGAGATGAGTCGGTGGGCGAGACGCCAACGCCAGGGGCCAGTAAGAGGAAGTCTCGGTGGGACGAAACCCCTGCCAGTCAGATGGGATCCTCAACACCACTGCTGACCCCAGGAAAAACTCCCATAGGAACACCAGCCATGAACATGGCCACCCCAACACCAGGTAAACACGCCTTAGCTTTTTGTTGCATTCATCCCATTACTTTTTTAACATGACTTTATGCAGCTTTTAATGTATGTAAAAGAAAAAGAAAGAAAAGAAGAAACTGCCTTTTCAGAAGCTAATGGATATCTAAACAACAATATGTTAGTAACATGAATCCTCAAGTGTTGTTCTTCTGTTTTCTTCAGGTCACCTGATGAGCATGACTCCAGAGCAGCTGCAGGCATGGAGGTGGGAGAGAGAAATTGATGAGCGGAACCGGCCTCTCACAGATGAGGAGCTTGATGCCATGTTCCCAGAGGGATACAAGGTCTGTGCCCTTTTATTGTCCATAATTCTCTAGTGGCAAAAGCCTGAGTAAATATTATTAAAAGCATTCACAGTACTGACAGAACAGTACCCTTTTCTCCTCCGCAGGTCTTGCCTCCACCAGCAGGCTACGTGCCAATCCGCACTCCGGCCCGTAAACTGTCAGCCACACCGACTCCTATTGGAGGCATGACGGGCTTCCACATGCAGGTGGAGGACCGCACTACAAAACAGATGAATGACCAGCCCTCAGGAAACCTCCCCTTCCTCAAACCTGATGACATCCAGTATTTTGACAAACTGCTGGTGAGCATCACATTTGTGCGCACAACATATACGCAAACAGCTGTAAAATCAACAGCTGTGTGTTTGTCCTGTCAGAAGTTCAACACGTGTGTTCTTGTGCTCTTGTATGTTTGCATTAGGTGGAGGTTGATGAGTCCACACTGAGCCCTGAGGAGCAGAAAGAAAGGAAGATCATGAAGCTGCTACTGAAGATTAAAAATGGAACACCACCCATGAGGAAGGTTGGTCGCAGTTATTTCCTTACTTTGAACAATCCTATACTTTCCAATACCCCTTTTAACCATCCCACAAGGCCTACAATTTTCAGTGTTCCCTTAAAGTTCCTCTAGTCTATTTCTTCTCATGAATCAGCCAAGGAGGCTTGTAATGGCATAAAGCACAAAAACAATACCTATTGCAAGATCAACACCCAGCACTAAGCCTGCATGTGACTGCAGTGTGAATATTTGCTAGCTAAAGAATCTTTTCTGAGACACTGCTGCTTTCAGTAGAGGTCGGAGTGTACACGATCATAATCTGCTGGGAGCAACAGACAAATCATCACATCTGTTGATAGCGTCTCAATCATCATCTCACTGACTGAACCCCTCCTCTTCTCCTAGGCCGCTCTGCGTCAGATCACAGATAAGGCTCGTGAATTTGGAGCAGGCCCCCTGTTCAACCAGATCCTGCCATTGCTCATGTCGCCCACCCTCGAGGACCAGGAGCGCCACCTACTGGTCAAAGTGATTGACCGCATTCTCTACAAACTGGATGACCTGGTCCGACCATACGTACACAAGGTAGGCTGAGTGTGGAAGATCTGCACTTACTTTGTGTGGATTGTGTTTGGGGAACTAACCTTTTTTTGTGCACAGATCCTGGTGGTGATTGAGCCCCTGCTGATTGATGAAGACTACTACGCCAGAGTAGAGGGCAGAGAAATCATCTCTAACTTGGCAAAGGTAATGTGGAACACTTTTGTTTTAACTTCACAAATTCTGCACAGTCCACTTCCTGCGAACTATTCTCGCCTGTTCGACCAGTCCGTGGTCAGATCAGGGCTAGTCGTTCGCTAGATGAATACCAACATGAGAGCTAGCAGACGGGACATTTATGCCTCGTGTGTTCTCAATCTGCACCCGTTGGTTACAATCAATTGACAGAATTTTGTCATTTATTGCTTTGATAGACATTAATCATTGCCACAGTTATGGCAGATGACAGTGTCAGTCCAAGTGAATATCAGGGTGACCATGGGGTCTTAAAATCTAAAACCCAATAACCTGATTTATTATTTATGTCTTAAATGTGGTTTTGGCTGGTCTTCAATGATTGGATTAATTCATAATGTAATAATATAAATAAATATATAAAAGATAATCTTAATTTTCATTTTAATGACCATTTTATGTTGGCAAAATAAACATGGGGATGAACTGAACATTATGTAATTACAGCAAGGAAACTGTTAAGTCTATTGTTTAAAACATTTAATTTAGAAAGCTATGTTTTTCGGTTCATGATGACCTGGTCAGTAAATGGAGATCTGGCGATAACAGATATTTGACCTTTGTTTATATTTCCCGTCCATCCCAGGCCGCTGGTTTGGCTACGATGATCTCCACAATGAGACCTGATATCGACAACATGGACGAGTATGTGAGAAACACCACAGCCCGAGCCTTCGCCGTGGTGGCCTCTGCTCTTGGCATTCCTTCTCTCCTGCCCTTTCTCAAAGCCGTGTGTAAAAGCAAGAAGTCCTGGCAGGCGCGACACACAGGCATCAAGATCGTGCAGCAGATTGCCATCCTTATGGGCTGCGCCATTCTGCCCCACCTTCGCAGCTTGGTGGAGATTATCGAACATGGTCAGTCACAGTCACATGTAAAGGGGTTTGCAGGTTTTTGTAGACTTACACCATTGATCATTATCAACAATAATAAGGTTTTATTTTGACATGCAGAGACATTGTTTATGTGTATTTTTCATTTTTAAGTTGTAACTATAGTCCAAACTCTAAAATGGCTTTAAAAAGCTTAAATTGTGCTTGGAACTGACAGTAAAACCTGCAGACACAGCTCGTAATTGATTAATAAACACTGTCATAACTTCTGTAATGAAATGTGTTCAATCTCTGACTGTTGGTTTTGACTGTGTGATACCACAGGTCTGGTGGATGAGCAGCAGAAGGTGAGGACCATCAGTGCCCTGGCTATAGCTGCCCTTGCTGAAGCTGCCACACCCTATGGTATAGAGTCCTTTGACTCAGTCCTCAAGCCACTCTGGAAGGGTATCAGACAGCACAGAGGAAAGGTAAGAAGCCTGTTTTGAAACAATATAAAAGCTTTTACAAAAGCTCAGGTTTTGGAGGAAACAACAAACTATTGCAAGATCAACACCCAGCACTAAGCCTGCATGTGGCTATAGTGTGAATATTTGCTTGCTATAACGTCTCCTTGGAGGGGCTGCTGCTGTCAGTAGAGGTCAGATGAAAGACCCATTAATACTCTGCTGTCAGCGTCAGACAAATACATTTATTATTCAGCTCTGCACGCCACAATTCATGAGCTAAGCTTGTATTCACAATGCATTTCTTGCCCTTTGTCTCCAGGGTCTGGCTGCTTTCCTCAAAGCTATTGGTTATCTGATCCCTTTGATGGATGCTGAGTATGCAAACTACTACACCAGAGAGGTGATGTTGATTCTCATCAGAGAGTTCCAATCCCCTGATGAGGAGATGAAAAAGATTGTACTCAAGGTAAGGGATGGGCAGAAAAACTGATGTTAGGTGTTAAACTTCTGTAGCTTTAACCGTGCTTCTATAAACCTCAGCTACCTTCCTGCGACTCATTCTCGCCTGTTCAGCCACTTCATGGTTGCATCAGGGCTAGTAGTTCGCTACATCAACACCAACATGAGAATTAGCAGAGCTGGCATCTGTCCTATCTGTTCTCACCCTGCACCCGTTGGTTACATTCACAGGACCAAAGAGACACCTTGGCGATGCTCTCAGACACAAGTTTCCATCTCTGACCTGCAATTGTGTTTTGTCTCATAGGTGGTGAAACAGTGTTGTGGCACAGATGGTGTGGAAGCCAACTACATTAAGACCGAGATCCTTCCCCCCTTCTTCAAGCACTTTTGGCAACACAGGATGGCTCTGGATAGACGCAACTACAGACAGGTTAGCAAACACAGAGCAGTGTCCTTGCTGCAGCAACCTGTGGCCCATGGCTACATGTGCAATAAAGGCAAAAGCCCCATAAAAATATATTTAAAAAAGTAAATTCCAGGTTACTTACTTCAAAACTGCTGAAGCTTTTGCCAACACTGTACACGTTTCTGAACTGTCTTTCTCCTCAAACAGTTGGTGGACACCACAGTGGAGTTGGCCAACAAAGTGGGAGCAGCAGAGATCATCTCTCGTATTGTTGATGACCTGAAAGATGAGGCAGAGCAGTACAGAAAGATGGTGATGGAGACTATAGAAAAAATCATGGGCAACCTGGGCGCAGCTGACATCGACCACAAGCTGGAGGAGCAGCTGATCGACGGTATCTTGTACGCCTTCCAGGAACAGACAACAGAGGTGAGAGCAACTACACTCATAAGTATAATAAGTAGAAGAACAGCTTGCAATGTCAAGATCTTCCAGTATAGGAAGAACCCTCTTTACAGAATGTTTTTTCCTTTCCCTTTTCCTCCAGGACTCTGTGATGCTCAATGGTTTTGGCACAGTGGTGAATGCCCTCGGGAAGCGCGTGAAACCCTACCTGCCTCAGATCTGCGGTACGGTGCTGTGGCGCCTGAACAACAAGTCGGCGAAGGTCCGTCAGCAGGCTGCTGACCTGATCTCCCGTACAGCTGTGGTCATGAAGACCTGCCAGGAGGTACACTACGAAGACATACACACACATTCAGAGACCCAAACTGTTTGAACTTATTTTAGAAACTAATGCGTGTTCTGCTTGTCCGCCACTGCAGGAAAAGCTGATGGGTCACTTGGGTGTGGTGCTGTATGAGTACCTGGGAGAGGAGTACCCTGAGGTGTTGGGTAGCATTCTGGGAGCACTCAAGGCCATTGTGAACGTTATTGGTACGTATCCTACATCACCTGAATCAACAGTCATTGCATTTTGAATGATTAACCTGTTTTACCTTGCCGGTCATCTAGATTTTGGGATTTAGAGAAGGAAACTTCTAGATAACTATAGTGTCATGTTCCTTTCATTGCAGGTATGCATAAGATGACCCCACCAATCAAAGACCTGCTTCCTCGTTTGACTCCCATCCTGAAGAACAGACATGAGAAGGTGCAGGAGAACTGTATCGATCTGGTGGGCAGGATTGCTGACAGGTCGGTTGCAGAAAGCCTCAGATTGAAGCTATAGGAATGTGACTGCAGTGTCTTTCAGGCCTGTACCTTATCCTAACTCCTTTTTATCTTTCATATATTTTAGGGGTGCTGAGTATGTGTCGGCCAGGGAGTGGATGAGGATTTGCTTTGAACTCCTGGAGCTGCTCAAGGCTCACAAAAAAGCAATTCGCAGAGCTACTGTCAACACGTTTGGTTACATTGCCAAAGCCATTGGGTGAGTCTGTCAAAGCATCGTGGAGATCTTTGTGAAAACCGAATCTTTTTGTTAATCAGATTGTCTCTGTTCAGGGTGTCTGCAGCTCTTGGGGTTGCATTAATGAATAGGGCTGTGTAAGAATCAACTATCACTATACAGGGGTTACGATTCAACATATAATACTCTAATAATTAATATTGTCTTAATCCCCTAATAATTTAATAATTCAATGAATTATTGAGAAATCATTAGGAATGATTGTTTTATACTTCTGTAAAATATTAAGTCCTTTCTGTTTTTTCCACACACAATCATACACACATACAACGGTTATCAGATTGTAAACTATATGCAATTAAAAGGCTGCATGATATGATATTGATATGACACAATTATATTGTCAAATATTGCAACTGCGATATGATTCACGACTAGAAAGGGAATGATTATTTTTGCTAATGAATCAGTTATTTTCACTGAAATTCTTAAAATCCAAATAAACACCATATACCAGTAAACAGGTTTTTTTAAAATCTAGAGAACAAAATTTGTAGACCAGGGCATCTCTGCTGAACTGCTACTTTATTATAATGCTGTTTGTCACACATTCGACCTTTTCTCAAACAACATCAAACTGACGCATTGTGCAGCCCTGCAGAAACCGTCATGCCCATGCCATCTTAACTAATCCTTTACCCCGCTCCTTCCTCTTAGCCCCCATGACGTCCTGGCCACTCTGCTCAATAACCTGAAGGTACAGGAGCGCCAGAACAGAGTGTGCACAACTGTGGCCATCGCCATCGTTGCCGAGACCTGTTCACCATTCACAGTACTGCCAGCGCTCATGAACGAATACCGCGTGCCCGAGCTCAATGTGCAGAACGGTGTGCTCAAGTCCCTCTCTTTCCTGTTTGAGTACATTGGAGAGATGGGCAAAGACTACATCTACGCTGTCACTCCACTGCTGGAGGACGCACTCATGGACAGGTGAGGGTTTCTGTACACTAATGATGACAAAGGGACATTGCAAAAACCCAGAATTCCTCAGCTTTGCTCAATAATCACTTTTTGGTGTCAGTTAAAGTTTAGCACTTAAGTAAACACATGGCTACTGATTTAAAATTTCCAGTTCAGTTAAAGCAGTAACGGTTGAGCCTTGACCCTGTTTTTGTGTCATCCTGCAGAGACTTGGTCCACAGGCAGACAGCCAGTGCTGTGGTCCAGCACATGTCTCTGGGCGTCTACGGTTTTGGCTGCGAAGACTCCCTCAACCACTTGCTCAACTATGTGTGGCCCAACGTATTTGAGACGTCTCCTCATGTAATCCAGGCTGTTATGGGCGCCCTGGAGGGGCTGAGGGTCGCCATCGGGCCCTGCCGCATGCTGCAGTACTGCTTACAGGTCAGGACCATCCCCCATGAATGGATTAACATTTCCTAGCCGTTGCTAGATTATCATTATTATTGTAATTACAATGATAAACATGATGATGGTTCATAGTATCACGTCTTACTACACCAACAACCCTATTTTTCCAATCCAACTACCATACCACCACCTCCACCCTAGACCCTTTAAACAAAGGCTATGTTCACCCTACAAGCTTGACCGATCAGTTCTCATTTATTGTGTGTCTGGCTGTTCACATTACTTTTTAAATGTGGCCCATGTCAGATTCCAGTGTGGACAGCTCACGGTCACAATCACGATGATCCACAGATCCACATGTCTATCTAGAATGATGTAAAATCAATGCATTCTGACTGTTCACACTGAGGTCACATTGCAAAGAATTAGCAATGTATCTGATTTGGACCACATATGAAAGTGGTCCTGAATCAGAATTGAGAAGATCAGATTCTGTCTGATTTGTGCCGTTCACACTGTCATGGAAGAAAAAGATTTGTGCTACTTTTGTCTGCAGTCTGATAGTGGCCTAAAACATGTCCAGAGTTTGTCAAGGAAAGGAGTAATAACATACAAATTGACAGATGATATAAAAGATGACTCAGTTAATTGCTAGGTGTATAAAGAAGAAAAGGCGTTGGATTAGTAAATTGCCTGTAATAAACTCTTATTGTATTGCTTCTTTCTCCAGGGTCTGTTCCATCCGGCCAGGAAGGTGAGAGACGTCTACTGGAAGATTTACAACTCCATCTACATCGGCTCCCAAGACGCCCTCATCGCCCACTACCCACAAGTCTACAACGACGAGAAAAACATTTACGTCCGCTATGAGCTCGAGTACGTCTTGTAAATACAAATGAATGTCCTCTCCACTTTTCTCCTCCCTCAACTCTCACCCTCCATCGTTGTCTCTTACTTTGGTCTAGGACTGAGTTGGTTTTTATTTAGCAACTGTTAGTGTCTCCCAGGGCGAAACAATCCAACACAGAACAAAGTTGAGCCTCTTTTTGATGCCGCCTGTTGACCCTGAATTGAAAATGAGCGTAAAATAAGGAGAAAGAAAAGAAGGAACATTGTAGAGTCTGTATGTATTTTTTTATTTTTACTTTTTGAGTGTTCCCTGTAAGGAATGGCTGAGACTAGACCAGCCTTGATTGAAGAATGCAGAGCAGTCATCACAATGTTTTAAATATTTGGATTATGTTCTGTGTGTGTGTACTGATAGGCCTGTACAGGCTTCTCCCTTTACACACCCTCTCCTCTTTTCACACCTCTGTTCTTAGATTGTTGCTTTATTTAACCAAATAAAATGTTTGTGTATAAAATTCCATTTCCCTGTTTCAGTTTTTTTCTTCACACAGCGTGAACCACATTTCTACAGGTGGGTATAGTGGCCGTAGTCAGTTTTCATATAAAGGGGAATGAAAATGTAAACTTGCATGCAACATTCTGTTAACATCTGCTAGCTCTCTGCTTACTTTATTGAACTAAAGTTCAGATTTTGTATAGATGGGGGCTGTCCCCAGGGTCTTCATTTATCTTATTTTACCTTAAAACTTTAGTTAAAAGCAGGATCCCAATTAGAGGCAGGTCTCCTTTATCAGCCTGGTGTGGCTACACATTCTGATGCCTGGTCTGGATCTTAGAGAAATTCTTTGATGTATTAAACTCCTAAACTACTAAGCTGCTTGGGTCACTGACACAAATATGTCAGTACACGTGCTACACATGGTTAGATCAGTTAGAATCTTCACAATTCAATTACGTTAATATTACAGAAACCATGAGCACCAAATGAAGGATTCATAATAGATATGTTCAAAAGGAGCTAAAGGCCTGTTCCAAATACAGGCAGGTGGAGTTCACTGAGGCAAATAAAGTCCTGGGCTATTCATTTCTGTTTTACAGTATTTAACCTCTATTTAAACAATAAGAAAATACTCCTGAAGAGAAGCCTGTGAGCCAGTACAGGCAACCAGCTGGACTCTGCCTGCTACAGTCTCATGGCATAGTTCACTGGTTCCAACCTTCTTCCTGAAGAGAGCCCTTCTCTGTCATTGAGTAAACTGACAGTCTCTGACTATCAGGATTCCCACGCATCCTGCAAAACCTGGAAATTTAGAGACTAGTTTTCCAGTCATGAAAACACCTGGAAATGGATTAAAATGACCAAATATCCTGGATATAATCTATATTGTCCTGGAAAATGTTTATTGTGCATGTTACTAACTTCACTTCTTCCCTGGAGTTCTTGTGCTTTCTCGTCTGGCAGGTTCTCATGGATCCTGGTGGAGCCTCCTGCCATGGTCCTGCTTGACTGCCATCACTGATATTATTATTATTATTATTAATGTTATTATTACTACAGTTACTATTATTACTATAATCACTGCTCATTGTCCACCATTGTTCTCGTCATCGTCATGATCTTCTTCATGTTCATCATCAGTCACTACTATTAGTCGTTGCTACTGTTGTTGCTGTGCACCTTTGTCTCTGTCTCTGTCCTTCTGTTTGTACCCCTCTCTCTCTCTCTCTCCCCTCTCTCTCTCTCTTCTCTACCACCCACCTAGAGCCAAAGGGTCTGTCCTAGTTCTTCCTTGCCCCCGTCTCCAAGTGCTTTCTCATGGTGGTACTGTTGGGTCTCTGTAAATAATGTTATAAGGAGTTCGGTCTAGACCTGCTCTATTTGAAAAGTGTCCTGAGATAACTTCTGTTATGAATTGGCGCTATACAAATAAAATTGAATAGCATTTTAGCACCTCACTCAGATCACCTATATTAACCTGGGTGCGTGTTTTGTTTGAAACCCGACAGTAGCTGTGGGGTGTGACACCTCAAAGTGGGTTAACCAGATGTAACGTTTTAAACGCTCCCTTTTACTCTCAGCTATGTCAGTCAGTGTAGCTGTTCACACCATTCGTGATGTACCTGGGGCCCTTCACCAATGAAAAAGGAGGCATACACCTGGGGTTAAAGTCAATGCTAGGCTTATTGGTACATTATATGAATTTGTGAGCAAATGATGTCCTGGAATAGTCCTGTAAAATGATCTCTTAAAAAGAGTGGGAACCCTGACTAAGTAGATAGGTAGATTCTTTATTGTCCTATGTACATGGCCTTACATACATACACACTCAACATAATCACAGATAGACATCCAAAACAGCACATTATATATATAGATATATATATATATATATATATATATATATATATTTACACATCATTGCTACCAAGGTGTTTTGTTGAGTAATGCTTTGGCAGAAGGGACAAAACATCTGGCATAGTGAGTCCGTTTCCAGGCCAGTGATCTGTATCTGCACTCAGATGGAAGTATGTAGTAACATACTTTATGGACTATATACCTATTTTGATATAAATAGGCCTATAGCATATATTTCCCTTAAAATTATGAAGGCTTTGCAACCCCCTGTGAAGCTTTGGTGACCCCTAGTTGAAGTAGTCCTGAACCTCCAGGTTAGGAACCACTGTCGACTCACTGCACTTATATGTGAATTGTTAGGGTTATTTGGTTGTGTTCAGGAGAATTAGGCCCAGGCAGCACAACACACCTTGTAGTTTCCTTGTTATCATCCTGCTGAGACACAACAAGCAGATAAAGCACCGAGAGCATGGGGGGTTGGCTGTCCTGGTGGCCTTGTTAAAGATGAACTCATTCCTCACATCATACGGGTGAACTCAGTCTGACATAATGGAGGCGGTACGACCATGAGCTGTGACTGCTGTTGGTTACATGCACAGACTCCTTTTCAAGTTCACGAACCTCGCAAGCATTCCCTCAACTCTTTAAATCTTTAAGTTAATGTGGGTGTCACCCCTCCGTCATACATCTGATGGACTTCATTTGCACTAGAGATCAAACCTCGAATCTCCTACACACACACACACACACACACACACGCATGAACGCTCATAGACACACGATGGAAAAAAACCTCCCCCACTCTTCCTCCCTTCCATTCACTTCACCACTGCTGCGCAGCCGCTCGTGTGCTTTGACCCAGATTCCCCTGGCAGACTCTGGTTCTGCTAATCTGAGGAGGAAGGCAATAAGTCTGTTTTGTGTGTGTGTGTGTGTTGTGTGTGTGTGTGTGTGTGTGTGGCTGCAGCTAAGGGATATCCCGTAAAAACCAGAGGCGAATGTGTGTATGTGTTTTGCCAGTGTGTTTAATAGAAAGTTTGGCCTGTGTGCTGCAGTTGGAACTTGTAGAGAGGATTTATGGATCACATTTAGTCACATTTTGTTGAGCAGTGGCTTATCTGAGCCAGGTCACATGTTCCCACTGTCAGGCTGCTGTGTGTCATTTGCTTTCAGGCTCATTTGTTGAATATGTGTATTTATCATGTAATCGCCATGTCTGAATTCTAACGTCAGAGTGCTAACATGTTGATGCTACTGTAAGCGGGTATAATGCTCACCAGTGTCTGAAATGGGCCAGTATTCACCAGTACCGAGTACTGGGGCTTCTGATTTTTGTCCACCAGTACCCTTACTTCTTATTGAGTACTGCCACCTCTGTTGAGCGTGGGTGTACCCACCACTGAGGTCACCCGGGGTATACAATAAAAGTTCGACTGCAACAACTGCATAAAAATAACTTTACTTTGATGCCCCAGAACCACCCGATCAAGATGGACCTCGGTATTTCTACAACCCTGCATGCAGCAATTAATTGCCCATGTAACTGAGTCTCCATGTAAACACATAGCTAGCTTACTGCGAAGAAAACAGCACAGAAAATCCCCTTATTAAAAATGCCAAAAGCATTAGGGTTAGGGTTTTGTCGTGTTTAGTGTTACTGTTGTGCTGAGAACGGGTACTGGCACCTTTTTGGTCCAATTCCAGCACTAGCTTAGCACATTGGCATACTAACATACAAAGAACAGCTGATGGAAATGTCCAATGTCACATGACTACTTGAGTCAGACTTGAGTCACAAACTTGATGACTTTAGACTCGACAAAAACAAATCAAGACTTGCAATTTGACACCAATGACTGGACTGTATTCTTATGGCTTGAATACTTGATACTGTCCCCCAAGCCCAAAGTATGTTATTTAAAAAGTGTGTCACAAATCAATTCATATTCATTCTATTGTTAATTCTAGTTACTAGTGATATCTGCATGAACGTGCAATGGCAGCATTACTTTTTAACATAGTTCATTCGCACTTGTGTTCACAAATATAAACCCATTGGAAAAAGCATTCATGATTTGTGGAACTTTACTGTCACTCTGTTGTTAAAATGGCATTACATTTGGTCAAGATGAAAAGTCAACAGATCACTGCGGGAAGGATTAGGATCCATCCTCTGGGGATCATGAATGTTTCTACTTAATTTTATGGCAATGATTGAGTGATGGACAGACAGATCGACGTCCCATCCCCGCAGCCATGCTGCTAGCGTGGCTAAAAGGCTTCCTGACCTGGAAAGTTTTGATGCCGTTATCTCCAGACAGGGCACAATAATGGCCCTCTTCACTTTCCTTCCCTTATAACCTTTGGAATGCATCTCCATGAACACAGTCAACCATGAAACTACTCTGCGCTGTGTCTGCTGCTGCTGCTGCGTGTGTTTGTTGAGTCAACAAAGGGAGGTAACCTGGCAGGCTGTGTCTCCCCGGTTTATAACCTGCCCGGGGAGATGAACAGCGATTATAAATGTTTCCACAGTGAAGCACTGAGTACATGAAGTGACACAAGCAGTGATGTAATACAATAGTAGATGATGACGACGGAAAACAAACTTTAAAAAGCTTTCATTTATACTAAAATATACTGTCCTTTAAATGACGTGCAGCTTATGATACACCGCCCTAGTGTTTTACATGGTTAACATGCATTTTCATTCTTTCGCAGCAGCCATTAACTTCCATTCAGTTCTGTATGAAGATCTTTTGTTGTGGGTTACTGATGATGGAATAGAAGAAAATAAATGAATAATTTATGTAATAAGATTGTTTGTCATGTGGCTTCTGGTGTTTCCAGAAAGTACCTATGGGATAAGTGTGTGTACACCAGTATGTGTACGCCTGTATGGATGTTTGTTTCTTTTTTTTTATCTTGTGCAATTGCTTAAAAAAACAGACATAATTGAATAAAAACATAAACTAATTCAGTGCTTCAGATGCTTGACATTCAAAAATTGCAGCTGCTGCGATTAGCATATTGTCTTTGGCCATATTGTGATTTGGATAATGTTTGATTCACTGTGCAGCCCTATTATACAGCAACTGGCTCATTTAGTGTGAGTTCTTCCATATGAATAGGTGCATTTCAGAGGTGGCACACTGAATTACTCACAAGACACACTTGTCCATACTGATCATATGACTACAGTGTACAGTTATAAGAAACTGCCTGAAGCAACCGTTTTGTATTTGCCCTGATGAAGGCCTGAATGGCTGAAACGGATAGGCCTGTGTTTAACTGTTACTATGAGTCCTGAGATATTAAAGGCTTTTAAATCTTCAGTGCTTCAGATTTCTTCAACAGTTCTAAACTGTGGTATGATCCTTTAAGACATAACTAATCCTCATATAGCCTACATCAGCCTCCTAAAGTGGTGTGTACATCAGTCTTTACACGCCACCACATCTGTGTGCCTGTTCATTTGTCATGCACTGTTGTGACCCTCTCTACGGAAGCCCATTTCTGCCAAAGTGACAGCAAAACAATAAGGATTCTGTAAGTCCTTATAATGAGAAACTCTGTCAAAATATTGAAAAACGTTGTTGAGATCCTAACTCAACATAATGAGAACGTTTCCAATTGTAATGACTTGCAGAACCATATTTTCCGTCACGCTGGCGGACATGGGCTTCCATACTGTGCAGCAGGGCCCCTGTGTATCCAGTGGAGGGCAGCAGCGAGGAGGTGCTGCTGGTTGTTGATGCTGAGGAAGCTTCTCCTCCACTTCTGCATCTGAGAGGAGGAGAGACAGGCACCAACTTCCTGTGCGAGCTCCGTTCAGCTGAGTTCAGCCTGGCTGCCTCGACTCCGGGAGGCTTCTGGCTCTGCAAACCGGGCGTTGAGGGAGGCTTCCGTAGGTGGTGTATGGCTCGGAGAGTGGCCCGGGACCCCCGTGCAGAAGCAGCAGCGGCCATAAATGTGGATTGTTTACACCGGTGGGTCAAACCGTTCCTGCTACCCCGCCTCCCGGCGACTCCGAGCGGCCGCCTCGGCTCAGCAGCGTCGCCGCACATAGCGTCAGCGGAGCGGGGGCTGATGGCCCTGGTGCTCGGCCCGGCCTTCACCATCACCGTCCGCCCGTGTGTGTGCTAGAGGAGCTACGAGAAGGAGCTGCTGCGTGTTAGTCGCCTGAAGTCCCGCGGGAAGAGCGGAGAAAGCAGGGGAGGAGCGGGGCTCGGGGCTCGGGGCGCAGCATCGCACCGTGCATGGTGCTGCGGTGTCGGAGGGAGTGGATGAGCAGCCGGAGCTGACCCAGAGATGGCTGTTCTCAAACTGGCCGACCAGGTAGACCCGCTAGCTGCCGTTAGCTTAGCCTCTAAACAGGCAGCATTTAACGCTTCATTCCTCTCTGACCTGCTGGTTGATAGAAATGTATTTTTAATATCGCGGCATCTTTGTGTCGCCTCTCCGGGCGTTGAGTCAAACACAACCGGGATCCAAAAAAATAATTTCTCTCCTGCAGATTGTGCACAGAAAATATTCACAAAGCTGCTCAGAACTGGACCTTTTATGAGTTCTGATTTTCGGCTTTGTCGTTATAAATTTCGGCGTTCGGTTAAAATTAGGACAGCCCACTTCTCTGTGACTTCCTGCTCTGTTTCCTTCCGCAAGCGTCCCCAGGGCTGCACACCGCAAATGTCCTCAATAATGCTACAGACCTAGAGCTGAACGCAGTGTGTGTCCACACTGTAATATTTGGCACAAATATTGGTCCATGTGAGTCTGTGACGGACCTCCAAATGTAAACCCCCACAAAAATCCCTTTCTGATAAATATATTTGAGAGATTATAGCTGAACAATCTCACTACAAGCTCCTTTTAAAGGTCCAGTGTGTAACATTCAGGAGGATCTATTGTCAGAAATGGAATATAATATTAAAGGTATGTTTTCATTAGTGTATAATCACCTGAAAATAAAAAGCGTTGTGTTTGTGTTACCGTAGAGAATGAGCTGTTTATATCTACAGAGGGTGCGGGTCCTCCTCTGGCGGAGTCCGCCATGTTGAACCGCCATGTTTCTACCCTAGCCCATAATGGAAAAACCAGACACTGCGTTTTTACCGGGTTTCATGTCCGTACTTTGTCCTAAATGCCCGTAAGGCGAGCAGTATTCAGTTTAGAGTTGTTATGATAGTGATATCCTTTGATACTCTGTCGAAGGGTACAACCTGATCCAAGCCCTTAAACAGCGAGAGCAATCATACAGGCTCAGTAGCAGGAACATAAAGATATATCAAATCGTTGAGATTAAAAAATGAATCGTGGTATCAAGACGTGGAGACCTCAGTTTCACTTTTACAAAGAAAAGGCAATATGCATTATTTTGCAGAGTTAAAGCCCTTCCTCTGAAATAAAAAATGATTCTATAATTTGATAAATAAACTATTAGAGAAAATATATTTTGGAGATTTTGGTCTGAGAAATAAAGGAATTTTGTAATAAGCACAATTTGTCTTAAATCCTATTTTCTCTCAAAACCGTGAGAAAATAAAATGGTATACCTAGTATCGGGAATTGTATTGAATCGTGAGTTGAGTATATTGCCACATCCCTTCTTAGTATGCTTGTTTAAAAAATGATATATACATTTTTAATAATGCATGTGTCAGATTGGTTCTCTGTGTTGGCTGATTGGGAAAGTGCAGGTACTCTAATTCAGTTGGTTGCAATCCAGCACTGGTCCTTTAAAGGTCCAGTGTGTAACATTTAGTTTAGTGCTAGATGCCCTTAAATCTTACACACTAGTCCTTTTTAAAATCAAGTTGAAAGCAACAAATCTGCAGTTAGTGTGACAACTGATAAACTGTTATTTATCAAGCAAAAACCCAAACACTCATTGTTCCAGCCTCTCCACTATTAAGACTTGCTGCTTTTCTCTGTGTATATATTTATTATCTTTGGATTTTGGACTGTTGATTGGACAAAATAAGACATTTAAAAGACGTCACCGTGGACATTTTTTCACAATTTTTGCGTGAGCGATGTGTAGCTGCTGTGGAGCTTTAGACTGTATGTTGCAGTCTTCCTCAGCAGACAGAGTTCCCTATTTCCTGTTTCTCATGAAAATGTAGATGTTCATGTTTGTCCTGTCGTTTATGTTAAAGCTGTGATTGAATGTGGGCCAACTCCGATGAGGAGCGTCATGTGATATAATCTGAAAAATTGTTCAGTCAAGGTCGAGAATGAACTTTCAAGCTCAAGTATCTGATGCGGTTTACATTTAGAGTATGACTGTAACTAATGCTTATTTACTTTATGATACTTTAATGAGTGTTTTTTTTCTATTAATCAATTATTCATTTATGAAATATAGTGAAAAATGTTGACGAACAAAACCCAATGATAGGGCTGCAGCTGGTTGTCAGTTGTTAAAATGTCAGAAAATTGTGAAAAATCTGTGTTTTTTGTTTGTTTTGTGCACAACCCAAAGACATTCAGTGTACTGTCATGGAGGACAAAAGAAAGCAGACATTTTTCACAAAAAAAAAAAAGACTCTCAACTGGCAATTCATTAAGTAATTAACAACTAATAAATGAATTGACTAATAATTGCTGCTCTGCCCAAAGATATTCTGTTTACAATCATATAAAACTAAGAAAAGCAGCAGCTGCTCAGATTGGAGAAGTTAAAAATAAGAGAATATGTGATTGATGACTCATACAGCTCTAATTTGGTGTATAATTCTGTGACTTTTAGGGATGATGTCTAACCTTCAGTACTGTTCCTGACAGCAGTGTATAGTGACCCTGCTACAGGTCCCTAAACCGCAGTTTGGGAGCCACTTTTCTGTTTGGTCTCACTTCTATAAACTCACAGACTCGTGCTCAAGTTTCCAGCTGTTTTAAAACGGCGAACAAGTGGCACCAAGAAAGAAGACATCTGAAGAGACAGCAGACTGCGCAGCCTGACAGGCAGTACGGTAGAAGTCCCTGATCTGACGCAGCTTCGTCAGTCCACTCATATCAGATCTGTCGTTGATTCAAGGAAGGGAAGAGCTGTTTTTTTATGTAACCCAGAGCTGTGGGGCTTCCTGTTATTTTCAGACAACATGCTGATGATGCTGGATGATAACTGGATGCCTCAGCTCAGCAGACAGCTCAGTGGCGTATAGATTTTTTTCCCCCTTTTGTTTTTGCTGGCTTTCATCATGTGCTGATCAAGAGTGGCTCACATGGAAATCTGCTAATGTAGGATGTTTTTTAACCTATGATGGTAAATAATGCTCAGCTTTTTAATATGGGCTGTTGCAAGTCCTGTAAGAGAGAGGTTTTGCAGGTACTGGTGTTGTCCAGAGGTCAAGGACATTCTGGTGGTCTCAGAATGGGCTTTGTACAGCTTTGATGTCTTTAGTCCCCTCAGATTTCTTTAGAAATGTGGGCAAATTGCTGGTTTATGTTTGTTAAAGTCGCCCTCTGGTCCAAAAACAGTATGCAACTTGTACAGTGTGATGTAGAAACTTGAAGCCACCAGTGCACATCCACTGAGAATGGACTTGCAGTGAAGTAGGAGACATCTTGTGTCCAACAGGAAAACTTTAGAAACCAACAACATTTGTATATTCAGAGATTCTGGAAGTTTTAATGAGGCAGAAGGAGGAGATTACTGTTTAAGGATTTTAATGTGGAAATTATATCTTTTTTATGCAGATACATATCAGACACACATCTATATCCAATCCAAGTGGATTATTTGCATATATATCACTGAATACATAGGAAGTAAGTATGTAAGAAAGTATCGATGCACTTGAGTATTGCAATATTTTGTTTCGTGATATTGTATCGATTGTCAGAAACACTACGCAGTGTTTACACAGATTTTGTTCATATAGATGAGAGCAGCCATACGTCACTTTCTTGTCTTTTTGATTTTGGTTCCTAATAGCTAAAAATCTGAACGATATTCTCATTTTATGCTATTAAATTGGCAAAGACCTCAGAATTTACATTTATAGCCATTCAAATTATAGGGACAGACAGAAAAGGGGGGCGGGGACTTGACACATGGCCAAAGTCCCCGGATGGGTGGTCTATCTATGGTGGTGTGTTCTTTATACTATGGAAGTTTTCCTAAAAATAGCGATATATTTCCCCTTGCTTACAGAAATCGCAATATATAGTATCGTAACCCCTGTACAGGGACACGTATCGTACTGTCCGATTCTTACACAGCCCTAGTCTGGAGTCTGGTCTTATGTTCTATGCTAGTAATGCATACATGCATGATACTGAAAGGCTTTTTTTGGGTAGAGGCATCATGTTTCCTCCAAACTGAATACAGAGGAAGCACAGGAAGTTGTTGACTTTTGACTTTCCGCCTTTGCACTGCTGTGTGCATTTACGCTTATCAGATTTCCTGTGTTTTTTATCATTTCTCCTTGTTTTTAACATACGTTTCCTCTATTGTTTCCTGTGTGTGTTTCAGGCAGGTGAAACATTCAGCTTTTAAGGCGCTTTGAGACGGAGACAGGGAGACTAATAACATGCAGTATACCAGGTTTTGATTTAGCACTTCACCGGCTGCAGAAGTGTGCCGTGGACCCTGAGGGGAAGAGAGGCAGATGAGGCAGTTAGAGGCCTGTCACCTCAGCCATCAGAGGAAATGAAGACATGGCTGTGGAGCACAGGCTTTCTTTTATGGAGGGAGACACAAAACAGGACGTGCTGTATGTGTGTGCGCTTGGGATGGGACATTTATGTATTGCCGGTTGGCCCGTGTGTGTTTGGAATGAAAACAGAGGTTATCTGATGGAGGAAGTTAGTGTAGGATAAGAACGAGGGGAAGATGGAAGGGGGAATCTGTATGTTCTTCCAGTTGTATCAACAGAGAATCAAGAACATTTTCTCGTTGCTAATATAGTTTGTGTGACATTGGTTCGGCCTACTGTGCGGAAATACGAGTGTGAGAGAGTGTGGTGCAGCAGTGATGTTATGATCTTATGTTTGAGATGCTGTTAGAGATATCCTGCAGCGGTGTTGCTAGAGTCTGACTGATGTATGAGCCAGGCCTCAACAGAGAGCTGAAGTCCTGCATCGCATCCGGGCTAGCTTTCTGTGCAATGCGTCAGTCATCAGACTTTCTGGTTTCACTTCGGCTCTACATTGTTGGTCGATAATTTAACTGTTTGTTAAGCTACTTCCTCTTAGTTACTGTTGCTACGTCTGTCAAGCTTTCTGTCCTCACATAGGACATAACTCGCATAGATACACTCAACTCGTGGTTCGATACAATTCACGATACTGGGTTCACAGTAGGATTTCTCTCACAGTTTTTATTAGCAAAGTGAGATTGAAGACAAATTGTGAGTGGAGAACAATGTGCGGTGGGTGTAAACTGTGCCAAACAATCATATTTCCTTTTCTTTGTAAAAGTGAAACTGACAGTATGGGACTCATTCAGGGATTGTGTGAAAATGACTAGGGTGGAGCGGGGGCAGTGCCAGTACCCTAACGCACAACCCTAACCACAACATACCCCTAACCCTAATACTTTTGGCGTTTATATCCATTTTAACAAGGACACCGTTAGCGCTGTTTCCTCAGCGTTAAGCTTGCTATGTGTTAGACGTTAGCCTACTCCTTTACTACCCGTATTCCTCCCCAGCTCTGATTCTGATTCTGATTGGCTCGGACACTGACATTTTTTTCTTGGTACTCAGTACCTGTGAGTGCGGACCCTTCTGAAAGCTTATTGTAGGTTATACATCAAAAACCAGCTTTCATATGTGCTGTTTGGCCACTTTAAAAACCTTATTTGATGGATTATTGCCAAACGTTAACGCCAAAACAAATATTGGCTGATATTTTCATATTAGATTTTTATTTTTCTAAAATATTTATCTGGGTCAAATATCCAGTATTGGTCGGTGTGTAGGCGCTGGAATGTGTTCGAGGGGAATGTTCTCATTCACGCTCACACTTCGTAAATCTCCTTGCCTTTCGTGTGCCAGCACCCCAAGTCCCCATGGCGATCTCAGACACAGCGCTGTGACAAGAAGGGACTGTTGCCAGAGTTTTTGTGCCTGTAGACTTGCAAGAATGTGTGTGTGTGTGTGTGTGTGTGTGTGTGTGTGTGTGTGAGCGCATGTGGAGCACTTAGAAAGAAAGGCGTAGCTAAAGAGGCCATATGCTGCCAAGTGTTGGCTGCTTCTTTAAAGGCACAGCCCGCCTTTCTCTCTCTCCAGCTGGGAACTTGTTCACTACTGCCTCCCCTTAAATGTGTCCTTCCTACCTCCATCTCTTATCACTGTGCTCAAGTAAACATTGATTAAACCTGAACTACTTAATAGCTTTGAACTTGAATGAAAACGTTCTGGCAGCAGAGGGTGAGGAACAATGGCTTCCTCGGCCAATAGCAGCACCCTCTCCGTCCCTTCGTTTTCTGTCACCCATGTAATTCCTCTTCGCTTATATGCTTTTTGCTTTGTTAGGTGCGATGAAGTTATTGCCTGCTGCGATAAAAGGTGGAAGTTTCGCAGGAGAAAAAGTGACAGATGTTTCTGAACTCCCCTGCCCTGCTCCCTCCTGTCCAACCAGTCGAGTCAGACCTCCAAGGGCCACATTCTTTGTCGTAGTTTATTTTTTCGTAAGTCCAGGTGTTGAACTGAAGAACCTGATGCTAGCTTCCAATGTCCGGTGACATTCATAGTTTGTTTACTTGTTCTGTGGTAGGATGGTTCCTGCTAATTCATTTGTTTCACTCATTTGGACTGACTGACTTTTCTTTATAGTCCAAACGTATGGGCTGTTATGGCTATTTTCTTTCTTTCAGAGGGTTGAAAGGATTGATAGCACTCTCACGTCTGTGTGCTAAAGGTCCAGTGTGTAACATTTAGTAGGATCTATTGTCAGAAGTGGAATTTAATATTCATTAGTATGTTTTCATTAGTGTATAATCACCTGAATATAAGAGTCTTTGTGTTTTTGTTACTTTAGAATGAGTCGTTTTTATCTACAGAGGGATAGGGTTAGCCTAGCTTAGCATAAATACTGTAACGTTAGCTTATTGTCAGACGTGTTGGTAAGCATATTTTTGAAGACTAAAGCTAGCCATTTACCCCTGCTTCCTGTCTTAATGCTAAGCTAACCTAATCTCCTACTCTTGGCCATGGTCAATCTTCTCGTCTAACTCAGAAAAATCACCAGAAATAATGCGTATTTTCCAAAAACTATTAAATTAAAAAAGGTTCTTGTAGAGAGATTTTGTATTGAAAGGATGGTTTGACATTTTTGACTGGAAACAAGGAAACAGAAAGTCTCTTTCTAAAGGTAATACAGTCTACATACACATCTAAAGCTCACTGATTAATATGCTATATCATGTTTAATTTATCCAAACAATGTTTACATACACAAAGTTTTACATAGGGGGTTATACTAGTTCTTGTCCTGAAGCAATAACTTTGTAGAGTCAGCGGTGACAAAAAATCATCATACATTTTGCGTTTTATTTTTATTTTTATTTCTTTCCAGTATATGGGCAAAGTTCTTCAACGTTAAACAACAATTCATCATTCTCATTTTGGTATCGCTAGTTAAACACAGGTACCAGTATCGAAATGCTTCAGACAACACCTGCCCACCTCAAATGGTTATTTAGGAGTCAGATGATGTGGCGTTTCAAATTAAATTCAAGAGAAGCAAAAAGCCAGATGAGGATGTGTGCTGTGCTGTTAATGCAGAAGTGAAACGCTCCTCTGTGGTTCCTCTCTCTTGTTTCTGAGAAGGAGAGACTGTGCAACAGGAAGTGAGGCAGGAGGTGGCAGAAGCACACAGGAAGTGAAGTGACGCCTGCCTCTGTTCAGTCTGATTCATCAGTAAGGCATCGAACCTGTAGTCTACATTCCTGTCTCTGCACAGGCTTCGACATTGACTTTAATAATCAAACTGCTGTTAAAGGACTGTACCAGGGATTTTTACATCTTGTCTCCCATTAATAACCACCTATGTGTGTACTAATCCAATTCACTTTTTTATAGGGCTTTGCAATACTTTAACCTTATATTATCTTACTATCAGAATCATATTGTGATGATGTGAGTGTATTATGCCAACTTGAACAGAGACATCTGAAGTTGTAATAAGGCTAGTTTTTGGATGCCTTGATAGTTTCACTGCTGGTAGTGTAGAGGAACAGCCCACTCCACTATTGGGCGATACATCCACCATACAGCGGCGTTACTAAAATCAAAGAGAATCAGGTGCAAATAAGCGGCAGGCATGTACTGATCACTAGAAATAAAGCATTTGACATAACAAGTGATCCGTCCCATCCATTGTACACAGAATTTAAATTGCTTCACTAAGGATGGTGCTTTAGACTGCCACGAGCCACCAAAAATGACTACAAGAAATACTTTAAAATGCATGGTCACTTTTACAAGTCACTTACCTCACCCCCTCGCTGAATTTATTTGTCTCGTGTTTAAGGAATTCAGCACTTTGCACTTTTCTAATAGGCTGTTCTCCGACTGAACACCTACTCTCCCAAATTCTTTTTTTTCTTATTTGTAATTTTGTATTGTGTATTTATGGGTGAGATTAGAAAATCTTTTCTACATTGTTGACAATTTTGTGAACAATAAAGTTTATAACCTTACCTTAGTGGGGTAATCAGTCCCTCCAGGAAGTTGCAATCGCAACGATGAACACAAATTTAACCAATGCCTGTGAACGCTGCACGACCTTGCAATTATATTCAATCACCATAACCTTTGCACAAAATGTTGACTCGTACGTCACCAAACTCACTTCCTTGTATCTAATTGTGACCATTTACCCTCCATACAGTGCGAGTTAGTTCTCACTGGAACAAGTTGCCTTTTTTTTTAAATGAATGATACAAAAAAGAAATAATAAGCAATTTTTGTTTTCTCCCGCAAATCCATTACAAAACACTGACTAAAAACATACATTGCAATTTTTGAGAAAAGCTGACGTGAAATGAGGCCTGACTGGATAATGTTACTGTTCAGTGTAAATTAATTAAAAATCTGAACTGCATTATCTTGTAACAACAGTGCAACTTTTTCAAAGATGAATGCAGAATTGCTATTCACTGTGACGCACTATATCTAATTTCAATTGCTTTTCATGCAATATAGAAATGAATGGCTGCAGCAGAGCAGTGCTGGTTGATACAATATGGCAAATGTATGCAAAGTCACATAAAAAATAACCAAAGCAATGTTAAAAACGATTGAGGATTGATCCAGTGTTATGCATAACATAAGACTAAACTTTACTAACTCATTTTGTTGCTGAATCACTTGATTTGGATAACTAAAATCTGTATGTGTAGTAATGTCAGAGCTGCAGATTTGGCTGATTATTCTCTGTAGGTTCATCACTACGAGCGAATCGTTTTCACATTGTTATTGACTGTAGCTGCTCCAAAGATTGTCAGCTGTAATATATAACGTCCATGTGTAGTTAAGGACTTACAACTTGTATGAACACTTGTTGTTGGCCTTCCTCAATTTAACTGCAGACGTTTTTTCTCTTTACCAAGGCCGTGTTCTGTTCCTCTAGAAGTTATACTGCTGGAGTGCTGATAGACGCTGATAGCTGCTCTCTGTGTGTATGTGTGTCTAGGGCCTCTATTTACCTCCTATCTGTGATCTGGGACAGAAAATAAGGGTTTCAGAGACATGACCTCCCCACAGTGCCCTTCATTAAAGTTTTTTCTCTGCACACATTTTATTTTATGATCTCTATCTCCAAAGAATTCTCTACAACAAGAGAATTCTCTGTATGGAGGTAAATATTTCGGTCCCGTCTGCATATAAGAAGTGAGTTTTGGGAAGTAAGTGCTGCTGGTAATAGAGACCATTTTTGTATACGGTGTATAATAGCTACAGCCTCGTAGTAGCCCTCTCTGCTCTGGCTTTTGTAAACACAGCAGCTGCCCCTCCATACACACACACACACACACACACACACACACACACACACACACACACACACACACACACACACACACACACACACACACACACACACACAGCCATGTAGCGTGGGAAGGATCATGCTCGGCCTCCCTGTGTATAACGGCCAGGAAATATTCTCCCCAGCATGTGGCTTCGTCACGTCGCCTCACTTTGATAAATCCGCTGACTGTTTCGATGGATCACGTGCGCTTGCATGTCTTACATGTTGCCTCTGGTCATGTGTCGAATGTCTTTCCACTCTGACTTTGCTTCTGTCCTCTTTCTCCTCCTCCTCCTCCTCCTCCCCAGCCTCCTCTCATCCAGGCGATCTTCAGCGGAGACCCTGAGGAGATCCGTATGCTCATATACAAGTCTGAAGACATCAATGCTCTGGTGAGGACACACACACGCACACACTTTCTACATCAAGACAGGTGTCAGATTTGTCTTTCATGCCCATGCCCATGATAAGAGGTGTCTTAGGGTGGCCCACAGTCCCTACAAGGAGCTTTCATTTTGTATTGATTCTGGCGGCCCCTGTGGATGAACGCAGTTTCTACTGCCTCATTTCATTGATTTAAATGGGAATCTGCCCTGGTAGCAGGCATTAAGAATAACTATAAGAGGCGGCAGTATCTCAGTGTGTAGGGACTTGGCTTGGGAACCGGAGGGTAGCCGGTTCAAGTCCCACAGACCACAATATGGAGTGTGGACTGGTAGCTGGAGAGGTGCCAGTTTCACCTCCTGTGCACTGCCGAGGTGCAAGGCAGGTGAAAAGAAAAAAAAAAGTCCCCAATAGGGGATTAATAAAGTATATATCTTATTCTTCTATCTATATAAAAACAGCCAATCTTCTCATTGATGATTGTTTATGTAGGTCATATAGAGGAACCAACATTACATTGAGACTGTTTCATAACCAGTTAAAAACTATTTGTAGTACGTTTAAAGCTGCAGTAGGTAACTTTTATAAACATAACTTTTTATTATATTTGCTGAAGCTTTCACTATATCCTGACAGTAGAACATGAATGGTAAATGGACCTGTACTTGTATAGCGCCTTTCTAGTCTTCCGACCACTCAAAGCGCTTTTACACTACCTACTTACACACATTCACTCAGTGATGGCAAAGTCCATCGAACAGAAACTAACATTCATACACACTCACACACCGATGCACGGCATCGGGAGCAATTCGGGGTTCAGTATCTTGCTCAAGGATACTTTGACATGTGGCACCAGGAGCGGGGGATCGAACCCACAACCTTCTGATTGAGGAACGACCTGCTCTGAGCCACAGCCGCCCTGAGACAGATAAACTGTGAAAAAATCAGCTTCCTCTGGCTCCTTCTAGTGCTCCTAATGGTATTTGTAAGAATCCACCGGGCCTGAACGAAAACACCCAATCAGAGCCAAGAAAGATGTAAAGACACTTTGGGTTGGTGGCTTGAATATAGTTGATGGTTGAGTCTCATTCCCAGGGTCAGTATTTGACGCCCTGGGCATGAGACTCAACAATCAACTATCTTTCTCGGCTCTGATTGGTTGTTTTCTGATTCACTTTATGAGTTCATCCTCGTAACAAATCCTAATATTCATACCCAGGATTTAGATATTCTCTAAAAGCATAATTGGTGGCTCATTGTCTATATTGATTTAAACCCAGATCTACATGCTGACTCGTTCCCCTTTTTGAGGAAAATAAAAACCCTGCTATTTCTTCAGCCCCCACTTCCTGTAGTAGCCAGCACCCAGGGGGTGAGGGGAGTAGGGCCGCAGGTCAAGAGTCAGTAAAACCAAAGTTCAGAGTGTGTGTTTATTCCCATCAGGTCATATGGGTATAGATACATAACACATGTCTGTAGCAGGGCAGCACAGGATGTGGGCCTGCTCTACCGTTCTCCTCTCTGCTGTATTTAGTCTCCTGTGTCTGCTGCTGGCTGCCTGTTACAGGACTCCCACGTCACTGTCATTGTCCACTTTAGATGTGTTTTTGTTGGAGAGGCTGGACTCAGCCCAGTCACATGGACATGCGGAGTGGTCATCGGGATGCTGTGTGTGTGTGTGTGTGTGTGTGTGTGTGTGTGTGTGTGTGTGTGTGTGTGTGTGTGTGTGTGTGTGTGTGTGTGTGTGTGTGTGTGTGTCTGTGTCTGTGTGTGTGTCTGTGTGTGTGTCTGTGTCTGTGTCTGTGTGTGTGTCTGTGTGTGTGTTGTGTGTGTGTGTGTGTGTGTGTGTGTGTGTGAGAGAGAGAGAGCTGACTGAGAGGAACAATGGATGTGTTGACACTGATGGCCCTGTCACTGATGCTCAGCTCATCATCTGTGAACTGATATCACAGCCTCCTCTGTTCGGCCTCAGCATGTACTCATGGATTACTAATATGTGACCTTCTAGCCAGCACTGTGCTGTATGTGAAAGGGATAGACTTTATGTATAGCAGATTGTAGGCTTTTGTTGGAAATAATCCGGCTCTAATTTGGGGAAAAATAGGTAAAAATGTGTTGGTATCATTTTGTCATACCTTGCCAAAGTTATAAGCAAGTACCAACTGACTGACTTCCTCCCTCAGGATGCAGAGAAACGCACGCCGCTGCATGCAGCGGCATTCCTGGGTGATGCCGAGATCACCGAGCTCCTCATCCTCTCTGGTAAAATATATTCCTTTGTTCCTCTTGTTTTTGTCTTTTTGAGTTTTCAGCTTTTTTTCAGCTGTTCTTGGTTCTAAAGACCTTGTAGTGAAAATGCTTGCAATATGTTACTTTGTCATGATATATGCAACCTTGGTAAACCGATCATCAGGACCCACACTCGGGCTCGCTAAAGCTTCCTGGCATGGTCACGAGGCCTTCTTGATTTTAAGGGGTGACTTTGGGTATATCCTAGCATCTTGTTCATTTCTGTGAAGAATTTTTTAAAGTTTAGATTATTATTTAAGATTTAAACTTTGAAGACCTGAACACAAGCTACATTCACAGAGCCTTGTACTGCATTAGATACATACGCAGTTAAGACAACCAAGGAGCTAACAGAACAATGGCCAAACGTCAGGCCAAAAACAATGATGTCAATCTCGTGTCTACACTGCTGGAAACTTGCAACAAGAAGGAGTGAGGGGGAAGAGGAAGAAGAAACTGTCCACCCTGTTCACCTGGAGGGAATTTTCCAATGCATATCTTTAAAGGCCGTTGAGTTTTTTTTTTTTTCAAACTCTGTGCCAGAAATCTCCACTTCAGTAGCATACTGCGTTTTCCATTACAAAATGCATCGTTTGTATATTTAAACATAAAAATTCAGAAAACTTCAATATTCAGACAATTGTCTTCATATAATTAATCAACTGTGGATGTTTGATGGTGATATCTATTAGTTAAAATGACTCTACTCATGTAGTGTCTCCCCTTAAAAGATTTTGTGTGAAATGTCATTTTATTAAACTTGGCCTGCAGATGGAAATTAGACTGTATGGCTAAATATGGCATGTCTACAGCGGATTTAAATCCTTATCTTAATTAATGTGCATTTTCCTTTTTTTAAATAAATAAACTTCAAACTTGCAGGCCTGTGTATCCTACCCACTGTTACTTTGATGCATGCTAGCTATGAGTGACATTCCAGTTTGGTCTGTAAACCTCATGCCCATCCCTCCTCGTTCTACCCTGTGCTACTTTCTCTCTGCAGGGGCCCGGGTCAACGCCAAAGATAATATGTGGCTCACCCCTCTCCATCGTGCTGTGGCATCTAGGAGCGAGGTGAACACACACACACACACACACACACACACACACACACACACACACACACACACACACACACACACACCTACTGAGTCCAATCCTTTCTTCTTACCAAAACAACAAACAACTCCAGCAGCACGGCGAGAAACCCTCACAGTGACACAGGTGTCAGGGAGTTGGACTTGTGGTGTTTACCTGAAAACAGACAGACATGCACATTCAGCACATATACATAAATTCTATTCTCAGAGCGCCGCATGGGACAGCTTTACCTTTGTGAGCCTCGTCAATCTGGGTCAAAGCACTTAATCAGCCACATCAGTCCTAGTCCCTAAAACTGGTATTTCAGCATGGCTGAACAGCTGAAGGAGGAATTTTAGTGGCGTGGCCAAGGCTTTAAATACACCCAGGGCCTGTCCTACGGGTTTGTAGGAATATCCTAAGGAGTGTGAATGGCTGAGTAGTGCAAGGGTGTATCTGTGTCGCAATTGGGGGCAAAAATACTTGGTTCCTACATCTGTGTTGATGTATTTTTAATATGACCACCAGGAAGTCCAATATGGAGGCACAGAGGGTCTAACTCTGTTGGAACACCAAAAATAAGTTCTTCCTCAATAACAGACTAATAGCTCTGTAGCTTCCCTCATAACCAGAAACAGGAATGAATGAGATTGCAAATATCAGAGTAACATTAACAGCAGAGCAGACACATATTAGCATCCATTTAGTTTTTGAGAGCAGGTCATACGTGTGTGACAGTTCTACACTGAGTAGATTTGGTTCAGTTACAGGTGGATATTTCCATAGGCTGGATCCACACTTCCTGCCAGTCTAGTTCGTCAATAGAGATGCCCAAGTCTGCGTCCCAGGCTTGCTTAGTAGCTTGGGAAGGTTAGAGATAAATTGGAATTAAGGGGTCTATAAAATACACTGATGTGTTTCTGGAATACTTGTAAAAACAAGGACACATTGCAGCAGCTATGTGTAAGTTCTCTCCTAAGTTATAGTGTGAAGTCCACACTGGAGGCTCAGTAACTGCCAGTTAGTCTGTAACTAAATTAACTGCTAAAATTGGTTGCACCATGATTACTTTGGGCACTAGTTTGGATGTAAAGTCATAGCTAAGGCAAGTGCCAATGAACGACCAAGACAGAGAGTACAGAGTACATATTATAGCTGTAATGTATTGTGAGTTATTGATCACTTTCACTTTCCTCCTCAGGAGGCCGTGCGAGTTTTGATCCGCCACTCGGCTGACGTCAACGCGCGGGACAAGAACTGGCAGACACCGCTGCACGTTGCTGCAGCCAATAACGCGCTGCGTTGCGCTGAGGTCATCATCCCGCTGCTGAGCAGTGTGAACGTGTCGGACCGCGGCGGACGCACCGCCCTGCATCACGCTGCCCTCAACGGCCACACTGAGGTACTGCAGAGACTGACTGACTGACGGTCAATAACTCTCAATGATTTCCAGGCTCTCTACATCCACTGCTGCTACAGTATGTTGGTGTAGTTCACCAATAAACAGGCTGTGATGTAACCATCCATTGTGCTATTTTGGTTGAATAGCCCGGTTAAAGGAAACAAGTGGGCAGGTGCAGCTGTATCACTGGGGTTATTAAGTGGGTTGTTCATTTTGAAACACTCCTCGTCTTAGATGGAATCATTCACAAATGTGCTGAATCTAAATTTAACAATGAGAGGCGGCAGATTTCTGAAGCCAAACTGAATGGACGGCCCAGCACTGTCTCTCCAGAGTGTTTATGCAACAACTGAGCCAAGTGATGAGACGTATTTACAATGCTGTTATATAAAGACCATCACCCACACACACACACACACACACACACTCTCACACTCACTCCTCCTTACACTGACACTCACACACACTTGGCCTGTTGCACATAAACATACAAAAACAAATATATAGCTCTTACATTACCCACTAATTTCCCCTCCTTCTGTGTTTCTCTCTGTCAGATGGTAAACCTCCTCCTCGCTAAAGGAGCCAACATCAACGCCTTTGATAAGAAGGACGGGCGGGCGCTGCACTGGGCAGCTTTCATGGGTAAGAGAGGAAGATGGAGTTTGTTAGAGATATATTACACATCACGCTTTTATTTCCTGGAAGTAAATCATTGTACGCGTTTGTGGAAAAATGAGTCATTGGCTCACTCTGAGTTACCTAACAGCCAAAGGACCAGTTCATTAGAGCTAGAGTGCAACAGCACACCACATAACACAACGGGTGTTTTAACTAGAGAAACACGACAGAACCAAACATGCATTGAATAGAGCAAACAAAGTTGGGTAATTTCAGTATACTGAAGGTTCCAAATGGTGTAATAATGCTAGAAATGTTGTGTTTACACCATTAAAAACCCCTAAATAAACATTTTTTTGACCTGAAAACATAACTGAAAAATGTAATCATTTAAAAGCAATTACTTAACATAACCACATAAGTTCAACAAAAACAAATGAAGCATATATCAATAAAAATAAGGGTGTAATACAATGTGTCAACATACAGTATATACTAGAGCTAATACAATGAGTCAGGTAATGTGTTAGTCGACTGACAGAAAATTAAAGGTGCTGTGAGTGATATTGGTTTTGTTAGAATAAGTGTTAATTAGCTCTACATTGTGACAGCCGTCACTGATATAGAGAGATTCAGTCAGTCACATGGTCTCCCAGTCCCTCCTTCCTGCAGTAAACAGAGAATACACTTCCTGGTATCCTGTTCCCACTTTATCCAATCAGGAGAGAGAACTCCAGCAGAAGGCAGCAGAATATCAGTGTGATGACGTTAGGAGGAGAGAGGGGACTGCTGACTGTGGAGAGCAGACAGGAAGTTAGCCAAAATGATTATTTCACTGATAGCGCCTTCAATTAGCAGCTATTTTGATAATTGATAAATTGTTTAAGTTATATATTTAGCAAAACTGCCAAACAATGGCTGGTTCCAGCTTCTTAGATGTGAGGATTTGCTGTCTTTCTCTGTTTTATATCAGTGTCAGTACAGTTATTTGGGGTTTTGGGGCTTTTGGTCAGAAAAAACAAGAAACCCAAAGATGTCCCCTTGCGCTCTGGGAAACTGTGATGTCATAATTAAACATTTGAACTGTTTTCTGACGTTATACAAAGTCAACATTTAAATTCCAGTCGGCAACACCTGTGCAAACCTATGCAAAACCTCCCACCTCTCTTTGTTGCCTCCTGTGACTCCACTAAGCTCGTCCCACCAAATCTGAACCAAGTTCAAACGGCTGCAGTAGTCGTAGCCAATAGGAATGCCCTCTGTATTCACTGACCTGTGATTGGCCAAAGTCTCCTGTCACGGGCTAGATTTTCTAAAGCCTGAAAACAGAGCCAAGAGGATGTGCAGAAGTCTAGTTTTCTCTCAGACCACTTGAATTACAATACGCTGGAAGGTTATTGTAAGTCATTTGTCCAGTGATGCCAAAAAAACACCCCAGCTTTAATATAAAAAGATAGATAATAGATGAATCAATATTAAAAATAACAGTTGCAGCCATACCACCAAAAATATCAGCTTGTAGAAATGTTGACTGTACTGTAGTACAGTTTGTAATCAGGTCTGTCAGTATAAAAGGCTTTCTTTCTCTGATACATAAAGCAAAAACATCACGGGTTTATTGCGTTAGTGTTGCTAGTCCATAAACGACTTAATCTAACAGCTTGTTTGTGTGCTCTGGTGCGCCCCCTGCAGGGCACTTGGATGTGGTGTGTCTGCTGGTGAATCAGGGGGCGGAGATCAGCTGTAAGGACAAACGGGGATACACGCCCCTCCACACGGCGGCCTCCAGCGGACAGATCGCTGTGGTCAAACACCTGCTCAACCTGTCTGTGGAGGTCAGGACACACACATCCTCCCAGTTTAACAAACTGTAGCACTTTTTATGTTCTCATTCACAAACACACAAATGAATACACACACTGACACCCACACCTCTCCTTGGCCACGATAACCGGTCTTGCTTTACTCTGACAACAGATCGATGAGTCCAACGCCTTTGGGAACACGGCGCTCCATTTGGCCTGTTTTAACGGGCAGGACGCCGTCGTCAGCGAGCTGATTGACTACGGTGCCAACGTCAGCCAGCCCAACAACAAGGGCTTTACCCCACTGCACTTTGCCGCCGCCTCCACACATGGGGCGCTCTGTCTGGAGTTCCTGGTCAACAACGGGGCTGATGTCAATGTACAGGTACGTCTGTCTCACATAAGCCAGCACAGCTCCTCCATCTGGTTACAGGGCGTACTACTACTAGGAGGGCCTGTACATCCCTTCATCCATTCACCTGCATCATTCTTATTGGTTTATAACGTTTGGTGATCTCATATAATTGCAGTGCAATGCCATACCAGTTGTTAAATTGCTATACAGTAGCGTGTTACCATGCTAAGGTTGAGCATGTCAACATGATAAAGGTAACAGTTTGATTTTGGTTACAAGACTGTTTTTACTCTGTTTCTACCTCTAGATCAAACTTAAATATTTTATCAACTGTCCATCCACAACAGTTTTGTTGTCTATGTGTAATTAGCATTATAGCATCAGGGCCTGGCTAATGTATAGACTTACAGTATTGTACTCTATGTATCGTTATATGCACTGTGTATAATTAACAACAACAAGGGTTATTGTTATTGCTTGAGCATCTTTAAACGAATTATCTGTTTTGCATTAAACTGAAATCTGTTGTTTTATTTCTCCTCCACCTTCAGAGCCGGGACGGGAAGAGTCCTCTTCACATGACAGCAGTTCATGGGCGCTTCACTCGCTCCCAGACCCTCATTCAGAATGGTGAGACTTGCTTATGCTCGTTTTCGTCTTGGGATCTCTTAGATTGCATATTCTCCCTATAAATGAAGCTTTTATTTCAGGCGGGGAGATCGACAGTGTGGATAAAGATGGCAACACCCCTCTCCACATTGCTGCCCGCTATGGTCATGAACTCCTCATCAACACGCTCATCACCAGTGGAGCAGACTGCACAAGGTTTGTTTGTTCACCTGTTGAGAGATGGATGTTGAATGATTACAATGAGAGGGTGCCCACTAAAGAGACTATTGTTTCCTCTCTACATCTTTCTCCAAAGGCGAGGAGTCCATGGCATGTTCCCTCTCCACCTGGCTGCCTTGAATGCTCACTCTAACTGCTGCAGGAAGCTGCTGTCCTCAGGTAGCACACAAAGTGAAGCCAGAACTATTATAAAGTAGATTTAGTTTATTAATCCAGTTTGTTGTGTCTCCTGACCTCTACTGCCTTACCTTTTGATTGATGTTCAATTCTTGTGTGTTTTAGCAGAATATCTGTGTTGCCGGTTTATTGCAGTCTAATACAAGAGTCCTGCTATGAGTCCTGATGAACACATCACCATTATCTGTATCTGTTCAACCAACTAAATTATCTTTATCCTTATATCAGACAGAAATGTCAACTTGTCACATTCCATTTCCAGTCAGCTCTGTAGAGGGGGCGGATCTGGACCCAGGGCACAAATGATCTGTATTCATATCTGTACTCAGAATGGCTGTTCCTTACACTATGGGTGGTGCTTAAACTGGAAGTGGGTGGGGCTAACAGGAAGTTAATGAGTTAATTTAAGCCTGAGAATGATATGAGTAGATCAGAAGTTGCTCTATTTATTAGTAAACTATTTATGTTTAAGTGTTTTTCAAGAGACGGCGTAAATCATCGAGTTATGTTTTCCATAAAGTATGATCCAGTTTAAGTGAAGTTAAAGTGATAAAGAACCTGCGACGCACCGGTTTTATGACACGAGCTGTAACCACTCGGCTCATTAGCTGATATTTCTGAGACCACCTGACTCATGATTTGCAGTTAGTGGATATTGCCCTGGGTATGTGCTGATTCAATCTGTTTTGCCTTAACATCATCTTCAAGTGTAATTTTCAGGGAGGTTTAAGCCCGGCAGTTTTTCTTGCTCCCAGTGGTAAATTCCTTCACAAGCACACATATTCAGCTCTGGCCAAATTCAAGTCACAATGTTCCAGAAACAGACAAGGCCTCACTGAGTCTAATTACTCACTGATGGGACCACTCTCCCTCTGGACAAGAGTGGATTCTGTTGCATTCTCCTCTTAGAGCCTCCACACATTGGTTGTTAATATCTCGTTTACATCTGAAAAGTTTCCTTGTTGCTTTTGGCGATGAAATAATTTGTCTTTCCACTCATCCCATATATTTTGTTGGTTTCTGAGAGAAGGGTTTTCCAACACAGAAGAGACTGGTATATTAAACAAATGTGAAGTAGGAACAGAGAGGAGACAACAATCCTCTCTGGCTCCAGATCCCTTTTGACGATTTAACAAGGCCCTGGCACTTGTGTCTGCAGGCGTGGAGCAGGATGAAACTGGGCTCCTCATGTGGCTCTGCTGAGTTGCTGTAGCGAACAACAAAGAAGTCATTTACATGTGCTTGAGCCCTGTGCAGCTGCAGTGTTGTGTCTGGTCAGCTTTTGTATTTGTTGCAGAGCTCAACCAGGAGCTAAAAGTCCCTTTTACATCGCGTCTGAAGAACCGTGAACATTAGGCAAATTGTAACCATAAAGGATTAAAAAGCCACGGCACAAGACAACAACACAGTCATCGTGTACTTCTAACTTACTCTTGTGTGACTGTGATGTTACAATACATTCATTTGGTTGCCTTTTATCCAACATTCAAATACTGCATTCAGCCTCTGCAGGAACAAAAGCTAGATGCCATCCAGATTTGCGAGTGGAAAATGTACTCGAGAAGTAGCTGATGGTTTCAGAGCGGGTTCAGTGCCACCGTTTACAAGAGTCTTGTTTTAATATGAGTCAGCCAGAGACAAAGTTTCTGTCTATGGAGCTGGTTACGTTAGCTAGCTAGTTATTTTCATGAAACAACGGTCGGCTACTGGAATGCTAAAGTAGCCGCTGATAACTGCTAACTAGCTAAATCTGCCATAAGCACGTTAGCAGCAGTTATTAATAGTTATTAGCAGTAACGGTTTCCCCTCGTGTGACTGTGATGGTACAACACATTCATTTAGCAACCAGCATTCAACCTCTGCAGCAACAAACGCTAGATGCCATCCAGATTTGCAAGTGCATCCATCTGGTTTAAGAGCGTGTTCAGTGTTTCATTAGAAGTGTTTGGAATGTTTCAAAAAGACGACAGATAGCGCGGGGTGTCGAGGTGCAGTCTGAAAGTTGAGGGATTGAATGGATGTCTTGTGTACAGACAGGCCGAGCGCTTGTCTGCAAAGTGTGGAGGGTCTGCTGACTGTTTTCTGGTTATTCTCCTGATTCAGCACGTGACCACACTGAAACAATTAGCAGATACAGTAGGTGCTTTCTCTGTCTCTGTTATTAGCCCTCTCTGTGGTGGTCTACATCCTCTAGTCAGCTTCCCATCTCTAGTGCTAATCTTGGTGACCCAAGAGGGCCTATTTCCAATGTGAATGAATGCCATACACATGCTGTAGCAGCCTCGAGGCTTGTGTTTGAGCAGGCTGTTGTGCTCCATGCTGATGGTTTGTGTCTTGCCTCGGGAGCCGGGAGGTTTTGTTTGTGCAGGAACTTTAGCCCTAGAACAAAACTGAAACTGAGATCTTGCATTTGAAAAGTAACTCAAAAACTAATGTGGTAATCACAAAAGTCCACACAGACGTTTAATGGGATACAACGATGAAGTGATGACATTTTTTTTACCAAAAAGGTCGAAGGTTAACTTGATTGTGACATCATAATACCAGATTTCACAGTTAGCTGGAAACTGAATTGGTGACACTTCTGACTCAAAGGTCATTGTGATCTCAAAATAGTTTAAGAATGTATTGTTTGGTTCCAGATTTTACACACATGTTGACTCAGAGGACACAATTAGTAAGCAATAACTAGCACCGTAGGGGTTTTCATCTTTCCATCTGGCTAATGGTGATCTAAACACAGAGGGTGTCGAATGTTGTACAGATTGTAAAGCCCCATGAGGAAAATTGTGATTTTAGTCTATATAAATAAAATTTCATTGACTTGATGAATGGCATGGCACGCCACACTTGTAGTTCTTGCAGGTAAAGTTCCTGAATTTCTGAAAATGTTCCTTCAACAGAACCTGTTCTGAAAAGGGGTTGGGTTACTTCTTAATGTGTGAACTGGTGAACATATTCAACATGTTCCAACTGAACTGCTTGCTGCACTTTCTCTCTCAGATTCCTTCCTTTGTTGGTCTCTGACTGTTATATATTCTACAAGATATGTCTTTGTCTTTATGGCATGTCGTTCACTCTCTCTGTGTAACACAGGCGTCTTGGTGTTTTCCTGTGTATGCATGGCCAGCATCATGCACTCTTCTTCGTTTCCCCTCCACACCTGTCGCACTTACACCTGTCTTTCTCTCCAACTCTTCCTCCTCTCTCTCTTTCTCTGTGGCGGCTGCTGCTGTGTGTTGTCTGGCCTCCCTCCGTCTGCCTGCGCTGCCCTCGTCAGGTCGGAGGTTTAGCATAATGTGTAACGACTCGGTCCTGTCTGCAGGCTTCCAGATCGACACTCCTGACAGTCTGGGGAGGACCTGCCTGCACGCTGCTGCCGCCGGAGGGTGAGCCACACCACTCATTATAGCAAAAACATGTCCTTAATGAGAAGGATAAAGCATAATTCTGGTTTAATACAACATCTCTGAGCCCTTATTTTCATAGATTTGGACAGGACTCGTCACCGCAGTAAAGTGTGACGGGGCAACAAGCAGTCAGACGATCAGACAACTCATAAACAAGTCAACTGTGAATTCAGATCATATAAACCTCTTTATTTGGAGGTGAAACAGAAAGTGAGCTCATCTGAAATGTTGGTAATAATCCCTCATTGGACAAAAAAACGCTGTGGCTAACCTGGCCGTTTGTTTAAAACCTTTCTGATTGTCTGACGTCTCGTTTTCTCTGCTCCATTATTACTGATGTTGCCATATTTCCACATCTCTGCAAATAACTTGTGAGTGTGTTATTATTATTACTGATAGAAACAATGGTCACAGCTATGAAAATGAGACCGTAGTTGTAGTAAACCGCAATTTTCCTGTTAAACGTACTACATGGAGTGTTTAACAGGTTATGAAACAGTCTCGGTTTAATACTGATGCCTCTACATAAACAAACAAGACCACCAGTGAGAGGATTGGCTGTTTCTATAGAGTTATTCTTAATGTTTGCCACTTGGTCAGATTCCCGTCGAAATCAATGGAATGAGGCAGTAGAAACACTACCACTTTTAGCCACAGGGGCCGCCAGAATCAACACTAAATGAGAGTTCCTTGTAGGAGCTTTAAAGTATCTAATGTCGTTGTATTGACCCTTAAAGCAGAAATTAAAAGAAAGGTCTGTTCTCTCTGTGCAGTAATGTGGAGTGTGTCAAGTTGCTCCTGAGCAGCGGTGGAGACCACAACAGGAGGGATAAATGCGGCAGGTAAGAGAATACATTGCTGTTGTTCGTTGTGCTGAATTAATAAGCCGAATAACATTTTATTAGATCAACAAAACAACAAACTGACAATAATTTTGATGATTTTGAGAATGGTTAAGCAACTTTTTAGTTTAGGTCCCACTATTTATTTCCTTAGAATGAGCTGTTTTTATGTACAGAGGGAGCGGATCCATTTTCCATGGAGTCCGCCATGTTGAACCGCCGTATTTATACAGTAGCCCAGAACGGACAAACCAAACACTGGCTGTAAATGGGGTCATTGATGTCTGTTGTGAGTTCTGCAGCCACTGTGGTTTCTCCTACACACTTGGAAGGCTGAAGCATTGTTACTGTATTAGAACAACCCAGAGCAGCATGTGCGTTGAAGTTTTGTGTTGGTTGCCTTGCGGTCCTTGCTTGTGTGTATGACTGGGTGTAGGAAGGGGTGTGTGTGTGCACCTGTGAGCCAATTCTCCTTAATTGTTTGAGTTATCTATTTACTGTGTCATTATTAATAATCAGCCCAACTCAACACACTGATACAAAGCACAGCACACCTTGGTTTGTACAGTCGTACATGTTGGTACAGGTCTCCCATGAGCCTTGATTGGTATTGGTGTTGACATTGATGTTAATACTGGATTGGAAGTCGGCCAGCTGTGACCAATCCACTTTTACTACAGTTTCTAAGTCACCACAATTTTCTAAACCTTTCAGAGCGATAGAATTAGCATTTGCTCAAGGACACACTGTCCACATATTTTTGGGCTTGGCCCTTTAGTTCCAGTTAATGCCACAGCAACAGTGAGCTTCCAGCTCTTTGGCAGCAGTTTGGAGAAGGCCCTTTTCTATTTCAACAAGACAGTATCCATATATAAAGAAATGGTTGTCTGAATGTGCGTTGGAAGACTTGACTGGCCTGCACAGAGCCCAGACCTCAGTGCACATCCCACACCTTTTGCCTGACTTCCTCTCCCAGCACCAGTGCTCTGTCTCACTGAGTGAGAGTGGAGGCTGTTACAGCAGCATGTTAATACCTGTGGTTTCAGAATGACATGTTCTGCCATCACACAGGGGTGTGAGGTTCAGGTGTTCATGTAGTGTATGTCCTGAGTTTAGGTACTGGAACTGTTAATGGGAGAATAAAGTGGGATCAGTACATTGTGGAGTTGGTACGTCTGAATATTTGTGTGATCCTGACTGTCTCTCTTCCTGTCATTTCCCAGGACTCCCCTCCACTACGCGGCTGCCAGCCGTCACTATCAGTGTCTGGAGACTCTGGTTGCTTGTGGAACCGCCATCAACGCCACTGACCAGTGGGGGCGCTCTGCCCTGCACTATGCTGCTGCCTCGGACCTGGACAGGAGGTGAATTTGAGGCCTTAAAATGTCTTAAATATGATTTTGACAGTTCACCAATTGATTGGAGTAATTAAGTTAAGGTTACTTGTATAAAGTTGCATTTTTCAATGTGCTTTTGGGAATGTTAGTATTGACCATGCTGTAACAACTACAAAACCAAACCAAACCAATCCTGATTTTCCTTTATATCATTAATACTCTTTTGCCAGTGTGGATGTAAAATAGGTCTTAAAAAGGTTTTGAATTGAACCTGTTGCAACCTGAGGGAAACACATTATACAATCAGGTCCACAGCGCCTCTATTCCTCACCTGCTGTCTCCAAGTTCCTTTACATCCTCTGAATCTGGCGAGAGTAGGTAGGAAATGTGTTCTGATGAAGCTGCTCCTCTTCACACCGCTTCTCTGGTGTCACACTGCAAATCTGGGTAGCTGTCTACTGTTACTACATATAGAAACCTGATGGTCCACACCTCTGTGTTTCCGTGGTAACCGGAGGTGATACTGAGGTGATAGTCACGCATGGCCTCCAGGATTGGCAGGCCCACAGTTTACGGCACGGTGCGCAGCCAGGCATCCAGTAGTTATCCACTTACCTTTGGCATTAGTGGGTAGCGCCACATAAAGGAGGCTGTTGTTTGAGTTTGTTAATGCCTTATCCTCCTTTATCTCACCTGTCCCTCCTTCCCCTTCCCCCCCTCCTGTTGTCTCCCCATCTGCAGGCGTCGTGTTGCTCTGGAGCCAGAGAGCGAAGGAGTTCAGGCGGAGAGGGAGAAAGAGGCAGCGCTGTAAGTCCACACTGAAACGAACCTGAAGAGACAAAGAAATATAATGTGGCATTTTGACCAAAGCTGTGTTTCAGTGACATACTACATACTACATAATTTATTAGTTGCCAGCTATTTACTCCCACACATACCGTCCTGCTGCCCCAAATACTCAGTGGAGCACCATTGTGGATGAATCTGCAGCTGAAAATAGTCCCAAACAAATGCACTATTTGCTCCTTCTTTGAGTGACATTTACTAAAAACTTTAGAAAATGACTACGCCTTTTTAAATATATGAAATTGTACATTGAAGAGCCCTTTTTCTAGATTTATAGATTGATGTCTTCATAGGAACCAACGGGCTTGAGCGCCACACACTAACACTTGGTTGGTTTTGGTCTTTTCATGGGATTTGTTGGCAATTAGAAAATAAGATTGTTTCTGGCTGGGTAAACACACACTGACATCTCACAAACATAAAAAGACACACACGCAAAGACCCACAAACTGTCTGATGTTTGTATAACCTTTACAGACATCTGCAGAAAGCATTCAGTGGATCCTCACACACTCTGTGCCCGATACGTTACACACAACTCAGTCAGAGCCACAGAATGATATTAAAGCGTTATGTTTATCACAGCGACACCTTGAAATCATAATGGTGCCTCCGGTTGCCCCCGTTGAGCACGTTAGCTGAAATGTTGTGTTTGTGTTCCAGATGTTTAGAGTTCCTGCTTCAGAGCGGAGCGACGGCCTCTCTGAAAGACAAACAGGGCTACAGTCCCGTCCACTACGCTGCCGCCTACGGACACAGGCACTGTCTGGAACTGGTCAGTACACACACACACACACACACACACACACACACACACACACACACACACACACACACACACACACACACACACACACACACACACACACACACAGAGGAAATAGTTGAGTTGTTGGTGAGTGACTCCAGGTGTTTTCTCCATCTGTTGGCTGATCGGATTTTGACTGTACACCACATTCCAGGTTTCTGGTGTCTCCCGTTCCAGTGTTGATCCTGATTTGTGTCAAAGAGTAAATCCATAAACCTTTGATTGTGATACAGTACATGAGCGCACTGTCAGTTGGGTTTGGAAGAAAATGTGTTGATGTGTGTGTTGTTGTTGACCTGCAGCTGCTGGACAGAGACGACAGTCACCAAAACGACCCAGAGTCTCCCAGTGCCAGGAGCCCGCTGCACCTCGCCGTGAGTCACTCTCACTCTCACACACACGCACACACACACACACACACACACACACACACACACACACACACACACACACACACACACGTGCACACACACTACTGATTCAATACCTGAGAGAAATCAGATTTTTCTACAAAACCGCTATATGTTGTACAGTTGTACCAGAACCTGGTCAGAATCAAATGAAACTGGCAGCTTTGTCTGACGGCACTGTCGTAGCTGTGATGTGCAATGGGGGATTATCACTTACATTGTGGGTCCTCTCTCTTTTGTTTTACCTCCAAAGAAGTTAAAATAATGATGATAATGATCTGAGCAATTATTTTGATGAATACAGTGTTATTTGTTATGTAAAACCGTTTAAACTCTAACAATAAGATCCAACTTGTAATAAACAGAAATGATACTTTGTGATTCCTCCTTTGTGTTCAAATATTTGCGTTTTATTATTTTTTCTGTAGATAAAGGAATGGTAAAAAGATGAGTTATACACAAATTAAACTGAAATCCATTCTTACATTAACACCAGACTTAAAGGATATCAGAACAGCTATGATCAGTTCTGTTAGTCTTTCAGGTCTATTATCCATAAAGAGTCTCAGTCTCAGTCTCTGTCTCTGTCTCTGTCTCTGTCAGGCGTACCACGGCCACGCTCAGGCCCTGGAGGTGCTGCTGCAGGGGGAGATGGAGGTGGACCAGGGGGATGAGGCGGGGAGGACCCCCCTTGCCCTGGCCGCCCTCCGGGGACACACTGACTGTGTTCACACCCTGCTCGGCCAGGGGGCGTCGCCGCGCACCACCGACACCCAGCACGGACGCACCCCTGTCCACCAGGCAGGTGGGTTCAGCTTCAGTCTCACATTGGGTTTTTCTGCCCTGTCTGGCACATGTCTAGCTGCATATGGCCACAAGTATATGGACACCTGAATGAACTTTAGATGCTGTTTTTCATGCTTTCAACCACTTTCCATTAAGTGGAAACTTAATGCAATAACATAGAATGATATTTGAAACAATATGCATTTTGCAAGCAGTTTGGGGAACGCTTTGTCCTGTAGCTGATAATCCCCCCCGCTGTGTTGGCCCTCGCTAATGCGCCAGTGGCTGAATGGGAGCAAATCCCTGGTTCAACATCTGGTGGAAAGCCTGAAACCAGAAGAGTGGAGACTGTTACGTGGTTGTTACATTTGTGTGTCCATTTTCTCTTTCCCCAATCTAAACTCAAATAGTCAAACATGTTACCACCTTTAAGAATATTTACATAATGTAAAAGTGAAAGTAAAAAGCAATCTTTCTGTTTGTACCCAAACAAAAATGCATTAAACTCAGCAAGCACAGTGGGATCTGCAGGGTTCAAACCAGCCCCTCAAGACTGGAGCCAAAGCACGGCACCTAACTGATATATGTGTGCAATAAAAGTCCAAGAGGCCTGCGTGTTGATAGTAACCGTGTAATGCTGTTGTTCAAAAGTGCTGCACTGAATGCACACATTATTGTCCATAAAGCCTAATATAAATATTGATGTACCGTACCTCCACTGTGGACTGTGGATATTTATGTGATCATTAATATTTTACTGGTTACCTTATTACTCGGTATCAGGTGGAAATGTTCCTGTGTTCCACTAGTGTACATAGAAAGTCGAGTCATATTTCTCATTTGACACAAGCTTTGACACAACACACTGAAAATAAAACAGGCTGCAGTTTGTCCGTCCCTCACTAGATTTTAGACAAACATGCTGTATGTATTTAAAAGACTTCAGCAGAGTCAGTGTCAGCAGTAGTTTGTACACATTCATAAAGGTTCATTAATCAGTTCAGTGGGAGGATGGATCTCTGTCAGTGTGCTAGCCTATTGGGCAAAAACAAGGAAGTGATGCATCATAATCAGTAAAGGGGAGAAAGAAAGCAGGAAGAGGAAACAAAAGGTGAGTGAGAGGAGATGAGAATGGGTGTAAATTCAAGAAGGCTTGTATTTCACTTTTCATTGAGACCATACCGATGCAATGAGCCCTTCACAAGATGGAATAAGTATCCAAAGAGCACCTGTATGTGATCACAGTTAAGAGCCGGCAGTGCCTGAGGTTCAGATCAGAAACCTCAAATCTTAAACCTGCAACAGGTTCAGTTGAGGACTAGTTCCATATTTCTGTAACCTACTGCTCTTAGTTCACGTATAGCTCCCTGCTGTTGGTGTGTGAACGGTCTCTGTTCGGTACACTGCTCACTCTTTTATCATGGTGCTTCTTACTTCCTGCTGTGGTGACACTGTAATTGTCACAATCTAACTCAATGAACTGCTGTGTCATCTAACTGACTATTAATAAACATTTCTGTCCCTCTCTTTCTTCCTCTCTTACTTTTCACGCCCTCTCTGGCTCCCTCCAGTGATGAACGGTCATACGACCTGCGTGCGCCTCCTGCTGGACGAATCGGACAGTGCAGACCTTGTGGACGCTGCTGACTCTCAGGGACAGTGAGTGGTCATCTTTTGTTTTCCTCATCTGTCCAGTCTTCTCAATGTGTCCTGTTGGCTCCTCCTCTTTGTGGTGCATTATGGATAAAAAACTCTCTAATTAAGACCGTTAAATAAGGCTGTGAACGGTAATGAAAGCTGCATGTTCAGACACTGTTTAATTTTTTTTAATACATTGTTAAACAATTATATCTGATTCTAATCTATTAAATTATACAGTACACACTTTATTGAATGTTTATTATAATAAACGGAGGAGAAACCATGAATTCTTTCTCCAGACACATTATGGTAATTATTTGTCTTACAACATATAAAATACTATTTCTGAACCAAACAGTGAATTGTGCCACATAATAGACATAGTGTGCTTTCAAATAAAGGTTCATTATTCTCAGTTTTCATGAGCATGTCCTGATGATCTTGATGAGAATCACCCTTTCTTTCTCTCACACGTCCTCTGCCTCGTCTGCAGGACTCCTCTGATGCTGGCGGTGGCGGGGGGTCACGTGGACGCCGTCTCGCTGCTGCTGGAGAGGGAAGCCAACGTCAACGTGGCCAATAACCACGGCCTCACTGCGCTGCACCTCGGGGTGAGCATCTAGCTGTGTGAAAAGCCTCTCAGCTCTCACTGTCTATAGAGTTTTCCCTCTTCCTTGCCTTTATGGAGACTGGAGACCACAACAATTCTAGACTTTATATCTTTGATTAAAAAGATATTGTAAAATAAGTCATTAAATGATACCTCAGTAAACGCAATAAGCACTACATGATTCATTTGACCTATGTGTATAGATGATGAATTAATATGTGAATTCTAGGTAAGGGTATGAAGAGTGAAATGGGGAAATGTTTGGAGGACAGTGAGTTTGAACCATGGCTGAGGCTCGTCTCTGGAGGCATCGATCAACGCTCCCAGTGCTAAAACCAATTAAGTGGTTTTGTTCAATTCAGCAGTTTGACATGACAAAGCACTTTCTGCCTATTAATGTTGGGTTAATTCTGTTGTTGATTTAGGTCAGTGGTTTCCTAATACTCTATAACTTAATTGCAACATGTCGTAAAGTGGGGCTGTCAGAAGGAGAGACAGAAAGCAGGACTGAGCACAACCTGTCACAGAAACCTCTGCAGCAGAGCCTGTGGGTGTTTATGATTGATGATTTAGCATCAATATGAGCCCATTAACCACGGTACCAGGAGGAAAAAAACAAACGCTCCCACATGCTAAGTGCTAGCTACAGAGCTGCTCTGGGACACAGACAGCTGGGGCCAGATGCATGTGTGTACGCTGGTCTGAGGTCTGTGTGAGGTGACACAGTCTCACCCTTGCATTCTTCTTTATAAATGTGACTTTATGTGTGGTTCAAGATGTACGAATGGTTTTTGTGTGTAAACCAGGTCTCTATTGCACATTTCTGTACTCGCCACCGCCCCTACCCACCGCCGCTTTATCATCTACTGCTGACCTCCGAGTGATGACGGGCATTCCCAGCCGGCCTATCAGAGCTATGTTGCAGAGATATAGTGGTCCAAGCAGTTGTCACTGTGACTGTGTAATCGTGCTATTTTCCTATCAACGCATAGTGAATGGAAGTCTGAGTGTGTCACAGATGACACCGGTTAGAGCTCGAAGTGGCGCTGTATGGAAAGGGTCTTCAGAAGAGGTCTTAAAGGTGTTAAACTGAACTTCAGGATTCCTGCATATACCCTGAAAATATCGTAGTACATTTCTGTCTGTCCATCATATATCATCTCAAAGCATTCCTTTAATCTTTAAATGGAGTCCATAAAGGTGACTTAATGTTCACTGTGATTTATATCACACACAAACATATGTGAATGAGTATCTTGCTAGAGGCCAGTTAATGAACCATAAGAGTTCTGCTTTATGAAGTGTTTGATAAACTCCACATTCATTCAGCTTGACTCTGATCTAAAGGCCTTTATTCTCTCTCCCAGCTGCTGTGTGGTCAGGAGGAGTGTATCCAGTGTCTTCTGGAGCAGGAAGCCTCGATTTTGCTTGGCGACTCGCGAGGTCGCACCTCGATCCACCTGGCCGCCGCCCGAGGCCACGCCTCCTGGCTGAGCGAGCTGCTGAGCATCGCCTGCTCCGAGCCGCCGTCGCTGCCCCCGCTGAGAGACCACAGCGGGTACACACCGCTGCACTGGGCCTGCTACTACGGTCAGACTCACAGTTCATTCTTATTAATGTTATTCTGGAACAGTTCATCATTTTGCTAATCAAATGGAAAGTAAAATCAACGTAGACCTGACTCCAGTGAGAAACCTTTCGATGGTCTTGTCCAATACTGTGTGTGTGTTTGTGTCTGCAGGTCATGAGGGGTGTGTGGAGGTTCTGCTGGAGCAGAAGGGTTGTCGCTGTATTGATGGGAACCCATTCACCCCTCTGCACTGTGCTGTGTAAGTCTCACACACAATCATCATCATTATTAATGATCAATGAATCAATTGCCCTATTGATTTTCACAGAAAAATGTGGTGCATCAGTACTTTGAATCAGTAGATTTAAACCAGTTTGAATTTGTCTTTATACTGGTTGATACTTGATACTGGTTGCTAATGATGATGATCAATGAATTCATTTACCATTAAACTGATTCATCATTTAGTCTATAAAATGTAAAACAGATAGTGAACAGTCCCATCACTGGCAACCAAAAGTCCAAAGATGACTGTTTTTAAATGTTCATGTAGTCCAGTGATACAAAACAGGAAAATCAGAGAGCAAATACAAAAACATTTAATATTTTTGCTTGAGAAATTATCCATAGTCAAAGTTTTAAATGATTCCCTGTTTATGGACGATTGTTTCAACACATCAGCACTGTGTAAGAAAATATTGATAGAAATATGAAATACTTTATATTGTGGTATAAAACTCTATAGATCTTTGTGTTTAAACCCCCAACTGCTAGACATGAGTGTTTGAGGGCTATGATAATGGAACATTTTCTTTTTTAAATTGAAATATATGACAGTACCACGATATATTGATTGGTAACTCCTGTATCATGATACGTATTGCATTGTCAGATTATGCCAATACGCAGCTCCACTAAGCATCTCTAAATATGCTGCTGCTGTGGATTTGCAGTGAGCAGTAGACAGTGAAAACACCTCGGGGTGCCGCCTTCAGTACTGTTGCACTCATTTCTGGCTCCTGATATGAGTCAGTGACATCTTGTTGGTGTTTAAACCAACAGAGTAAACAATCACGAGCCCTGTGCATCGATGCTGCTGGAGGCCATGGGGGCAGAGATCGCTGGCTGCAAGGACGCTAAGGGCAGGTAAGACAACTGTGTGTGTGTGTGTGTGGACACTGCAGCACTGTTAATGCTCTGTTAGATGAATGCTGTTAATCTTTTAATCTTTTATCTTTTCATTCCTTCCTCTCTGCTGCAGGACTCCTCTTCATGCCGCAGCGTTCTCGGGTCATGTCGACTGCATCCAGCTGTTGATGTCCTACGATGCACCTATCGATGCTGCAGACCAATCAGGTTGCACCGCACTGATGATGGCGGCTGAGAAGGGCAGAGTCGGAGCCCTCGGTACAGAGATGTTTTGTTTATCTCTTTATGTTGTTTCACTGATCCAGTCTTGTGTGTGTGTGTGTGTGTGTGTGTGTGTGTGTGTGTGTGTGTGTGTGTGTGTGTGTGTGTGTGTGTGTGTGTGTGTGGACTGATCGCTGTGCTCCTGTCGTACTCCAGAGGTGCTGTTGACCAGTGCCAACGCCAACCTCAGTCTGACAGACAAAGACGGCAACACCGCCCTGCATCTAGCTTGCAATAATGTAAGTGTCCACATGGGGGCTCCATCCTCCATCTTATGTATTGTTGGTCCTCATCCCAGTGTCTGCCCGCAGGAACTGAGAACAAATGACATCAGCACAAGACAATTCAGTCACACAAATGCAGTCATCACACACACACACACACACACACACACACACACACACACACACACACACACACACACACACTTAAGCTTTTTAGCTTTTTAGCAGTTGCCTATTTACTCACCAGCGGTCACAGAGCAGCTATATTATTTTGGAGTCATGTTTGTGTCTACCTGATGAATGGAAGTCCAGTATTCACTCTCCTTTTAGCTCTGTTTTTGCTAAGTGCTAGTGTCTCAATGTGACACCAGTGTCTAGTGTCTGACTCACTGTAAAGCTCGGTGAGGCGAGGGGAGCCGCACATTCAGCTGATACTTCTCTGTGGGGTTATCACTATGAGCGAACCCCTTTTAACATGGTCATTTGATACATTATTATAAAATGATTGATTGTTACTGCTTTTAGTCTGATAGTTCAGGACGCAGCGCTGACACTGGGATCAGGCCTTTGTCTCTGCTTGAATAGAGCTCGCTATAAGCCGACATGTCCTCCTTACAGGGGAAGGAAGACTGTGTGTTGCTGATCCTGGAGAAGCTGTCTGACACTGCGCTCATAAATGCCACAAATGCAGCGCTGCAAACGTGAGTATCCAACACCTCGGTTGCTATTTGGATTGCCAAGACAACATTTTTAACAGCGGGGAGGTGTGTGAGTGAAAAGCAGCAGGGGAGATACGGTAGAATGAATCTTTGTCTGTCTGTCTGTCTCCACCTGTCTCTCTGTCAGTCCTCTCCACCTGGCGGCTCGGAGCGGTCTGAAGCAGGCGGTCCAGGAGCTGCTGTCCCGAGGAGCCAACGTGCAGAAGGTGGATGAGAATGGTAGGGTGACCCTGCACTCCCCCCAGGCACTTAGCTGCATGCCGTGGTCATTGGTTAGCATGAATGTTTTCTGGCATGAATTCAGCTTCACTAATTAAATTGACCATTCCTAAGTCCCGCCCCTTTCCGCTCTGTGCTCCAATAACAACTGAGCCAGCCTCGATCAACTTTCTCCTTCCCTGTACTTAGATATGCGAGGCTTGTCTCTGTTGAAGACAACCACATTTTGAAGAGAGAGAGAGAGAGAGAGAGAGAGAGAGAGAGAGAGAAGCTAACTAACTCGCTAGCTGAGCTGTGACTATATATGTGTGTTTAACCATCTTCACAATGTGGTTGTCTCTTCAACATAGATAAGCTGTGTGTTAGGACAGGAGGAAGTTGCGTGAGGTTCCAAAAGGGGAGGGGCTTATGAGGGGTCAATTGTGTCAAAATGATTTTCCATGTGTGCTGCAGAAGACTCTCTCTTTAAAAAGGGTTCCCACTGGTCATGGAGGATGTGGAACATCAGGGATTCCTTTCTCTCGAGGAGATTTAGCTTTTCTCAGTTCTCACGTTGGTGGGTCGCCATCATTGTTTCGCCCTTTTTTCAAATCATTTTTCTTTGATAGTGACAGTAGAGAGATGACAGGGAAGAGGGAGAGGGGGAGAGAGGGGGGAGAGAGGGAGGGAGGGGTGTGGTGTCATGGGGGGTTCAGCTCGTGCCGACAGTGGGAACCCTGATTTAAACTGAATACCAGCTGCTGTGTTTGCTCTCCATGTGCCATTATTTGTTTTTATTCAGTGTATTTGTTCTGTAGCTGAGGTTGTCCCTGTGTGCTCTGTTGTCCCCCCCCCCCCCCATGTCTGTGTTTGCATACTGTGTCAGCTGGCTGAACACTAATGGAATGCTGCTCCGTCCCTCCTTTGTCTTCTGCTTCGCCTTCTCCGCTTCCTCCACGTCCATGTCTCGCTCTCCTCCTCCTTTCTTTTCTGTCCCCCCTCCCTCCCCCTCTGTCTCTCTGTCTCTCTCTTTCTCTCTCTCTCTCTCTCTCTCTCTCTCTCTCTGTCTCTCTACCTCAGGTCTGACCCCTGCTCTGGCTTGTGCTCCTAGCAGAGAGGTGGCTGACTGTCTGGCTCTCATTCTGGCTACCATGATGCCTTTCTGCTCCCCTTGCAGCTCCGGGGCTCCCTCCCCAGGCTCCCTGCTGAGGCAGCTGCCCCACCAGGGGGGTAAAGGCCCAGGCACCGGCCCGCGGGTGTCACGCAGCCCAAGGAACCCCTCCGGACCCTCCAGCGAGGGAACCACTGAGAACGACTCTGAGGACTCGGAAACCTTCTGACCCCTCCGAACCGACCCCCTACCCTCCTCCCTCGAACTGCGCACCTGAACCTTTTACCCCCTCCACCCCTCCAGGAATGATGCAGTGTTTTAGTCTGTAACGTGCACTCTTGAGGCAGAAGGGTAGATACTCGGTTGCAGTGTCTGTATCTTCTGCTCTTCATGTGGGGAAATGTGTTTAGAACGCCTCCCCCCTTTGACACCAGGCTGGGGGCCCTACTGGCTCTTTTTCTTAGTGCCCTTTTCCAAAATAAGTGTGCGGAGCGGCTGCACTGCCCCGGACTGACTGCTGCAGCCAAATACGTTGCTCCATGAAGCCGTGGTTGAAGGAGAATTCGATCTGGATCAGTCATGGCTCGGGTCTGCATGCTTGTGTTAACTTCCACCACGGTTTGTTCTTTCTACTCACGGGTGCTTAAATCCAAACCGACCTCGGTACTTAGTCTCTGCATGGCATAGCAGCTCGCCTCCGAGACTCCTTTTGTCTTTATAAAAAAAAAAAAAAGCCATTTTTAACTGTTTGTATAAAATGAAGTAGACTATTAAGAAAGCTAAGTGTAATTTTAACCTTTTTAGGATTTTTTGCTTGTTGTTGTACCAAATATTTGACTTCCACTCATAAATAATTAACATGTACAGGAGGGTCACCAGAAGAGGTACGTAGAGCTCGTTTTTACCTGTGAACAACTGAAGCACAAATTTCGATTTTTGCTGAACTGTGGCTGGAACGTGTGCAGCCTTCAGAGACGTGTTTAGTAGTTTAAATGTTGAACAGGAAAGAGGATATGACACGCTGGGTACATCTCAGTTCCCTTAACTGGATCCATGCTTCACTTGCACAAGGACAGATTCAGGAAAAGATGCGAGAAAAGAGAAATGAAGGAAATACTTTTTAGAGCAATGAGACGTCCTTTCCTCTGATCTGTTATCTGCTCCCCGAAATGCTGAATGAGACATTTCTACTGGCAGCAACACGTTTACTTATTTGCATTTGTTGGTATCCTGTTTGTAAATTCATGATTAAATAATTCAGGTTGAAATTAGAAAGTCTCAATTTTTAGAAACAAGGCAGTAGCCTAAACGTTGCAAATTTTGTAAATATCTGAACTAAAACTAGTTTGACACGTCACAAGATCATTCAAATATATTTTTATAGCTGAAAGACTCAAAGCCTCCATAACTATAATATTGGCAAGAAGAAAAGTCTGAATGATGAAAGTGGTGTTCTTGCTGCTTCAGGAATCCACCAGGTTGTTTAACCAATGGTGAGTAGGGATGAGGTCTGATAATTAAATTCAAATCTAGCATCAGGTAGGGCTGTGTATTGGCAGGAATCTGGTGATGAAATGTTCTGACACAGCTGTAGCCTCCTGTACTGTATCCAGATGTGAACATGAATACATGAATACTATAGTGCAATGAATCAGAGTGAGCAGAGTTCAAAAGGACATTATAAAAAGAGATTCTAATTGAATCAGTTTGAGAGATCGTTGTCATGACGACGGAGCAGCAGGAAGAGCCACCTAAGGGAACTGAGAGGTAGCCAGTGGTGAACACAGGGTTTGTGCAGATGTGAATTAAGGCTGAGATTATGACTTAGCTATATGCATTATATCCTATGGCCTTTACCGGCCTCCTGCACTGTTCTGACTCATGTTCAGTCCTACCTGTAGTCCGTGGTTGCACACTGTAGACCAGGACAGCCGACAGAGACCCACTGAAACCACCAGGGCAGCTCCATGCAGGGCAGGATTCTGTGGAAGTGATGGAAAGCTCTTTTAGGTCTCCTCAGTTCATTGTGGTATTTATTATCTATTACATGATGGTACAAATACTGCCAGCACTTAAATGTAAAATAACACAGGGCCTTGACCACTTCTCTCCCCTGCCCACCCCCCTCCCCTGTGTTTGTCCTACCAGCTATGTGCCATTGTCTCAAACGTGTCCAGTGCCTTGATGTCCATTCATTTGTTTTTTTGACAACAAATCCTATGTTAGTAGATTCTAATATTCTTCTGATTGGAAGGATCAGTGCACCAGAATCACAAAGTGATTTTTGTTTGGTCACTGAACTCTAGTGGTACTGAGCTGTGCAGGTTTGTCCAGGTTGTGAGATGTTTCCCTTTAACTGAAATACAAAATATTTTGTAAGATTTTTTTGTGCATTTTTGCCTTTAATTGAGGAATTCAGGAGAATGTGTCGGGAGAGGGAGGTGGATGGACCTCTGTCACCGGGATATCCCAAATAAACTTTTTGTTTGTGCTACTCCAAATGAAAATGATATTTCCAGAAATGATGCCCCAGATTCAGTGATCAAAAGCTCCAGGAGAGCTACTGGTCCTAAGTCCTTAAAGGGCTCAGAATAAAAAGGAAATTTAAACAACTCCAATTTAATGACAATTGGGAAAACTCCCTCTACTGAAGAAGATCATGTGACTGAAAGCTCCAGAACAGGTACTCATTGAACCTTTGAAGGTTTTGTCAGTACTGCAGTTATTCAGGATTACCCACAGAGCGCACTGTGAACATGTTTCTTGGAACTATTCTCGTGGTTTATTCATGTCCAAAGGATTAATCGATTACTCAATTAGCCAATCATAATAGGTTGTTTAGGTCATTTTTATTTAAAGCTGCAGCAGATAACTTATTAAAATAGCTTTTTGTCATATTCACTGAAACTTTCACTATATCCTGACAGTAGAACCTGAGACAGATAATGTGTGAAACGACCAGCTTCCACTGGCTCCTCCCCCTGCTCCTAATGGCATCATCGGAACAAAAACAACCAATCAGAACTATTATTGAGTCTCATTCCCAGGGTGTCAAATACAGATGCTGGGAATTAGACTGTCACATATACTACTGTCAGGATATATTGAAAGTTTCACCAAATATGACAAAAAGTAATTATTATAAAAATGACCTACTGCAGCTTTAAGCACAAATGCAAAAAATCAAACTGGTTCCAGAATCTCATATAGGAATATTTACTGGTTTACTCAGTCCTCTATGATATTAAAACTAAATATTAGACAACAATATGAATAGTAATGGAATTTTTTTGGTGCCAATTTCAATTCAGTTATGAAAGGAGAAGTAAATAATAGGTTAATCAATAATTAAAACAATCTGTTTTTTTTAACTATTGTTTTAGTTTGCTTTTCCCCCTTTACTGCTCTCGTGGAATCTGTACTCTGGAGTCAGCCGTGTAATTGTGTAATTGTTGAGTTCTGATCCATTTTTAACTGTTGGCTCTACGACGGAGCAGCAGGAAGAGCCACAATAGGGGAACTGAGAGGTAGCCAGTGATGAACACAGGGTTTGTGCTGATGTTCAGTCCTACCTGTAGTCCGTGGTTGCACACTCTGTAGACCAGGACAGCCGACGGGGACCCATTGAAACCACCTGCGCAGCTCCAGATGTCCAATCATGCAGGGCAGGATTCTGTGGAAGTGATGGAAAACTCTTTTAGCTCTAAGTCTTAGAGGTGGACTTCTCAAAACCTGGACAAATAAAACCCAAACTATTTGCACCACCAGCTACCACAAGGTACCAACAGTTTTTTTGCAATGTGAGTGAACTGATTCTTTAATATGTGGGCGGTTGTGTACATTGAATGACGACGTTTGAGAGGATTTTGCTCTGTGTGAGGGGACCTTTATGCAGATCTTTTTTTTAATGAAATGGTGTCTCACTCCGCTGTTTTATATTCTAGATTTGTCTTGTCAACAAATCCGTTGAGAAGACCAAAACCAACAATGTGCTAGTCTCCACTTTCTGACTTCAGCCCCGAGCCCTTTCATTCCTAATGAGGACACAGATCTTTAAAAACAGGCTCACAAACACATCGAGTACATTTCAGAGCCTGTACTTGCCTGTACCTCACTTTTCCTTAAGTAAAGAAGTTAAATCAGTACTTCTACTTTTTTACTCAAGTATCAGTACTTCTACTTGAGTAAAGAATGTGTGTACTTTGGCCCCCTCTGCCAGCAGGACGGTGAATGTGGGGTCGCTCTAAAATAAACTACAGTGTGTAGATGGTAATGAAGGAACATGTCAGTGAATTTAATGGTGTTTGGACTGTGGAGCTCTACGGCACAGAGGAATATGTTGTTGGTTTGGGTCTTTTCATTGGCTTTGTGCACAATATGACAACGATAGAATGGCTCCAGACTTATCCTTAGAGTTGGTTGTGTGTGTGAGAGTGTGTTAGCTGAGGTACTGATATGAATTTGAACTGCTTTTGTATATAATGTCGACGTAAAGCACGTAAAGATTTGTATGAAAAAAATCATCACAGAGGACTCTGAGCACAGAGGACGTCTCCATGCTAAAAACCAGTTTTATGAGTTATCTGAAAGGTGTGTATATTAATGAATTTATCTCCGACTGAGAACCCTGTTAGCTGCAGTCGGATTGAAATGGAGAGCACTCTGATAATAAGCACACGTTGTTAATAAGCACAGTCTCTTTCTGTCCCTGAGCTGAAGTCTGCTGAGAGGCTGAATCTGTCTGCCAGTATTATTATTCTACCACATGATCGTCACCAGTCCTGACAATCGCTATCGTCACCTGTCTGATGATTTTCATACCAGTTCCTGATGCAGTACGACATGCTGAGGGCTGTTTGTCAGCTACCCTTCGTTTTATATAAATTGTACAATTATAAAAATCTGTTTGAAGTTACTCTTGTGCCGTTTGTTTTTCTTTCAGTCGGCTCATAAGGAACTGACATAAGAACCGACTCCTTTCCCTTGAACTGCCTTTAACCTTCACATCCTTGCTGATGAAGATGATCTTCTAACTGAACTGTTTTTGCTTGTGTGGAAACCAGTTTACTTGGTCATTCTTCACTGCAGGCTTTAACTGCCAACAAAGTGACAAAGAGCAAAGCTTTTCTGCACAGGCAGGGTCAAATGATCAAGGATAGTTTCAGATCGTAGCAAAAAGCAGAAACAAGTTGTGAACACAACACTGACATGATAATCTTGTGTTTTGTTCAAGTTGATGTAAAGAACTTGTATAAACAGCTGCTTATTTATTTATACTTGTACTAATATTTAGGTAGAATTGTTTTTTTTTCTATCAGTTTTAGTCGTTCTTGTATTTTATTTTAATACTTTTTATGGGAAATACTAGATTTGTTTTTCAGTATCTTCCATGTCATGTGACCCAGGGACACCAAAGCCATGCTGAATAACTTATTAAGTCTGATTGTATTGAGTCTTGTGAGAAAATGACCCAACTCCTGACTTGATTTATGAGCTCAGTAAACAGTTTCCTAATGAGTTTATGGTCTCTATCTCTAGTTTCAGTTTAGTAATGATGGTCCCAGTTAAAGTAAAATAGACCAGGTGAGCCGCCATTGTTTCCTGCTACAGATGAGAAGAAACTGCGCTGCAACATGGTGACGACCATAACGCCGAACTCGAGGCTTCAAAGCGGTGCGCCACAAACCGATGGGTGACATAATGATAGGTTCACATCTGATTACTACTCTAAACAAACAGGACAATTCTTTTTATTGGATTTTATTGTTGTTTCCATATAAATAATATGAAATAGAACACACAACACCAGCAGGCAGAAAACATTGAAAAGTACACAGAGATAACACACAAACATAAATACTAAAATACACACTCAGTTGTGGGTATGTTCTACAGTACAGGCTCCTCTGTAACCTTTAAGGCTACTGTTCAAAACTGGGACACAGGCACAGTGGAGTACGGGTATAATTCAGCACTAATTTGGAGTCACTTGTTCACATGACATGGAATCTATAAAAAAATAAATATTAATATAACATACAAGAAGCACTAAAATCCAATAGTGTGTGTCCAATTTGTCTGCTGTATTAATACAATTCATCTTTATTTTGGAATGCCTGACATGGAAGTATCTTAGGTGTGTTTGATATGTGTCACACTCTCGCAGGGTGGTGCATTAAATCACTGACTGATTAAGATAGATGCAACCTTTTTTGTGACTACAGGAACAGTAATGCTCAACTTAACCCATAATGACGTCATCCTTCAGTTTAGGGCATTATTGTGCAATGGTGTTCACAAACTGCTAGACCCCACCCGGGTGAGACTGCCCCCTCTGACATGGCTGACAAGGTTACACACATGGTCTCCACTCTGGAGCCGCCAAACACATCAGCAGCTTCTTCACTGCTGCAGCTGCCGGTTGGGCTCCTTTCTTCTCTTCCATTGTTTCTAATTTATAATAAGGGGGGCATTTGTCAAGGGGGCATTTGGCAGGGGGTCCAGAATAGGTATTACAATACAAACACTGACTCACAGTCATGTAGACATCCCAGTGTCAATTCAAATACTCACCAACACCTCCTCATGCTTGATGCATTGACAAATTTGACCAAATTGACAAAGACTAAAATATATAATATATCATATTTTTATTTGACTTTAGTTTTTAGTTAAGTTCACAAAATTGTTTCAGTTCGTTTTTTCAGTTATGGTTTTATTTTTAATGTTTATTACACCTAGTTTTAGTTAACTCTAATTGCACATTTTGTCCGTCGAGCAGTCCAAAAGCCAAAGATATTCAATTTGCACTTATTATAAAAACTAAACATATTTGAGGTTTCTGCTCTCAATAAATGACTTAAATTATTCATTGATCCTCAAAAGTGATTGTGAGTTATATTTCAGCACTCGCCTTTAGTCATATGGTCATCCCAATATTTGATATGCACTTTGGTTTAGTCCATTCTCACTTCATTTCTACCTCATTAACACACAAAAAAAAACAGATGATAGCTTTAACAAATCAGTGTTAATAATCTTTTAATAGTTACATAATCTCTGTACATTTACAAATTTTAAATTACATGAATTAGTTTGTTTACCAAACTATAAGCACAAGACTGAATGTTTCAGTGGGTCCTCTTGAAACAGCTGGACTCATGGCACTAATAAAATAACGAACCCTCTACGAAACACATCAGGAATCCAGAGGGGGGGTCAATTCTAATCGGATAATACTGCAATGAGTCCTCAGTGTTAAAAACAGATCTAAACGGTCTTGATATTGGTGCAGTCGCACAGTGGCACTGCTCCTATGGAATGATGCTGTGCTGTATACTGGTCATACTGGTCATACTGGTCATGTGTCAGTCTGCGCAATATTCAAACATTTACAACGTCCAGTGTGCTTTTGGGTCTCGGGTAGGTGGTCCAGGAAACTGATGTTTGTGCATAGAAAGTCCGAGAGGGAGAGGCTGTGTGTTTCTGTTAGTGTTTCTGCTCTTGGACACGCACCGCTCAGCAGTTGATGCCCAGGCCAGTCCAGTGGTCAGGTACCATCAGGAAGTATTTGTCCATGGCCTCACAGAAACGAGCTCGGTACAGCTCCGGAGAGACCACAGTGGGCATCTTCCCTGAAAGACACAACACAGCACAACATCAGAGACAGGCAGTAACGTTCAGGGTGGTATCATCTGAACCACTGGTTCCAACCTTTTTCCTTAAGGGAGCTCTTTTCTATCAGTAAACTGACAGTGACATATTTTATGGATATTTCATATTCACTGTATAACAATAACAGCAGAGGAACACTGATAAACTGTACAATGAAGCCAAACAGTTTGTGTAAAACTAGACATTTGGATATATTTAGATCGTATTATGCATTTAGAACTTTTTTTTTAACAATCCTACACACAGGTTTCTTTTTTTGACAGATTCAGTGTTTATTCTCATTGATCTATTAGCTCTTTGGTTGTTTTAACTGCATAGCCAGAATATTTTCATATCTAACTCTGTTAGGTGTTGAGATAACCAGAGTTGATGGTTGGTGGAACAGTGTAATGAAGACTACAGACTAATAAAGAGGGACTGTGGAGTTTTATTGAGTTTCTGTCAAGTTTGAATGAAGTGTGATTAAGATTAAAACTTACCTTGACCCCCCAGAATTCCAGTGGATTTGACAACCATTTCCAGTCTCTTGTCCCAGGTAAATGTCCTGATATAATCTGCAGTAAAGAGTAGTAGTAGTTACTGATTAGGACAGGACAGGAAATGCATCATTACATCATCTCCATCAGACGTCCTCTCACCTATAATCCCGACCACCAGCTGATCGGTGGCATCGTCCCGCCCCACCAGCAGGGAGTAGTCGATGATGAGGTGGCTGGAGAGGAAGTAGGCGTCACTGTGTATGGCGGCTCGCAAGATGGCCTTGCAGTGGGAGCGGATATACAGCGGATTGTCGTGGATCAACTTCAGGAGGTTCTCGTCCAGCAGAACCACCTCACAGCTTTCCTTCCCCGAGTCCGTCTTCACGTTGCGGTTTCTCAGGGAGCCTTTGAGGTCAAACACCTACAGAGGAGACGGCACAGCTGAGGACACTTCTGTTCCATAAATACCCCAAAAATCACAGTACTGCTGTCAGTCCTACCTGAGCCATCTTGCGTCCGTAGAAGAGATTTTCCATCACAAGCAGGTCCAGCTTCTTCTCCGTGTTGTTCTGGGAATTCTTGTAACCGATCCTGTAAACGCCCAGGATCTTTGCCAGCGCAGTCGGCCGCTGTGGTACAAAATTGGTTGTTATTTACTCTAACTCAAGAAGTAAACACTAGATAGAAACTTTCCTTTATGATGCGTACTTTCTGCTGCACAGCTCCGGTGATGTAGGTGAAGTAGTGAGGTGCAAAGTCCAGGAAGGACTGGACCTCCAGTCTGGGCATCTGCTTCAGGATGAACCGGTCATCTGACAGGACACAGAGGAGGAGATGCTATCGGCACGTTTTAGAGAGATGGACTAACACATTATTGATTTTGGCCTTTTCATTGGATTTAGTGACAGTAATAAAATGATAAAGTTACATCAGCATTATTCCTTTAAACCAATAAAACCTAAAACAATGAAAAGCATGTTGTTTTCAGAAACTTTACATGGATGTGAGATGATGAAAGCCTCCAATCAGATCTGAATAATTTCATCATTTCATAACTAAACCTGTTCACGTTTAACTCAGGAATACATTCACATTAGTGGAGCTACAGACGCTTTTGCTGCTGTTGCGCTGTGACTTTGGTACTGGTTGCAGCAGTAGTAGAGACATTTATTTGCCAGATATTAGATACTACCTTCTGTTGCATAGAAAACAGCTCCAGATTTTCCTCCACGGGCCTGCCAGTTGACACAGTGGGACAGTGAGCGGACAAAATCCTCCTCGGGGCTCTCCATGATCTCCTCGCGCATCTTATGAAACTCCTCGGCGTAGTAGATTCGACAGTAAAACTTGGCATTGGCATCGGAGAATTCTACAAATTGCAAAAGAGACGAGGTTAGCATTAGCATGGATTTGATGCCACAGAGGGATGACACTGAGGAAAGGTCATTTTAATTCAATTCCTCTGAACCTCTGAGGGTACATAAACGTTAGAGGAGGGAATACTCACGTAGCTCAATGTGTGGATTCAGGGTCTGTTTCTTCTGTTTATCTGTCAAGTCTGCATCCTCTGCACAGAACAGTCATAAAAGTGAAACATTTCAATCTTCAATGAATGAACGCTTTGTGTGACGCCAAAACACTTCAAACTAAAGGATCCTTTATATTCTAAAGGTGTCTAAAGTTAGCGTATTGAAAAGCAACCCTGAAATTCTGCCTGCCCTTAAGGACCGCCTCTTTGTGGAGTTCTCTCTCCTGATTGGAT